TTGTCCAATTTTTACTTGGGTAATTTACTTAAATATATAGGACTAAAACATAATGACTTTCTCAAAATAGGATCATATGTTTTTATTTTCCAATGTAGGACCATTGGTCATTATCTATTAGTCATTATTCAACTAAATGTCCAGTATCACTTGGACATTATTCTTCTCACTGGTCATTATTAAATCCTATTTAGGGAATAAAAAAAGTTTAAGTCTTACATTGGGAAATGACTTATGTTTTAGTCCTATTCAGTGCAAATTTCACTTTTTACTTTTTGCATTCAAAAATGATAAACTTTGATCATCAATTATATAAAATTTATATATTTTGAAAAAACCAACAAACTCAACCTAAATTTCAAGCTTGTAATTGTGACCCAACAAAAACTTATTATATCATATTAAGGAATCGGCTCAATCAAAATCTCAAACTTATCATTGAAGTCCATTTGCAAGTGCTCACCTAGTTCGATTTAAAATGGTTTGGTTGTCGAGTTGAGGGTGAGTATTAAGTGGTATCTCACATCAAATATTGAAAAAAATATTTATGGCTTTATAAGCTCTTGAGTTGAACTAGTAATTGATTAGATTCAATTTTTTAATATGTTCAACCCAAGTATCTTATGACTCAATCAAGTTATCCTCACCTCATTCTATATTCTATCATGGTAGCAGATCAGGTTTTGGCCCACCTCATTTTTCGAGGTGTCGATCTAAACGTTCATTCCCAGCGGCTCATGAATTTTTAGCATAGTTATCCGTGGCAAAAATAGTCTTGGCAAATCTAACACAATTATTTGTCTTGAAGTCACTACCCAGCGACTCTTGGTTTTATAAGTGTTGTTGCATTCTCAAATACTAGCTTCAACGAGAAGGAATTCCATTTGTAAATGGTCAATCAGTTAGATTGAAAATGGTTTGGTTATCTACTTGATCGAAGGGAGTGTTAGAGTATCTTACATAGAAAGTTTATCAAAGAGAAAAACTAATCGATATATAAATTCTTAAATTAAACTAAATAACCGATTAGATTTAATTTCTTACTTTGATTCTTCCCATTTACTTTATGACCCAATTAAGGAATCCTTTCTTCATCCTAAATCATTATCATATACAGGTATTATATGGTGATACTAGCTAGAATATCCTTATAAAATTTATTTTGTAAATATTTTCAAAATACTCCATATAAATATTTATCTATTTAATACACAATGTAGTTAAGTTCATTAATATATTAATGATCAGTCTTAGTTAGGTGAAAAAATTAAAATGGGATAAATATTATGAGACGGAAAGAGTAAAAATTTATTGGGTCCCTTCATTGATGAGCTTTGAGTGGTATGTTTAGATTTATAATGTTTGGATGCAAATTTGTTTTATTGAATTTATCTAAATATTGGTTTCAAGTTTAAAAAATTATGTATCTAAAAATTACGTAAAAAAGTCTACAAATAAAAACAACTAGTCAAAAAAGTCCATGAACCAAAATTAGAGCTTGTACATTTTGTCTGGTCTAATTTGATCTGATCTAGATTTATTAAACATTGATCTGATCTGGTCTAATATAATGTGATTCTGATAAGAATAAACAATACAATCTTCGTCACGAAATTGATTACAATTTTTTAGGATTTATCTCTCAATAGCGTTAATTTGATTGTGTATTTTCACGGTTATTTAATACAATATTCTTGTAATATATTGTTCTGTAGAACTTAAACGTAGTTTTTTAAAATAAAAATTTTGAAACAAAATATTTATTCTTATACCAATTAATTTCGTAATAATGCAGGAATTTGTCTCGTAAATGTAAAATTTTAATCAAATTTGACATGGAGAGTGCAAGTAATAAGAATAAGTTGGACTCTCCAACTTCTTCTGATTAAATCTAAAGTATTATATTACTCACTCTTGTTAGAATAAGATATTTTTTTAAGTATAAATAAAACTAGTACAAAATCAAATCAGACCATTTCATAAACAATTGTATACATAACTACAATGAAAACCAATTCATCTAGACCAAATCTAATCAAATCAGTCTCTGATAAAATCAGATCAGATGTAATAAGAGCATGGGTGGCCCGGAGGGTGTGCAAAGTGGCCAACTGCACAGGGCCCTTACAATTTAGGGTACCATATTTTTAAATTTATTAATAATTTTAAATTAAAAATATTCTAAAAACATACAATAGGGCACAAAATGTAAATATTGGACAGAGCTAATTTTATTTTTTCATTTTTCGGGACTGGCCCTAAGAGCACTGGAAATACTCGTGAAGCCCCGGGGCTTCAAACTCTCTCTCTCTCTGCCACGTCAGCTTTAACTTACACAAAAAATTCACTGGAAATGGGTTTGAAGCCCCGGGGCTTCAAACATGGGCTTCAAACCTTTATTTTTTACATTTTAAAATATACATCTTCTAAATTTGAATTATTAAATTTTAATTATTTTATTATTTAAATTAATCAAAAGGAGATTAGTACATTAAAAAAATTACATTCATAGAAGAATACATTCATAAAAAAGTTTCATTCATTAAAAAAATATCACATCCATAAAAAAATGACACTACAAAGAAATTACTAATTATTCGAGCAACTAAAAATATATTCATTCAAATTCGAATAGTAGTAAAATATTGCAAACTGAAATAATTCATCAAATAAAAAATACAGTCAATAAAAAAAAGTATGTTAAATTTAATAAAAAACAAAACAAAATTACATTACTAAAAAAAATTTAAACAAAAAAATATTACATTAAACAACAAAATATAGAGTAAAAAAATTATGTTTGTGTATATTTTTTTTAAAGAGAGAGTGGAAGGGGAGAAGAGCTTTGAAACCCGTTAAACATTTGAAGTAGAAGAAATGAAGCCCGGATGAAGCATCAGGGGGCAGTGTTTAACGCCCCCTGAGCTTCAAAAGTAACATAACGCCGGGTGGCTATAGTGGCCTAATAAGAGGATGAACCCAAAGTCTAATCTCGAATCAATTAGGAGACTCTGAGAGGCCGCAGAATCCTATAACGGGGGGCCAAATAGGTGAGTAGTCGGTAGCTATCAGCCTATCACGCGCCAAATTTTAAAAAACGTTTCTTTTTTCTTACTTAACCTTTGTGACACGTGTATGCACGTGTCCTTTCCGCCTGCTCTAGTTTTCTCCGACTTCATTAACCCCTTTAAAAAAAAGCATTAAATAGCTGTACTTTTGATTTATCCACACTATTTAAGTTAAAAAGCATTAGGCCTTATTTTGGAGCATTTTTATTAAGTTTATTAAGTTGGATAAAATATTAATGGTGTAAATTAATTTAAATATTAATGATGTTAATTAATTTTGAAAACACTAAGACCAAGTGAATGTTAACCTTTAAAGCCGATCTCAAACAACCCAAGACCAAGCTAGGACCTTAGTCTCTATAGAATTGTTCTTTTTGAATAATGTGTAAAATTCAATTTTTTTTAATTTATTACTTCATCTGTTCTTAAATAAATTTAACTCTTTGATCAACATAAAAAATTCCATTTTTAAATTTATTTTATTCAAAAATTAGTATAAACATAAAAAATAAAATAAGAAGTGAAAATAATATTTTATTTTTATCTGAAAGTAGCTGCTTCTGGTAGCAGGGTCCAAGGGGCAAAGCCTCTGGTCGAGGTCGAGTTGGAAATTTTTTATTTTGGAAATTATTATTTTATGAATATCCTTTAGATTTTCATGGACAAAAGGTCGATCAAAAACACATTGTATTCGACGTTCAAAAACAGGCCAAAATCACATGCAAGTCTTCCTCACGCGAAGAGACATGTCTGGTCACTTCTTCGTCTCTGCAAATACAGGGATGCACGATATGATTGAGAGATAGCTTTTCGATACTTGTTCTCAAATTAATACTATACCGTACCTATTACATTATATCTTTTTACTAATAACCTACACATGATGACATCCTACTTTTACCTATCGCATCAAGGGTATTTTTGAAAAGTCAACACAAATAAATTATCTCTCTTTATTTTACCACTTTAGTCAAACCGTCTCCATCTTTATGGGACAGGGGAGATATGTTTTATTACTATATATTTACTATAAAATTCACTTTAATTATGTATGATCGATCGTTGACTCCCGGGTCAACTGGTCCGGCCAACCGATTAGCCTTTGACCCACTAACTTGTTCAAGTCAACATCCGATCCATTTTCGAGAACATTAGTTCAAAGTTCAAATCCCTTTGGAAGCAAATATTATTTTTTTTAATGCTATTGACTCTATTACAAGGTAATATCTGTTCATACTATTCTCAAGCTAATGACGCACAAAGAGCCAATGCTGCTGCCTTCGCTGGGGCTCGAACCTAGGTGAACTTCCCCATTAATCCTGGAGAGTGGACTTACTACCACTCAAGCCAGGCGAGAAGTTCGAATATTCTCTCTTGTTGCACTCTTCTTTAATTTATAAGCCCACACATAGGCGGGTCTTTCTTCCATTCTTTTGTAAACATGGTCAATGCATGGTCACATCAACGACTCCTTAGCTTTAGTTTATCGCTATCCCTTCGTTCACACAATTTTTTTTTTCATTCGTTCATAAACTATTTAAAACGAGTCTAGGGACATTTACGTTTCTTAGCTTTAATCGTGGAGGAAAGCATACTTCACACGTCCCAAAGTCAAAAACTCGACAAATCTATCTAACATTTAAATTTATTATATTTAAGAAAAGTATTGCTTGTCGTATATATTAAATAATAAAAGTTGGTAAATAACAAATAAAATATCCAAATCAAATGAGAAGTATTAAATTAAACTATATTTTATTAATATTTTTCACACGAGCACCCTTTTTATATCGGTTTTTCTTTTTTTTTTACCCCACTAGCCAACCTAACAGAAAAAAAGAAAAGAAAACAAAAAGAAAAAATAAAGTAAACAGAAAGGCAAAAAGAATAAGTAAAATATAGAGAAGCCACGCGTCGTGCTGCGAAGGAGACACGGAGGGGCCATATTTTTGTCATGTTCCTAAACCGAGTGGGCCCCGACAACTGGTTAAGAAGAGCTGAGTGTGTTTTTAACAGTGATCTCCACACACGGTGATACGTGGCAACATCCTGCGACCCTGGGCCCCACCGAATCGGCGGCACTACTCCCCTCTCTCTCCTTTCCTTCTATAAATAATGCCCCCCTCTCTCTCCTCCATTTCCCAATTTAGTTAATTTAAATTTTTATTTTCTCTCCGGAAAAACAAACTTTCCGGCGCATCGTACCGGGGAAAAATGGGCATGAAAGAAACCGACCCGCTTTCGCAGCTGAGTCTGCCGCCCGGTTTCCGGTTCTACCCGACCGACGAGGAGCTTCTGGTTCAGTACCTCTGCCGGAAGATCGCCGGCCAGGACTTCTCGTTGCAGATCATCGGGGAAATCGATCTGTACAAGTTCGACCCGTGGGTTCTTCCCAGTAAGTCCGATGCTATAGATCTACAATCACAAGTTTGAGCTTTTTATTTAACACTGTATTTTGGGAATTTGGCTGGATAATAATGTGGTTGATTAATTAACTTGCAGGCAAGGCGATTTTCGGGGAGAAGGAATGGTACTTCTTCAGCCCGAGAGACCGGAAGTACCCGAACGGGTCTAGACCGAATCGGGTGGCGGGTTCCGGGTACTGGAAGGCGACCGGAACCGATAAGGTGATCTCCACCCAAGGGAGGAAAGTTGGGATCAAGAAAGCTCTGGTTTTTTATGTGGGCAAAGCTCCAAAAGGAACCAAAACCAATTGGATCATGCATGAGTACAGGCTCTGTGATGCTCCAAGGAAAGCTGGCAGTTCTCGGGTATGATTCAATTCACCCAAAAGACCTCTGTTTTATTTCAAACAAATCTACTCTCCATGTGACATGACATGTTTATTAGTTTGATTATAGAAAGCAAAGTTTGAATTTTTGGTATCTTAATGCTCTTTTCGTCCACAAATTAATTAACTTCTCGATTTGATTTTACACGTAAATTAAGAAAAAATAAAAACATTTTTTACTTTTCATATTTGTTTTTGGGTAACTGAAAATGAAATAAAGTATAAGTATAAATATTACTCCGTAATTGATAGGTAAAAGTGAGGTTTGTAATGCTTTTAAAGAAAAAAACATTTGTTTTAGAAAGGAAATGTGAAAAAAATTTATGTACATAAATAATACGGAGTATTGAATAAAATGAACATTTTGTTTTCCTTTTTAATCCTCAGCTAGATGATTGGGTGCTTTGCCGGATATACAAGAAATTGACGAGCGCGGAGAAAGTGGCGGCCGGCGGGCAGAGCAAAGAACAGAGCCACCCGTCACCGTCATCTTCGTCATCACAGCTGGACGACATGCTGGAGTCGCTGCCGGAGATCGACGACCGGTACTTCACGTTGCCGAGGATGGGCTCTCTGATCAAGCAGGAAGAGAGGCTGAATCTGCAAGATTTGGGCGCCGGGAACTTCGACTGGGCGTGCATGACCCCGCTCTCCGATTTGGGTCAGGGCACCTCCGCCGCCGCCGGGCAGGCGCCGGCCGGAAACGACGTGAGCTTTCAGAACGACGTTTACGCCCTTGCGGGGATGAATTTCCAGGCCGCGGCGGACGAGGAGGTGCAGAGTGGGATCAAGCGGCAGAGGGTCGACGGTTCGGGTTTCTTCCAACAAACTTTCCCGGCGAGGTTCTCCGGCACGCCCGACCCGTTTGGAATCCGGTACCCGAACCCGAACCCGTCGACGGGCATGGGTTTCACCAGGCAGTAAATATCAGAAAAACGGGTCGGGTGAGGGAGGTGGTTGTATTTACTTTTTGGACCAGAGAGAGAGGGGTAGGTGGGAAGGTTTGGATATAAATTGTAAGGGTACATATGGAAATATGCATCGACAGAAAAAGTTACCATCCAAAAATTAAGCAAAAATTGAATTTCCTCATACATATATATGTTCTTGACTAATATGAGATGAAAATGATGATAAAAACAATAATGAAATATCCATATGTATTTCGATTTTGTTCTAACTTTTGTGTTTTGATTATAATTGTTAATTAGTATTGGTAATTAAAAAAGTATAATTGTATAACTGAAGATTAATTTGTATTCCGATTTTGAAATTTGGAGTAACAATTACTCATGTTGTTTCATAGCCAGAATAATTTACTTAAATAAAACTAAAATAAAATATAATTGAAATTTTTTATTTTTCCTCGTAAGTAATTTTTAAATTTAAATATAAAATTATTTCCACATCCTAAGATCTTCTCATTTCTTGTTTTGATTTTTATGATGTTTAATTAGAGTTAAAAAATATGAAAGTTTATCGAAATACCCTTAATGAAAATAGGTGGAATGTTTTAAATGACGTGCTTTAAATATTACTCACTCCTCCCATAACGAGAGGACCATATTAACTAGAGTGATAAAATAAGAGAATGATAATTTTATGTTGACTTTTTAAAAAAAGTAAGATAGGATGTGTTCATTTTAGTAGTTTTTTTTATAGAAAACGAGAAAGAAATTGTGGGACTTCATTTTTTTGAAATGTGAAAGAATTTTTTGGACGAAAAACTCTATGAATGATAATTGGATTACATTTATTATAACATTAAAATAGATTTTAACTAAAACGTAACGCTCCGTATTCGTGTATTAGCGTTTGAATATTGAGATTTTTGTCTAACTGTCCAAGCCATGGTTAGTTATATGTGAATATAAATTTAAAAGGTTAACAAAATGTTCAATGAATTTAAAAGGAAAAATAAAAAATACATGCATAATATTTTTTTTGTTTACTTAAACAGAAAATGTGGGGAAAAATGAATTTAAGATGAAATTAAAAACAAAATTTCTCTATTTTTAATTTTATGAGAACAATTCGTGAATTTTTTTTTTTTCTAAAAATGTCGATGAAATGCTAAATAGGACGGTTTTCACTTGGGGCGCACACAGCTTCATGTATACTTCTTCGATTCCCTATAAAACCGTTATACTTTTTACATTTGATGCCAAAAGTTAAAAAAATAAAATAAAATTATGTGGTTTAACGTCTTTAACGTGTTACGAAAGAGACATAAGTCACATAAATACTTAGAACGGAAAATATCTTTTCAAAAATGAAAAGCAAAATTGTTTTTGGGACCAAAGAAAAAAATGTGTAACTTTTATGGAACGATTGATTGTCCACATTTACGTCTCATATTCTTTTCTCTCTTGTGGATAGATCATCTCCGGCTATACAATTTTTTTTAAGATTTCATATCGAAGTAAGTGTAGATAAATGTAGGATCATATTAAATTTTAAAAAGAAATAGTATGGCCGGAGATAATATAGGATTATATATTTATATTTTCAAATGTAGGACTATTGGTCACATTAATAATGAGTTATTATTCAAGTATATGTCCACCATCACTGGACGTAATTCCTCTCACTAGACATTATTAAATACTACTTAGAAAATAAAAAAAATTTAAGTTCTACATTAAAAAGTGACATAATGTTTTAATCGTATTGAGGTGGCGCTCAGAAATGAGTCTGAGTCAATATATCCATTATCCATATATGCCCAGTCTTAATCTTTTCTAAAGTTAGATTTTTTTTTAGTGTGTTGCAAAGTTACTTTAATCACATTGTTATTTCATCTGATGGGAATGGTGAGTGGAACTACTTTTAGTCTCTCAATCACAGCCCTGCGTATATTATATGGACGGCCAGGATTATGAGATTCACTGAATCCGTCCAATACCCCCTTGTGGTCAATAATTGGATGCAACTCAATAAATATCAAGAAAATGAATAAATTAAAAATAAAATATGAAGAGAGTATCAAAATTATTTTTTACCAATAATATCAGTATATAATACCAAAAAACACAGTGGGGTGTCGCTATGCTGTCTTATAAACATGGAACTCCTGTTATTTTTGGATTGATATAAATTTTAGTGTAATTAGAGCACGAAAACATCAAAATATTGTTGGGACTGCGTGTGCGCTCACCGTAACTCCGTAGCCCTCGCGGATTTGTTTTTGCGCCTCTGATTATTTCGGTAATGCAGGGTTAAAAAAAGAACAAAGGGAGGAAAAAGAAATAGATTTTGGTTTTGAATCAATATTTCTTTTATAGAAATACGAAATTGTCCCATTGAAATTCATTTAGGTAATGAAGACCAATATGAACTATGTAACAATATCTAAATATTGTGTTTAATTAATTTTAGTATTTTTAAAATTGTTTTGCTATTAAAAGAGTGTTTAAAATATTGGTGCTAATTAAAACATCATGTTCCCTAGAGTTGTTCTTTCGTAGTATTAAGAATCACATGTAAAATATGGACTTTCTCACACTTTTCATAGGTTGGCAAGTGAATTTTTTCATTTTTGCCAAAGACTCAATTTCTTTACGATAAAATGCTGTAAGCTAAGGTTCATAACAAAAACATGAACCTTAAAATATGGGAAGAATTTACCAATTCTTCTCAAACGAACTCTACTTGAGTTTCTTTATTAATTATGAAAGAGTAAGCTAAGGTTAAGCATACCGGGACTTATTTTAATCAAACTATTTTTTTGTGCAGGTTCGGCCCTAAAAAATGAAAAAATAAAATTGGTCCGGTTCAAAATTTAAAATTTGGGCGCTATTTTATTTCTTTAAAATACTTATGTTTTAAAATTAATGTCGAATTTTAAAATATGGGGCTCTAAAATTTTAGAGGCCCTGTGCGATTGACCACTTTGTACACCCTTCAGGCCACCCATGTTTTTGTGAACTAAGTGTTTAAGTTGACTTAAACAAATTTTACTCTGTAATACTATAAGCAAATTTCAATCATATATTTTAGAATTGTAAAATTGAAACGTAAACCTTCTTACATTTTTATAGACTTATAAGTTTTTTCTTTGAAAAAAAACTCAATTCCTTCATAGGGTTCATAACTATAGTCACCTAAATAGGACTAAAACATAATAAATTTCTCAATATAGGACCATATACTTTTATTTTCCAATGTAGGACCATTGGTCATTATTCAAGTAAATGTCCATCATCACTGGTCATTATTCTTCTCACTAGACATTATTAAGAACTATTTAGAGAATAAAAAAGTTTAAGTTCTATATTGGAAAATGATTTACGTTTTTATCCTATTTAGTGCAAATTTCACAAAATAATATGATTTTATAATCACATCAAATTTCTTAAACATTTTTTCTTAATAATTGTGTGAAGTCAAAATGTAACACATGGGCCGATACTCGTCAGGAGGCCGGTGTGTCCAAACGTGTTCGGAGCCCGCAAGTGTTTGAAGGTAGCAACGGGCCGGCCCAAAGCCTTGGGCCTGAGCTGACCCGGACCGAAACACCGTGGAGAGTCCATCTTCATAGAAGGAGGACGCGGCTAGGTTGCGGGAAAAGAGCCGAAGAAATAGGATCACGCGGATCGAGGGAAGGAGTTTCCATAAATGATAATTACCTTAATTATGTACAAAGATATGTATAAATAGAGGGGATCCGGACCGAAAATCTCAAGCAAAACGTAGCGTATAATTCCATAATTCTCAAGTTCTCGTTTCTTAATTGTTTTGGCGATCCGCCTTTTAGGTCGAATTATTTGGTGGAATTCTAGCTTGACCATCAGTAACCATGCATATCTAAGGAAGAGTGGGAGCATTGAGAGTACATAATTTTCAACTCCAAGATCAATTCTTGACCGTCTTTAGTTTATGGTTACTTACAAGTTTTGGATGTAAAATCTTTTTTTAATTAGCTTGATATTCGACTAAAAACTCGAGATCTTAATTGAGTTAACCTTTTGACATGGTATCAATTTCTTTATTGACCTAGAGGTAACATATTCATATCTCACTATCACTTCTTGAAAAAATAATGTTTACATATATGTAAGATAGAGCTAATCAAAAGAGTCATCATTAGCTACACTTGAGTTTTGGATCACATAGTGAAGTAATTAATAAAAAAAGATACATTAAGCTTCTTTTATTTTCTTAATCAAGCTTTATAAAATTTTGGATCCTAAATATAGTAATGCATCAAGTGTATAGCTAATGGAAACAAACTCTTTGCTTTTACGGGAAAATTACTTAAATAGCACTAAATCATAGTGAATTTTCCTATATAACACGAAGAATTTTAATTTCCATAACTAATAATTAATTAATTAATAACTGATTATTACTTTTAGTGTACTAAAATGCCCTTTATATAATTTTATATTTACAGCATCATCACGTCCTACAGTCCTTCGCCTGACGTCGATCACAAAATGCCGACATCAGTGTCCCGTCGCCACTATGTTAATGTCCATTATGCATAATTTAATGATTTCCGTGGTTTCACTCTAATAATATCTAATATCGTTGTTAATGTCTACATGTTCACTGCCAAGACATTGTAGGTTGAAAAAAGATATTATCACAAATATAAATATCTACTGCACTGGCCATCAATGTCCCTGTCAGTAAACAATACAATGTCCATAATTTTTACAATGTCCCATGTTCATAATTTTTTCAATATCCTGAATCAGTAAACAATGTCAATATATTATAAAAAGAAAATATAAGCAGACGAATCAAGCTAAGGAAAGAAAGAATCGATCAAAGGGAGAAAAAAATATAGTCCATATTTTATCAGGAGTACAAAATAAATAAGTGATGGGTGTTTTAGTAAATGTATATTACTAATCATAAATTAATCAATTTAATGTTAGCTTTGGAAAAATACTTGTTCATTGCCATTTGGAGAAAAGTGCTATGTTTTGGTAGTCAAAGTTAATACATTTAAAATGATTAATTAAGTAAAATTTATATTTAATATTAATACAACAATAATTTTATTATTATATTTGTCTGGTATAATATTTTAAAATATTATTTACTCTAATTAATATATCATGTAATTTTTATTTAATTATAAGTCAAATATGTATCCTGATTGGCTATAAAAAGTTAAACTTAACAAATATTTGTCATTCACGGATGAAAAGAGTATTCAATTGTTGTTGTTGTTGTTTTGTACTCCCTCCGTTCTCAAAAATACTTCATCTTTCATTTTTTTCACTTCCAACAAAACACTTCCACTTTCTATTAAAAAACCACATTTACCCTTACTTTTTCATACCCGACCTATCACATCATACTTTTTCTCTAATAATCTACCCATCACATCATACTTTTACCCATTACATCAAGGGTAAAATTGGAAGTCAACTACAATTTAACACTTCCTTATTTTTCCACTTTTTCAAAGTAGGAACTCTTTTTGAGAACGAAGGGAGTATATAACGCTTGTGCAACATAAACTTATTATAACATAACAAATTATAACGCTTGTCGAATGCAAGCGATGCGTCTCGTGATGGTATAAAATATCTTTTAGTTCTCCAATCAGAAAGCTAATTACTCCGTAAACTACTAGTCGCGTTGTTTCGTCGACAATAATTAAAGAACGCACGAAACAGTATGATACGTTAAAATCACATTTCAAATCGAAATGCCATTCACGTGAAGAGACGTGTTAGGATTATGTTAGTGGATCATGCATATGCAAACAAAGACACATGAGGCGGCCGATTAAGAGCGGACGATGCGTCCTTAGTGAGGTTTTAATTAATTAATTGTGTGTAATTAATATTATTAAAATGTGTTTGGATCACAAGAAGAAAGTGGGGATAGAGCTTTCTTATGATTAGAAGTTAGTTTTGTCGTTTAATTAATTGCATAACAATAACAAGTCATGCAGTTACATGCATGGGGCTTCCATTAGTCGACGTCGAGTTGGGCAGATCATATATAATGTTGGGTCTACATTATATTCCACTAATCCCAACTTGGTCATTCCATTATTATCTCCTAATTTCGATTCATTATTGATAATTATTACTCTTTTGCCATTTCCATTTGTACTTTCGCATTCATCGATCTACTACATATTTACTATCATTTGTTTTTTTTAAAAAATACTACCTCCGTCCCTGAAAACCTTTCTCCTTTCTTTTTTCATCCGTCCCAAAAAACACTTCTCATTTCTATTAAAAAGTCACTTTTATCCCTTATTTTTTTCATATCCTAACTATCACATCATACCTTTTTACTAATAATTTATCCATCAAATCATACTTTAACTCATCACATCAAAGGACATTTTTTGAAATTCAATACCAAAATACATTCCCCTTAAATCCTTCTTCAAAATCAAAACTCCCATATTTTTTGGGACGGATAGAGTATATAAAAATGTCTAGTCGTCTTGAGAAAAAAAATTAGAATTAAAGAAAAGTTTACTAGAGATTGGTAAATGATCTTGTAAGTTTTCTTAAAAGGTAACATACACTTTGTTCAAATTAATCTCAAATACTAGATGTGATAAAATTTGATGTGACTTTTTTGTCACTATGCCACATGTTTCTACTAATTAATGATAAGTGGAGATAAACTATATTAAAAAAATGCTACTCTCTTTGTCTAATTTTAATTTTTCCCAGTTACAATTAACAAATTTTGGCTATTAACTAAGTAAAATTTATGTTAAATATTGATACAAGAATAATTATTAGATTTATTTTATAAAATATTTTTGAAATATTATTTTATTTAATTGATATACCATATAATTTTTACTTAATTATAAGTTAGAAGATTAAAAATAGATTAATTTTAAAAACTTAAAACAAGAAAAAAAACTCAGATAGTTGGTTATAGTTTGGAAATAATAATCCACGAACGTAACCACATAACATGAAGTCTCGTAGTTCCCAAAATGAAAATAGCCCTTTCACCTTACCAAACCTATAAATAAAGTTGCAAAAAGTACTCCCTCAAGTGTCACAAATACTTTTCACACTTATTTGTTATATTTTTTTATTAAATTAATTGTTCTAATAGGATCAATTTTATTTTGTTTTCTTTTTTTTTGGGAAAAAATCACACCAACGAACACTCCCAAATTTGGCCGATTATACAATATTACATCCAAATTTTCTTTAGGATGTAATACTCCAATATGAAAAATCACTATACTTTACATTGCTACTTCAGCGCGACCGCACCAGTTTCAGGCTTAATTTCATGAAGTTACTTTTAACGTTTTAAATAATGAGTTGGCAACACATCTTAAGTAAAACAAGAAAATTAAATTATATGCCATTTGAACTTTTTTTTAAAAAAATCCCAATAAAAAAAACTAATTGAGCCCGGCAAAACAGATCTTTTTTTGCAACCTTTAATTCAACGCAGTATCTAATTTAAGTTAATCTCGCTCAACGAAAATATTTTGCATGTTATGAAAAAAATAAAGTGAAATTGTCAATCTACATTATTTTATTAAAAATAAATAAATAAACTTGTTGGCCAAATAAAAAGCCCCATCATTAGGTTGTTTGTTGTTTTTCCAAATCTATGAGTAAAAATGCACGTAATGCACAATGTAATAAAACAAAGCAGCACAAAATTTGGCAGATGTTTTGTTACAGATCATCTCAGTCACATGATTAATTATTACATTAAATATTTTTTTTAGTGTCCAAATATACATATAAAAAACATGTCGACATCTGATTTGGCATTGCATGAATGCATGGTTTCAAGTTGATGCCTGTCTGTAAATAAATATTTTTAGTAGCAAAAGTTGTAACAGAAAGGTTGCATTGTAACATGGCACTATACGTGTGTTACACCCAACTCATTTGCCCTTTAATTTCTCGCACTGTATTTCTAAAAATAATATAGTACTCTATTTTGGAAATAGGTTTGGTCATAAATAAACAAAGCCAATAAATAAGTAATATTAATAGTAATAACTAATTTGAGTATCCCTCCAAAAAAACCTAATTTGAGTATCGCTAAAAAAATAATTTGAGTGTGGAAGTACGTTGGTCTACCCCAATTAAGTTTCTCGACATTCAGTATTCGAGCTCCACCTCTGCGTGTTAGAATTTGAGATCAAAATTACTAAGAGTTACTCAATGTAATAGGATTACTTCATCCGTCCCAAAATTTCTTTTATATATACTTTAATTTTCTTGGTCAAGTTTTACTAACTTTGATCCCAATTTGTGGAAATAAAGTATATGTCCGGTTATAATTTAAAATTATGTTTAATTAAAATGTTAATTTAACATAATTGAAATTACTTTAATTATATTTAATTAAGATTTATTTTGATATATCTAACTTTTATAGTAACATTTGTTTATGTACAAATATACGAAGTGGTTATTAATGGTCAAATTGATACATTATACAGTGAAAAGTCGAATAGTCTTTATAAAAAAAATTTTGGGACCAAGTATTTAGACAAGACTTGTAATCACACCACACTAATAGATTTATATAAACTAACCAATTACCTAGTTCAATTTCAAATCTTATTAAGATATCATTACATTTCAAATTTTCCGTGTGATACTCTAACAACCCACTTCAAGAAGTGGGTTTTGAATCTTATCGAATGACCACTTCCAAATTTAATCTTTCTTTCTTAAAGAGGAGGATGGTAAAATTTATCTTTGTTTTTATACCGGTAAAACTAAGGTCGTGTTTTTTAAATGGATCCTTGATACTATTGTATTATGACAACATGGTACTATATATTGATATTACACGATAGTTTTTGAAATTATATATTAGCATTATTGATATTATAAATCTTATTTTGGAAATAAAAAATAAATATCTTGTTTTGATTCTTTCTCTATATTTTACTCATATTTAGTTTTCTAAGTTTTTTTTGTATGTTTATTCACATGTACACATTAGAGCAAGTGTACCATTTGGAACCAATTCGAACCGAAACTCTGCCACTCTGGTGTCTAATCCGGTCTAGTCTTGTATTGAATTTATGCACGCAGGCACGGTCTCCGGTCCACTACTTAATACTTATTGTGATTCCAGTCGTGCTCCAAGTTGGTCTGGTCATTTGAAAGCTGTGCTCCACACTTCAATGTGAAAGAAATACAGGCACATGGGGGAATCAATGTCATAGGATGACCCGAAATCTCTACGGTGCTCCGCTCGATAAATGGATGGCTCTTATTCTAGATCCGACATACCCCCGCCAATTGCACCCCACAATATTTAGTTGACTTTGGAGTCATATTTTGACTTCAAAGTCAACTAAATCTTTGGGACACAATTGACGGATGTGTGGTGGGTTCGGGTCGGGGTGGGGGTTAGAGAGAGTAAGAACTACCAATCTTTCAAATGTAACACTGTAGGAACCCCAAACCGGGCCCATGTCATAGGATGACATAGAGGGCTAATGTCATGGAGTGATACAATCATACAAAATGTTCATGTGATTAAAACTTGGGTATCATGCTAAGCTGCACTGAAACATGACAGAGACTCATGCGGGGACAAGATCGAGAACGGGAAGCACCCTTTTTTTTCAGATTTTACAAAGAATTTTGGGTATCAGAATGTCCGTATATACCCTAACATGGACGTTTCGGGGAGAAGAAATGGCACTTGTTTGAAAAATATGTGCAACATACGTATCATACATGCTCCAACTCCTCCATCAATACGCCCGTCGGAATCTTTATATGTTAGATGCATTAACACGTACACTCGAGTCAAATGGTTCACTACTCACTCTGCATCTTTAACTTCCGCTTCCACGTCAACAATGACAGCGGAGGATTTTTTGCCTGTTAAAAGCAATGCAAGAACTTTGAGCATCTAAGCAAACTTTCACTCCACAAAGATGTGTTGTGTTGTGCAAATGATTCATGAAAAACTTGTTTTAAGTCTTGGGTTCTGTCTAGTAGGAAGACTTCTTTGGTTTGCACTTTTATATTTTACGAATGTGGAATGGTTTAACACACAATATTTGTCATTGCATAAGAAGAAAAAGATATATTCGTAGTTAAAAGAAACTCAACCTTTCTTGGAACGTGAAGTGAAGTCGTTGGTTGCTTGGCCAAATGATGTTGGCTGATTGGAGAAATTCAAAGGGTCCTTTACAAATGCGTCGCCAACAACTATGCAATAGACAGAAAGAAAATTACGTAAGAACGCATTATAAAAATATTCAAACTTATGAACTCTACCCAGCACATTGAAAAGTTGAAAAATTGATAAAGATTTGCCTTGTTGTGGACATTGTAGGAACAACTAGAGGTCTAGGATTAGAATAGTTGGTTAGACCTTTGGACCTTAGTTTGAAATTTATGCACGTGTTTTTATGCCTTAATCTATAGCTTATGCACGTGTTTTTTCTGCATTTTTGGGTTCAAGTTTCTGGTGTTGATAGTGTGTTTATTTTGTTTTTCTATGTTTGTGTTTGTGGCGGGGTCTCTTGGAAACAACCTATCCTACTTGGTAGTAGGGGTAATATCTACGTACACGCACCGTCCCCAGACCCTAATTTAATGGGATTTTCTTAGGTTTATTGTTCTTATAATTGGGTTGTGGTCACTAAACTCATACACAACGCACACGAGCTAAACCACATTAGAAAATTTGAATTGTTCAAGATCTTATAGACTCATATGTCTCTCTTTAAAGACTCTACATGGGACTCTTTAAGAAAGAGTCAATCCCAAAAAAATATTGACTTACCACTAGTCTACAAAGTGACACTGCAAAAAATTCTACCCCAAATTCAATATATTATGGGGAAATACGATAGCTTAATGCTGATCTAAATCTTTTCTTGAGAGAAACGTGCGGAAAACTAACACTATGTTTGGTTCAAGGATTTTGGCTGGGAAAAGAAAATAAGAGGGAAATGTTTTTTTATGTTTGGTTAGTGAGAAAAATAAAGGAAAAGTGAGAGGAAAAGAAAAGTGGGGAGAAAATGAATTAAAATAGGGGAAAATCATTTTCCTCCCGATTTCGGACGGAAATCGAGAGAATCCTTCTTGTCTCTGAAACCTTCTCGTCACTGAACTCGAGAGAGTCCCGTCTCTCACCCATCTCTGAACTCTGATCGCGCCTCTTAGCTCTCAACCGATCATAACCCTAATCGCGATAAAAGATTGCAACCCTAATTGCGATAAACGATTTCCTTCTTGTACTTTTTTTGGTTGAATGTTTGGTTGGAACACCCCGGCGCTTTACTTCTTGTACTTTATTTCCAGAACTAAGAAACAACAAGAACTCATTTGGATTTAAAGCTAAGTGATATAAAGTTGGCTATGGGGCTCATATTATCTTAGAACACCCATAAACCAGTTGCAGTCATATTCCATAAACCAGTTGGAGGAGAATATACAGAGAGGATTATGAGGCTCATATTGTATTACTGTAAGGGTTTTATTACTCTGCAGAGGGCATTTTCAGTTCTTAAATAAATTTAATAATTTATGCAGAGGGCACAGGCTGATACCTTTGGAGAGGGGAGAGGTCTTCTCACTAGGTTTACTTACTTCAAGGGAGATTAAGAGAGCTTAGTTAAAAAATATAAACTTCTAAATATACATTTTGAAGTGAACTTGAGAATTAAGAGACCTGTGTTCTAGATCTGTGTGCACTTTGAAGTTTGGACTTTCAACCCAAATTAAGAACTGTTGTTTCATAGTATGCAATACCCAATGATGATTGCAAAAAAAAAACATCTTAGGATGATGGGAGTACTGGTAGTTGAGGTGAAAACAACATAAATTTTAGCTAAAAAATGATATTATGTTTTTACCAGAACATAATTGAATATATTAACAATTTAGTTTGTGAATTGACTAGCATGAGAATTCCAATGTTGCAATTAGTTTAGAACGGAGGAAGTAAAATGTAATGTTCGACAAACAGAAACCTGTTCCAATATATTTCATTTATATACTACTTTGTCATATTGAATTAGCTACATGAGAATCATTGGATTTTAACAAATGCCAGATTTATGCTTTGGCTTTAGAAGATATGGATTCCGTAAACTTTGGAGCTCCAAAGTTTCTTCGCCATTTGATGGCTTTAGAAGATATGGCTAGAGCATATACAAAGAGGGTTATGAGGCTCGTTACAAAGGTCTTTTATGCAACAATTTTTTTCCAAGCGATTGTGGTGAAATGTGAATCTTGTACGTTGTATAATAATCTTATATACGTATACACAAACAAGTGCATCTGGGAGATACTCCTCACAACTTAACAGAAACTGATTTTAAGCACTAAACAATCAGGCATGCTTCATCATCTACAAGCTAAGCTTCAAGGATATGCATACATATCATTAGGATAACAATTCATCAAACACATAGAAGAGAACCTGGGACTTACCTGTTCAATATCATGCACAAATTGAGTGTCTGAAAAAGCTTCAAATTCATGACCGCTCACCCCAGATGAATGAAGAACACAGGGTCTTCTAATTGTGCTTTTTGTGGGTCTCTGATTTTGATGGAAAATTGGGTCAGATGTTGTTTGCACAGGAAATTGATGGTTTACGTTTGGTGCCACAAACTTACGCCTAGGCATGGATGTGTTTTGGCGAGAAGACATGGCAGCAAAAACGAAGAAATTCAGTGAGGATTGAATAGAGAGAGGCGATCGTTTATCGCTATTAGGGTTGCGATCTTTTATCGCGATTAGGGTTATGATCGGTTGAGAGCTAAGAGGCACGATCAGAGTTCAGAGATGGGTGAGCGAGAATTTTCAGAAGGTTTCAGAAGGGTTTAGAGATGGGTGAGAGACGGGACTCTCTCGAGTTCAGAGACGGGAATGTTCAGTGACGAGAAGGTTTCAGAGACGAGAAGAATTCTCTCGATTTCCGTCCGAAATCGGGAGGAAAATGATTTTCCCCTATTTTAATTCATTTTCTCCCCACTTTTCTTTTCCTCTCACTTTTCCTTTATTTTTCTCACTAACCAAACATAAAAAAACATTTCCCTCTTATTTTCTTTTCTTTTCCCAGCCAAAATCCTTGAACCAAACATAGTGTTAGTTTATCGTTATTGTTGTCGAAATGTGGTCTATATCATGCCCTTCTTAAGTCACACTCCCTTCAACACTACTATGTATGCCCTCTTTAGATCCCATATGACATCCGAGCATAGGGTAATTGAATCATTTGTTACCTGAAAATGGTTGGCTACAAGAAGGGCATAGCGACCTGTCATCTTCGTCTAGCGCTGATCTGAAGTGGACAAGAAAACATTCAAAACAACAACAAAACAAAATGAAAATTGGAAAAAAAATAAATCAAAGTCACAAGCTTCGAATAAAAGTGATCTTTTGATCCGAACCATACTTGAAAACTTGAACATCACTTCCGCAATTCGGGCACTGCACATAAGAGATGAGAGATCCAATCAACTAAATTCTAGCAGTCCGTTTTTTTCTAATGCAAACTATAGAGATTCTTCAGGCACTTGAATGAATGTAAGCCAAAAATATGGCTCAAAGATAAGAGCCCTTACAGTTCCTTGAAGAATTTCACGACTTGCCCACCAAATGAAAGCCACTATGCCTATTATTGGGAGAAGCCCTGCAAGGATCTGAGGACAAGAGACACACAAAAAATGTTATTCTTTGTTAAGAAGTCGATATAAATGCAAACATTCAAATCATTGATAAACCCGATATTATTAGCAGAAAGTTTAAAAAAACAAGCTAAACTTTAACTCGGAAAGATATTGCAATCAAGGCAAAACAGGCTAAAATTCTAATGATACCACGATAGATTTAGGATTAAAAAACACTCAACTAGGTTAAAAAACACTCACACAAAAGTACACTAATATATGGAATCCAATTGATTAGCTAGCTCAACTCGAGTCTTATCAAGTCAATTCTTTACTAAAGATTCAAATGTGGGATTCTCTAACACACAACATTGATAAACCCTAATTTTTTTCTACTGCAGGAAGTTAAAAAAACAATAAGCTAAAATCTAGCAAGCAAATCCCAACAAAAGAATGCAAATCAGAGAAAGCTACCGAAATCAATCAGATTGTATGAACAATGAGGGAAAGAGAATGAGAGAGGACCCAAATAGAAAGAATTGCATCCAAGATCCAACCAAGCTTTCCAGTGAGGGTAAGGTAAGCCAGCACAATAGCCAAAGCAAGATTTGTCAACACACCCACAGTCCTATTTTCATCATCTATTCCTCCTCCTCCTCCCCCGCTGCCGCCCCTGCCGCCACTAGGAAGACCATTGAATCTGACCAAAACAACTCTCTTCTTCTCTTTCCAACTCTCTTTCTTTAAGAATTGCCCAATTTTACCCCTTCTAACCTCCAAGATAGCCAACCCATCTGCAAAAGGAGCAGCCTTTAATCTTGAAAGGGTGGGAAAGTTGCTGCCTTTCAAAGATTTAAGGCCATTGATGAAGCTGTTGGGTTTTCGGATTAAGGAAATGTGTGGGGCGTTACACTCCAAGAAATTGAGAGGAATTTGTATGAGAGATGCCATGGTTTTTGTGCGAGCTGGAGAGCTCATTCGGTTCTTCAAATTTGATGCCGAAAGTGATAAGAGTCATAATACTTTGCCACTGTTAATTTTAAAATGAAATATTCTTTATTATTTGAGTGTATCTTATTTCTAAAAAAATATTAAAAAGATAAATTTGTAAATTTTGTGAATTGTTTGTTTGTGACTCTAACATTACTCAAGAGTCATACATACACCTTAACCAAAATGCTATTCAAGTTTGACTCATCACTTCTTCTTTATGCGTATGAAATTATGAAAGAAAAAATATAGAATATACTCTTTTAAACTTCGCGTTCACTATTCACAAGGTCAAATTTTATTTACCTTGTTGACTTATTTTTATGTCTTTTTGATAAAATAATATAGTCACATCACATTTAGATCTTTTCATGTAATTTTTAAATATATAATTTTTATTTTTTAATTCTATACTATTTTTCATATATAAAGATTTGAAAATAATTTTAATCAAACATCGTAACGTGCAACAAGAATTTTATTTATGGACGGAGGGAGTATGAATTGATGTTACACTCCACTTTAGATGGCATTACCTTCATAAACGTTACAAATATAGAATCATGAGTTATAGACATCACTTTTAATATAGAGTTTGTCCCAAGAGATACAAGTTTAAGTTTTCTGGCTTAAAGTTCATAAATCTTCACTAAAATTTATTCACAAAATTTTACGTTGTGAGTAGCTAGACTTATTATGAAAATTATTTTTTAAATGTTTTATTTTACAAATACTTAGTCGTGTACAAACATAAATGTTTACAGCTAAAGTGTTGTGTTGATTGCTTAAGTCTAAAGTGATAGCAAAAGGAAAAAAAAGACAATTTTCCGAACGGTTGAGGTAAAAAATATAGTTGAATCGTTGCAATATTATTTTCCAAATTCGTTGATGACATCATGAGTTGAAAATAGTTCTAAACAATTTACTCCATATATGGTTATTGAAGTTTCTTTAATTGTGAAAAAGACTTCTAATTGTAATTCTAACAAAATCCCAATCAATGTAAAACACCTCATAATTTTAAGAAGATTTACTCACTTCCAAAAGCATCTAAAAAGACCAAAACTTGGGGAAAATGCTACAATGGTGATAATTTCATTTGTGCCTGAAGCCAAAAAGAAAACCACAGGTGCAAAATTAGAACAAAAAAGACACTGTTAAGTCTATTATTACAGGTTATAAGTAACCATTTGAAAGAAATGGGACATATAGAGACCATTCTTGACCATATTCCAACAATACAAAAACCATTTTTTAGTCTTTCTTTTTGTCTGCAGAGCCTGCAGGAACGGTAGCTTGGCTGCGGTAAGGTTCAGCAGTATACGCGACCTGCTGAAAGTACGCAAAGAAAACCATTTCCACGACCACCAAAATGTTCTGAAGCGCTTCTTGGATATGCTCCACGTCAAACCAAACATGGTGTGATTTTATTATGCCCAATGCCGCAAGAATCTCAAGGGCAATTCCCTGCGAAAAGAAAAAAGGTGTTGCAGTCTTGATAACCATGAGACATATCCACTAAGGGGAGATAACTTGAGAAGATCAAAGGGTATAACTTATTGTGTTTTCTTGTTAGGAAAATAAAGGGCTAACCGAGTAAAGGGAGAGTGAAGTTAAACTAACCTGCCAGAAACAAAAGAAGACAATTCCTTTGACGCACAAGAACTTGGCAAGCGGCTTGTGGGGTGCTAACTCTTTTGCAAACACGTGGTAGAAGACCACGAGGGAATAGAGAGCTAGTGAAACAGAAATGTTCAAAATGATGGTGAATATCCAGCTAACCCAGGTGGGGTACGCTCCAAGAAGTTGCAGAGCAATCATTAAGATGGAACACACCGGACGGATCACAACAAATTGCCATGTCCAGTCTTTCAGTTGTTTCAATGTGTAATGGTTAAGTTGGACTGTGTGAGGCTGCAATTTGTGTACACAACATCAAGTCAGACAACAATAACCAAGTAAAATCCCACAAAAAGTAGGATCTAGGGAGGGTATGTGTACGCTGACCTCACCCCTACTGAAAACCCACTACCCAGCAAAACTTATTGTTTATTTTTTAAGATTGAAAACTTATTATGTCGATATTCTTTTTACAAAAAAATGCACGTCTACATATGAAAACAGTCATTTCACATTCATTCATGCCTTCTCAAAGTTTCCATCTTTGCTGAGCGAATGCACTTCTGTAGTTTTATCAATATCTAGATGTGCAGTTCTTTTTAAACTATCAACATGATAAGTTCAACAACATATAAAGTTGGAGTAAGATTTCAATATTAAAACATAAACAATAAGGTTGAGAAATTTATCTCATATATGGTGAGTGAAATATAGGTAATTTCCCGATGTGTATACTCCAACAGGTAGAGATACTATGCTGATTACTTCTTTTAGAAATCAATGCTTTGTGCACTTGACTACACATTTAAAATGTATCCATCTATTATAAACAAAGGGAAATCTTTATGATACCTGGAAGAGGGTAACTGGGAATGAGTGATGAATCTCCCTTCCCTTGATTTCATCGGGCACTATATTTTTGCTTATGGATATATTCAGATATGTGTACATCAAACCTAAAAACTTAGCCATCACCTGAAATTTCACAAATAAATATTCGTTAGTAACAAAAAAATGTCTGCAAAGAAAAGAGAAGATTTAAAAAAACACATTGAGAAAAAAAATGTCGTCTTACGAGAGCTTCATAACATTCCTTGATAGACTCAAGAAATGTGAAGAACGTGTTACTCCCAAGAAAATCAATCAACCCAATGTAGGAGACAACGGCATACAAGGGAGCCATGAAGATTATGATAAGGATGGCACTTTGCTCCTTCGGCTTTTTCCATGAAACGCTGTGTTGTGACGCAAGCCGTATAGTGAAATTCAAGGTGAGCATCAAACACACAGTGCAAAATGTCATTGTCATATTAACCGCCTCCATTTTCTTCCCCAATTTATCTTCTGCACATAACAAGTGAAATGATCAAAACATGGGTGTCTGGCTCATAGAACTGCTCTCAATCATTGCGCATGAACATCAATTATGTTTAAAAGTGTGAAGGTTGAACTCATGATCGTTAGGTCAACCAATAAGTCTTTGATACCATCTAAAAAACTCAACTTTGTGATTAAATACCCAGAAAAAGTTTTTTGAGAAATTTATTTAATTAGGACTAAAACATAATGACTTTCCCAATATAGGACCATATGTTTTTATTTCCCAATGTAAGACCTTTGGTCATTATAAAGTAGTCATTATTACTGGACATTATTCCTCCCACTGGGTCATTATTAAGTCCTATTTAGGGAATAAAAATATTTAAGTCCTACATTGGGAAAGTCATTATGTTTTAGTCCTATTTAGTGCAAATTTCACAAGTTTTTTATACTCTAAGTTCTATATATGGATGATTAGAGAGGTTTCTCAATGTTAATTGAGCAGTCAATCCATGACAAATTAGGAAATGGGATATAGTACGGAGTAATAAACAAACTACCAAATATATGCAATAGTAACCCTAAAGCTCGAATCTTTCATCTTTGTACTCAATCAAATCTATATCCTTCAATTTTAGGTGCCCAATCAATCATTTAGATGGAAAAAGAAAAAACTGCATTTGTCACAATGAATCTTGAAAACACCAAGAAACAAAGAAGAAGAAAAAGAGCTTACAGAGTTGATACTGATCGTCGGCTTGATCAGATGTGGGGAGAAATTGAGAGAGAGGGAGAGATAAAGAAGAGTTGAATTGGCAGATCTGTGCTTCCTACTGGGAAAGCTCCATAAAGAATTTGGGTTTCACATTGTAGCAGGAACACGTGATGATGTAAATGCGTGATCAAGAAAATGGTGGGGATGACTGATGAAGAAGAGTCAAGTCGGGAGATAGTGAAAGAGAGAGAGAGAGACATTGGATAGGAAAATGAAAACATAATATCAAGAAAAAAAATTAAAAGAAAAGAAAATGAGAGGATAAAATAAGTTACAGGGATAAAAAATAAATTTTCTTCTTACAATTTGGCCACGAAAAAGAGAGCAACCATTTTCTTTTTTTTCCTCGTTAATTTCTCGAACCAAACATATCAAAAAAAAATAGCAATTGAAGGAAATGGTGAATCTGTAATTAAATCAAAAGACATTTGTAACCCTACATAAAGTGACAAAAGTGCTAAAGGAATAAACAATACTCTATAAATTGCAAGAGGGTAAAGGGCAAACATGTCATTCCCTCCCCTTTTTCCATTGCAAACAAATGGAAGAAAAAATTTAGGAATTTGTGTTTTCATCTCCTCTAATTTTCTTTTCAAATTTTCTCCATCCAAACCCAGGGATAATGTAGTACTTCATCCGTCTTATTTCATTCGCTCTAAATGATTTACATACTTTACTATTTAAAAATTGTAGGAACTTTGCTTATTTGTGTCTTTTCATCGACTATATGATGATATAAAAAATTCTTGTCACTTCTTATTTTATAAAATTTTTGATGTACTCTTCAAATATGTAAATTTTATTTTTTATTTATATATTAATTTTTAAATAAAATGAATTAAAAAAACTTGATATTTTATTTTGTTTTGCGTAAATGATAAATAATTTAGGGATGGAAAGGGTATATCATTTCATTACGCATTACGAGACTTGATCTATTTTATTTTTAATTTAATTAATTTGATTGTAAAACAAATTTTAAAATTAATTTTTAAGTAAATAACTACATTAAAATTTCAGCAAAAAAAAAATTAACGTGAATATATGAGCAAACAAAGCTAGTTAGAATTTTCAATCTACAATGTAAATGCTCCAGGGCCGGCCCAATGGCGGGCAAAGGTGGCCTACCTACGCAGACCAATTTTTTAGAGGGACATATTTTGTAGGGGGCTTACGGNTTAGGAGGTGAGTTTGGGGGGTAAGGAATCGTCAACTTTATGAACGGGGCACTGAAAGTTCTTCAAAATGACAGTGACTCTGCTAATGTCACCAAAAGCCGGTGTCACTTAAATCTCAACGATTCTTTTTGTGTCTACTTTGTTACAATTTACGATATACAATGGCCCCATATGGGAATAGCGTTTTCAATTAGCATTAGCGTTTTAAATAAAATTTAACGGTGTAAACTTTGAAAACGTTAACGCTAAACACTGCTTGTAGATAGCTTTTTTTAAAATATTAACGCTAACTTCTAACGCAGTCCCAAACAAACCCAATATAATATTCGTTCATGGATATTTTTGGAAACACGTCAATCAATTTTTTCAAGATCAATTTGGAATTTGGAGTTATCAAGTGAATTACCCAATTTGATTCTTGAGGTATTACATAATATTTCCATGTCAAAATTACTAAAGGATTGACTTGATAGTAAATATTGAATGAAACTCAAGATTGTGATAACAAGAGGAGTCAGATCTAAATGATTCTAATCTTATTAGAATAAATTCTGATCTGGTTTGATCTAAGTGTAGTTATATTTAAAGTTGTTTTTGGTCTTATCTAGTCTAGTCTGATTTCAATAAAAATAAGTAATAAGTAAAAAAAATAAGTCCAAGTAAACATGGCCTGAGTCTGACTGTCTGAGAATGAAAGTTGTGAAATGCTGACCTAAATTTGAAAATATACAATTTAAAAATTTGCGATTAAGGAATATGTTGGGAAAAAAATAGAAAGCACGAAAGCATTTGGCAACATAGGTTAGAAAAGCTGGGCACCAAACAGAGCCTAAGAGGCAAACCAAAGAGTGTCAAGACTGGAACCAAAAAGATACTGTTAGCTGTACCAAATTACATGTTGTAAGTACCCATTTGGAAAGAAGTGGGATATACAGAGACCATTCTTGACCATCTTCCAACAATCCAAAAAAAAACATTCTTTTTAGTCTTTCTTTTCGACTGCAGTGCCTGTTGCAACGGTAGCCTTGCAACGGTAAGGTTCAGCAGTATACCCATGATCCAGAAAGCACTTCAAGACATGCATTTCTGCAAGCACGAGAATGTTCTGAAGGGCTTCTGGGATATCCTCCACGTCAAGCCAAGCGTAGTGCGATTTTATTATGCCCAATGCAGCAAGAATCTTAAGGGCAATTCCCTGGGGAAAAAAGAAGACGAGTGCATTCTTAGTAACTGTAAGACACATTAATAATAAATGTTGAACTCTGTGAGCTCGTTTTTTAAGCATGTATTCCTTTTATGGCCAATTTGTGAAGGGGGGAAATGATTTCCAGAGTCAATGGAAAATGAGATGTCATACAAGCAACTTGGGGGGGGGGGCTATGCTGGATTTTGGGCCTGAGGAATAATTAATTGATAGGCCTAATAACATAAACATTACGTGTAGGCACGGTCCATTGTAATTAGGTAGCCAATTTACACAACACACATGATGTGTTGTACATGGGGAGGTTGTTTGTGTGAGCCTTGCACATGAGTGTTTTTTCAAAAGTGGTTGCGGTGACATTCACTATTTTTTGGCTTTAGAGTGTGATGGAATAAAGCAAAATGACTCTTTTAGCTATATGTGCTTCTTTTAATGGTGGAGTGGCTAGTCAATGCAACTTTTGACGTAAATGTGAACTCTCATAAGCTTTGATACTGTTGTAATAACGCATGCGAATGGGCATTTGTATTTATATATTTGTCAAATGTGAGAACACTTGAGGAAATTGAAGGGTAAAGCTTAATGTCTTAATGTGGGTTTCTTACTAGGAAAAATGAAGGCCTAACATAGTAAGGGGAGATTGAATTTAAACTAACCTGCCAGAAACAAAAGAAGACAATTCCTTTGATGTAGAAAAACTTGGGATATGGCTGGTAGGGTGCTAACTCTTTTGCAAATGTGTGGTTGAAGACCACAAGTGAATAGAAAGCTAGCAAGACAGAAATGTTCAAAATGGTGGTGAACGTCCAGCCAACCCAGGCAGGGTACGCTCCAAGAATTTGCAGAGCGGTCATTGAGATGGAACACACCGGACGGATCACAACAAACTGCCATGTCCAGTCTTTTAGTTGTTTCAATGTGTAATCGTCTAATTGGACTGTGCGAGGCTGCAATTTATGTCCACAACATCAAATTAGGTTTATATAACTATTACTACAACAACCACAGAAAAATCCCATTAAAGCGGGGTCTGAGGAGGGTGTATGTAAGCAAATCATACTCCTACTTAGAAGATAAGAGGTTGTTCCAAGAATGAATGTCATGTTTATATGACTGAACCAAAAAATTGTATTTAAAAAAGACATGAAATTTTCGAGAAGGCATGAAAGAATGTCAAATTACCATCATTTGATCAGCAAATGCACTTCTAAAGTTTTGTCCATAGGTAGACGTGCAGTTTTTTAGTAAAAAAATATAGAGAAACAAGGTTAAATTTTAAAGCAGGAGTAAGAGTTCAATCTTAAAACATAAAAGATAAGGTTGAGAAATCTATCTCTTATATCGTGAGTGAAAAATATGGGTAATTTTCCCATGTGTGACAGTTCAACAGCATCTGTGCATTATGTTTATCCATTTTCAAGCTAACATTTGCCTATATCACACCCTTATGAGTTATGGCAAGACCCTTCCCGGGATATTGATGCTTTTTGCACTTGACTACCCTTTTAGAATGTATCCATCTATTATAAACAAAGGCAAATACCCTATAATACCTGGAAGAGGGTAACTGGGAATGAGTGATGAATCTCTCTTCCCTTGATCTCATCGGGCACTATATTTTCGCTCGTGGACATATTCAGGTATGTGTACATCAAACCTAAAAACTTAGCTATCACCTGCAATTTCACGGGCCGTTAGTCGCTAGCAACGCAAAAAAAACATCTCTAAAAGAAAAAATGCGAGACGAATGATGTCGTCTTACAAGAGCTTCATAACATTCCTTGACAGTCTTGAGAAAAGTGAAGAGCATTTTGCTCTCGGGAGAATCCATCAAACCAATGTAGGAGACAACGGCGTACAAGGGAGCCATGAAGATGATGACTAGTATGGCACTTTGCTCCTTCGGCTTTTTCCATGAGAAGTAGTGACGCAACCCATTTTGTAAGGCGTACAATATGGTGAAATTCACACACGTAAAGCACCATAACATTAGCTTAGTCCCCTCCATTTTCTTCTCCAATTTATCTTCTGCAAATAACCATTGTTGATCTTCTATTCGGATATGTATGAAATATGCAGAAACCAATTAACAGTAAATATAGAAAACAAAAAAATAGGATTCTTCCGTTCTAATTTTGCGTATATATCCATACGTTCCAGAAATAAACTGAAACATCAAAGTTAGTGCCGGGAAAGAAATAAAAAAAAAATGGTAGATCCACAAAAAAAATCTAGAAATCCACTGAAAGAAATCGCAGATCCACAAAGGATTTCTAATCCTTTTGTATAGTTTTTTTTTTGTAAACGGAACATAAAGAAACGCAGATCGGCTATTTCCAATTCCTACAGTATCCCCGCTATCTTTATCAGACGGAAACGAAAACATAGAATAGATTCTATTTTATAAATTATCCGTAGGGGAGGCAAATTTTTTGAACTTAAAAGCCATACCTCTTGAAAGCTTTTACTCCATTGCTCTAAATGCCTGCGCAAGAGAAAAGGGTGGGAGACGAAAGACGTTGGAGAAGATATTTACTCCGTATTAGTGTTTAGGAGTGAGGGATAAGTGATTAATGGGCCTTATAACGCTAAAAATTAGTGTTAATGTTTTGAATAAAATTTAATGATGTTGATTATTTTGAAAAATGCTATCGCTGCTTGTAGATAATCTCTTTAAAATGCTAAGGCTAATCACTAACGGTATTTCCAAACAAGTCGTAACTAATTATGACATAGACCCAAATTTGGCTAGCATTTCTAGGAGGTAATTATGACAAGGGCAGTGAATTTTTATTGAAATTATTTTTAATTAATTTTTTATTATGTGGATGTTGCTTTGTAGTTATAAAGTTGTCAAAATTACTTATTTACTTATAAGCATTTTTTAACTTATAAATCACCCGATGACATATTTTTTGTGCTTATAAGTTGACTTATACGCTGCTTATAAGTCAGAAAAATTAAGTAAGTCTTAGCTACTTATTTTTCTCTTAAAATCTTAAATGAAAGTGTTGATACTCTCTAATATCCATAAATCAAATTAGTACTTCGTATTGTTTTTTAATTGAGAAAAAACACTAAAGTAGTAGTAAAATACTTAAAAATATACCAAAACAGAAGTTCTGTGTTTTTACTCTCAAAACAAGAATTAAAATGCATTTACATTATCAATCATGATCATTTACATTGCCAAAAGTATAGTAAAATGTACAGGTACAATGCAACATTACCATATCTCAAAGTCCTATTTAGTGAATAAAAACTTAAAATTAATTGAGAAGAAATTTTTAGGCCGTAGTGAGTAAAAAGGAAATCAGCCTAAATTGCAATAAAAAATAGATTATATCAAAATAAGACTTTTTATATTTCTATGCATTAAATAGAGCATTGATACTCTCTAATGTCCATAATCAAATTAATATTGTTTTTACTTTTTTTGTGTGAGTTTTCTGTTTGTTTTCAAATGTACACTAAGTTTTCAAAATGTTTAAATTAATGTTAAAAATATACGGAGCATTCTTTAAACTTTAAAATAATGTATAAGTAATATTTTTTTAATACTATTGAATATTGATTCGATCATATTAGAGATAATAATATATGAATATCCAAATGAATTGGTGAAGCTGAGACAACAACCTGCATTTATTTGAACAAAATACACACTATTACTCTCTAAATGATATCAATAAGAACGTGACAATGGTATATAAATCAATCTCGTGTTAACATTTACAGCACATATCATCAAATTTCCAGTATATAAAACAATGTACGTAAAGATCAAAACTCCTATAAAAAAAACAATGACATGAATGGTTTGATCTCACCGTCCCCGCGGGTTCACGAGCTGCGAGAAGACAGCAGTCGTCGCAGCATCATCGTCCGTCGTTGCAGCCGAGTGACGACTAGCGATCGCCTCGATCGAACCCGAGCTGTTCTCGAACCGCGACAGCGGGATGTGGTTGGTGCTGCTGTCGGCGGGGTCCGCGAGGGCCCACGAGGCCTCCTCGAGCTGCAGGGCGTACTCCAAGTTCCACAACACGTCGCCCATCGAAGGTCGGTCGACCCCGTGCTCGGCTAAGCACTTCTCGGCCGTCTCCGCGTACTTCTTTAGGGAGGCCAAGCCCACCTTCCCCTTCAGGTTCGGGTCGATGATCTGGCCCAGCATTCCCTTCTTTTGCCACGTCATCGCCCACTCGGCTATATTGACCTGGTCCCGCGGGAGGACTGGGTTTAGAGCCGGCCTGGTGCAGAGGACTTCCATTAAGACAACCCCAAACGAGTACACGTCCGACTTCTCTGTTAGCTGTTGCCTTCGGAAGTATTCGGGGTCGAGGTACCCGAAACTGCCCTTCACGGCTGTGCTGACGTGGGTTTGGTCGATGGCGGGCCCAGTTTTCGAGAGGCCGAAATCGGCGACTTTGGCTACGAAGTTTTCGTCCAAAAGTATGTTCGTGGTCTTCACGTCCCGGTGGATGACACTCTGTGCTGCACCCGTGTGGAGGTAATGCAGTCCCCGAGCGGCACCTATGCATATCTCGAGCCGTTGCTTCCACGGCAACGGCCGAAGATGGGTCCCGTATAGATGGCTCCGTAGCGGCCCGTTTGCCATGTACTCGTAAACGAGAATCATCTCTGACCGTTCGTCGCAATAGCCGATCAACGACACAAGGTGACGGTGGCGGAGCTTCGAGAGCATTTCTATTTCGGTTCGGAACTCGGCCATCCCTTGCTCGGATCTCGAGTTTCCTCTTTTCACGGCCACTTGGGTTCCGTCGCCCAGCGTGCCCTTGTACACCCTACCGAAACCGCCAACCCCGAGCAGCAAGGCCTCGTCAAATCTGTTAGTGGCGTCCGTTATTTCCTGGAACGAGAAGAATCTCCCGAGGCTAGAAGAAGCCGCCAAGGATATGCAGCTAGGCGTTGCTCCTCCACTCTTTTGGGAAGTTGTGGACATTTTAGTCATGGTTAAAGAGTTTCCATATAAGGAAAGTTGAAGCCATTGATGGCCATGTTCATGGTGCTTCGACATTCGTGTGGCCAGACAGAAGCAACACAATCCAGAAACCAGCAAAGCAGACAAGCCACCAACAACTGAACAAACAATGATGACAAACTTTTTCTTCTCTTCCTCTTTTTTAGGGAAACCCAAGAGACTCTCGACGGGCGAATCTCCATCCAAGCTTCTAGCGGCATTGCTGATCTTCATGATCTCCAACCCATTCATGATCGCGTTGTAGTTATCGTCACTTTGGCCAGGACCCACACTCACGGTCAGTGTACCCGACCCAGAACCGGAGGACGCGTTGGACACAAAATCCCTATAATAGGGGACATCCAAGTTACCGACTTGATTGGATAAGTCAAATTCAGCCAAAGCAATGTTGTCGTTGATATAAAGGTCAAAAACCAGCATGTTCAAAGACTCACTCACTATATCACAAAAATGAACTCTGACCAAATACATGAAATTCGGATCCACGGGGAAGACCCAAGAGATGTTGAAATTCTCATTTATGACATTTGCTTCGCCCATAGTCTCAGCTGTCGCATAAACCCAATTCGGCGCAACTTCTTGGGTGACAGTCGCCGGATACCTTATGCTCAAAGGACTCACAGACATATTCACAGCAGAGCTGTTTATGTGGAGGTATTTCATATCATTCTCCCAAGTCCTTCCTAGTGTATCGTTCTGTGGGGTAAGCAGAGGGCCACCCATGTTAAGCCGGTAAACTGTTTCAAGGGCAAATCTGGAAAGACCATCAGAAGATCCGGGAGGGTAAACGATCGGCGCCTTTTCGGGGATCAACTCATCTGGAAAGGAAACAACTTCAATGGCATTCACAAATGCTATAGAGCTGTTGGATGGTATGAAAGTGAGAGTCAATGTATCAGAAGATATGTTGATCGCATACTCTTTAAAGAGGTACGACGAACGGTTATATCTTTTGAAACTGAAATTGTTCAAAAGAACATAGCTTTCTGCAGTTACGGTGATGGAGGCAGATGTTAGGTTCTGGGCTGGGATCGGATAGAAATAGAGACGAACCCAATGGCGGCCCGGTTTCTTGATATCAAAGCTGTAAGATGATGGGGCGGTGAAAACTCTTGCAGATTGATAAATAGGGGATGGGGGAGTTGAATTTGTGGCAGCAGAAACAACATTTCCAACAGTTTTCAGAGTGAATGAGGATCTAGACGGCGAATCCGGGATGTACGTGTGGCCAAGAAATGTGACATTCTTGGAAGATCCACATACAATCAAGAACTCATCCACAGGACTGAAAGCAGAAGCTTTACCCAGTAAACCTAATAACAAGAATGCTACAAAAACACCAGAAACCAAAGGCTTCCTTTTCTGTCTCCTCAAATTCACCATCTTAGGAATCAACTGCAATAACCCCTCAAATTGCAATTCACGATTTGAACATCTATCTACCCCAGTCGAATCCCAGAAACTGCAACAGTCAATTCTCAACAATCCAGCAGAAATTCACCAAGAATACACCCAAATCATCAGTGTTCATATAAAGTAAAAGAGGACAAAGCTCTAAAAGAAAGAACATCCATTGGAGAGAAGAAAAATGACATAAAAATTCAATCTTTTTTCCAAATTCCCACTGCCCTTACCTTACTAGTGAGTGAATGGAGCAAAGAACTCTGAGAATGCTGAAGAAAATGAGGACTGTGGGTATGGGTCAGAACTGAAAATTGAGGAAGAAATTAGTTTAATGGCTTGAAGCTCAACCCCAGAATGGAGGGAGAGACAGATCAGAGGCTTTATTTTTTTTCTAGTGGGAGATGAAACAGCCCTTTCCAGGCTGGTTGATTATAGGCTGTCAATTTTCTACAGAGAAAATTTTGCGAGGAGAAACGGGTCGGACCCACCATGACCCGAGTTGCAAGAACAGCTGTTTTCATTGTGGTTTGATTTTTTTATGTACAGATACTTGATTACTCCTGTAGTACTAGAAGAAGATGCCATGCAATTAGAGTTAATCTCCATTGATTGAAGTTCCCAAAGATTGGACTTTGTGCTTTGTAGCTCTACAGTAGACCCTTGACAATCATAGTCGAGATAAGAAAATATGCGGTGCGCTCCCACGGCTGAAATTGTATTCCCTTTGATGAGTTTGATACTATGGCGGAATTAGGGAAGACAGGTAAAAATCATTTACTCCCTCTGTCTTCATTCTTTCTTTTCAGTTTGACTCTTTACCATTTTTAATTTTTCTATTTGACTTCAAATTTTTCTCTGCTTAAAAAAGATTTTTTGAATTTTTTTTTGTAATCATTCAAAATATAGAATTAGAAGATAATTGATGTAAATACATGAGGATATTAATATCATTTTTCATCTTTTTTCTTCTAATGGGAAGGTAGTTTTAGGACGGTGAAAAAGGAAAAGTGGGAAAAAAGTTTTAGGACGGAGAGAGTAATAAATATACAAAATTTGGAACAGTAGTTACCTTAATTGGTAAAGTGCAACTAAATATACCTTTTATTTGTGTAAAAGATAAAAAGAGTAAGAGTTGTTTGAGGTCGTGAAATTTTTTTTGAGATGCCAAAAAACGCTGCATAATAATTTCATCATCAATACTCCTAAAAATTTCTTTCTCAAAGTAGCACAACAGACAATCTGATAAAAGCTCATCTCCCAAATGATTGCGTAAATCAGTCTTGACAATATTTATCGCAGAAAAACTTCTTTCCAACAGGTAATATCGATACCAATTCTATAAGCTGATATACCAAAAGAAAATATGTGTGATAATTCGTCTCCACCATCTTTTTTGCAAGACTTGCAAGACCGGGGCTATTAGCAAAAACTTCATCCAAAACGAAAAAAAATTAATGTTTCATTTGTCTCACTTGAATCTTTACGTACACTATTCAAAGGTCAAACTTTACATATTTTGTTTTGTTATTTTTGTTACTCATTTCATAAAATAAAATGATCATATCGTATTTATTTTTATATTTTTTAATACTGCATATATAATTTTATTTTAAAATTTTAAACTACAATGAAATAAATTAAATTAAAAGTCACGTGTAAGAGCAACTCCAATGCATTGGTTATATTGTAAAGTATACACTTTTTACACTTTATTGTTCATTTTATCTCACTCCAAGGGATAGTGTAAATGTGATGATAAAATACACTATAGTGAAAAAGCAACTCACACCTCTTATTTCTACATGCTCCTGTAGATAGGGAAAAGGATTTTTAAAATTACTTTATGACCCCTTTTATCTCTCGCCACCCCTCCCCCTCCTCTCTTTATCATTTCTAGTATCTCCATGAATCCAAAATCACCCGTGTTGTGCTCATTCCCCAGGTAAATTGCTGGAATTTATATTAATTGTATTGATTGCTCATTATGAAATGGAATGACCACCAAAAAAATTTAAAAATGAGCTAATTATTTAGATATTTACTTTTAAATAATATTATGGAATTTTTAACAATAGATTAATTAGATTATACAAAAAAATTGATTCAATTTTACACATAATAAAGGTGATTATAAAAATAAAATGCTCTTATTATAAATAGTAATTATTATGCATAAAGAACTCAAAATAATAAAATATTGCAAAAGTGTATAATATACTCCCTCCGTCCTAGAGTATTTGTCCATTTTCATTTTTACACACCATCTAATACACTTCTGTAATCTATTTTATCTTGTAATTTGTATATTGAAAAATTATAGAAATTATATATTAATAATCTATATGTTAAGACAAATCAAACAAGATCACACATGACTATATTTAGGCTTACACATTGAGAGAATTTGATGAGTCAAAGTGTTTAGATGAATAGTTCCAAAAGTTAAAAGTGGACGAATATAGCGGGACGGAGGTAATAAAAGATTTGATTAAAGTGAGTATAAAAAAGTAAATGTGTAAAAATTTACACTGCAACCTTTACCCTGTCCATTGAAGATGCTCTAAACAATTGCCTTCTAAAAATAATGTTGACCGGTTTGAACCTGTCTATATTCTAATTGGACCCCGTCCGGTTTCACCAATCATAACATGACTAATGGCGTCACCTGGTAGTCTCGGCAGTCGGAAGGTTGCACCGCCAGTGGCGCCAATTCAGTCCGCCGGTAAAGCAGCGCCCGCACTTTCCAAGACGAAAGTCCGCCGGTTCAACTAGATCCACTTCCTCCTGCGGCGGCGGCGAGGAAAAGGGATGGGAATTTGGGGTTTCATCAGCTCCACCGCCGATTCAGTGAAACGAAACACGCCCGGTCCAGTCAAGCGAGCATGCACCGCCTTCTACACCTACTCATCCCTCGCCGTCGGGAAGATCGGCTACGCCTGCGGGCTCGTCGTCGACGTTCGCCGGCTCAACCCGGCTCAGTATATCCCCGACTCCGAAACCCGCGCTAAGATCGCCGTCTTCGCCACCAGGTTCGCCAAAAACGCCGCCGTTTACACTGTCAACGAAATCGCCAAAAACAACCCCGGTATCTTCTACAAATTACCACTTAATCTCAACTTTTTATTACTGTTATGAATCTGTGCTGAAATGCAATTTTGTCCTTTTATCATCCAGTCTGTTTTAATGGTTTATTGTGCTCTACATTTTGCTTTTACTCTATCATAAACAAGGTTTCACATTTGTAACATTTTTTTTTTGGTTCGTTACAGAAAAAGTGTCTTGGTTCACACATTTCTTTTCTTTGTTTTTCACAAAACTGAAAAACACATTTTCATCTTAATGAATAATCTTGTCCAGAGTCCAGACAATTATGGTAATCATATTTTGAGAGATGGGTGTATATGCTGTAGTTTGAATGAAGTAACTTAGAGTACATAGTAGCATTGACTGTAATATAAATGGACTTACTTCCCTTGTTTGGAAGATTGTCACGAATGGCTGGAGATGGGGGCACATACTTAGGCGGGCGGGGATGGAGAAACATTAATTTTTCCAAATTTCATTGAGGATTTGGTCGTGAAGACGCTTCCGAATAACCAAACCAAAATCATGTTTTTGGGATGGGAAACAAGAGTTACTTGAAGAATCTGTGCAACATAAGTGAGTGAAGAGTTACAGATTGTAATTTGTCGCACTATTGGCTGGCTTGTGTGCTATAAATACCCTCTCCGTCCCTCACACACGATTCTTACGTTTCATTTCTTTCTACTCCATAATTTTGGTATATTATATTGATTATGTCATAATTTTGGTGGATTAACATCCATCAAAAAATGTGGGGGGAAATGATTTCTGTTCAATTCAGTTCCATTCCACTTGACTCAATTGAGTGCTGGCAGTTAATTGGATTGTTATAATGCTATGCAGTTTCAAAGGCTGTTGCTTCCACTTATAAAAAAACCATCCGCGAGTTGGAATGTGAAAATCACAAAGACAAAAAGGATCAAAGAGTTATGAAACATGTTTCTGCTGCTTCAACTAAGAACCATGCTGATGTTGAACCGAGTGAGCTCCGGGAACCAGAAGTCAAAGACAAGCTAAGGATGTTCCTGCCAGTGAGAGAGCTCGCAGCCTGTCGGGTCTTTAATGAGTTGATCATTCTGGACATACTTTGCGCAACACATAATGATCATCACTCAACACGGCAGGATATTCCGCGAGATAAGGCTGGTGTGGTTGAAGTCTGATTTGCCCTTGTGTGGTCTGGTTTGGCTGTGTTTGGGTTTGTAGTATCTGGGGAACATGTGTGCTATGTTTATGTGTTATGTAAAAAAAAGTGTCTGCTTTGGTCCTTTTTTGTGTTCTATATCATGTGATGGGTTTTTGTGCTTTGGATCAGAGCACATTGTAAGGCAAGTCATAAGCCTATCTTCTTTGGGATGCTATATATATATATATATATATATATATATATATATATATATATATATATAATCCCAACATGTCTTATCATAAACTACTACATCTACCCCTTCCTCTCAAGATGTATGTCTAGTTTGATTTTTTAGTGTTGAATGTGGCTAATTTTTTACATCAACAACAAACAACATTACTCCACTGCCTCAAAGGCTCCCACCCATTGCAGGGTAAGGGGGTCGGATGTACGCAGTCTGACCCCTATGTTAAAACATAGAACGATTGATTCCAGATGACCAATGTTGAGCGTTGAAAATTGCATTGAATAAACGTTAATTTATTGTCAAAAAAGCACAGATAATTCAATATCCATTTTGTTTTATTTTATCTTATTCTAAAGCCAAATAATAGTGAACATTTGACTCCATTGAAGAAAATAGTAAAGGCTAATGTTGTACATCAGTTAAATAAAAAACACATAGTATGTTAATACTCCGTATAAATTAATTATAAATTTTAATTTCAAGATAGTCAGGTCGAGATTTTTAAAAAATTAAGTGAATTAAACTATTCTTAGCCACATTAAAATTTAAAATACTTAGTGTTTACATAATTTTTTTAGTAGTAAAAAATAGCTTTAAAAATATTGAAGATTATTTTTTTGGGTCATTATATTGGGATTGAGATATGAAAAGATGGGACTAATGTGGTCCTTGAGATCTGTCCGGTCTCGGACTAGTAGTCTCATTTGGTACTTGATTTTTTATGAAAGACTAGACCGGTCCCGAATTGGAAAATCTTTTCCAAAAGACTGGACCGGGACCAGGACCGGACTAGGACTATAGATATAACGTATTTGAAATATAACTTTATTCATGTCTATTTGTACTTTTAATTTTTATAGAAATATATTTATCCTATCAATATAGGGCATAGTGCAGCACATAATTTTGTTTAAAATTTAGAAAGAAGTGTTAAAAAATCTCATACCTATAAATACAGATATTAGATTTTTTCATTAATTCTATTTAACTTTCATCTTACATAATACTCCGTAATATTCATGTTGCATAATTATTATAAATCAATAACATATAGAAAAAAATGAAATAATCAAAAATATGATATTTTTATTTTTTACGAGTATTTTTTGAAGAACAAAAATTTAATAATTTTACATATTAAGGATCAGACCGGTCCTTATGGGACTAATCCCATAATGTCCCTGTTTTTTTCATGAAGATTATGAGCATGTTTGAAAATAACATTAGAGCTCAGCATTACTGTTTTGGTAAAATTTAGTGAAGTAAATTACTTTGAAAACATTAACATTAAATACTCCCCTAGATAGTCTTTAAAGTGATTCTCAAATAAGCCATATATACTAACCTTTCAATGACCAACTGGTTCCTCCTCCTCTCCACACTCCACCCAGGAATCATGGCATTCGTAGCTGCCAGCCACCGCCTCAGCGGCCTCAGGAGACACAGTGAAATCGCAAAACGCGTCTCAGTTCCCTGCTTTTCCACCGTAGCTCAACCCAGTTCTTCGCCTGAGACGCCCCTGGAACCAGTTCCTGATTCCCCTTCTCCCATTTCCCTGTTAGTCTCACTTCTCCGGAACTCAGACCCACAAGATTGGAGTACCAATCTGGAGCTCCATGAGTTCCTGCGCAGTTCTCCTTCTCCCAACTCCGTTCTTCAAATCTCCCGTCAATTGGGAACGGCCGAGAAGGCGCAGCAGTTCTTCGACATCTTCAGAGCCCAGACTTCACCTTCTCCCCATCACTCATTTTCCGTATCCCTAGCGTTCCAAGCTATTCTCGAGCACACATCCCGGGAGTCTGGGAGCTCACCCGCTAAGCTTTACGAGCTTTTTTGCTCTCTTAAAGAGATTGGAATCCCCCTGTCTATCAATTCTGCTATGATGCTGATTCGTTGCTTTACAGGAGCCGGAATGTTCCAGGAATCCGTACATGTTTTTGACGAACTTTGCCCAGAATCGAGGAACGAAATTGTGGTGAAAACGCTTCTGGTTGCTTTGGTCAGAGGGGGGTGTATTGATTATGCTCTGAAGGTGCTCGACGAAATGCTCCAACCTGGCATGCTTTTCCGGCCCAACCAGAACACATTGGAAATGCTGCTGTCTGAGATTTGGAGGACGGGCGGGAGAGGCACAGAAGCTTCGATTGGTGAGGATGGAATATATGAGCTTGTTTCAAGATTTGGAGACCACGGGCTGTTCCCTGGTGATATCTGGACATGTAAATTGGTGAACAGGTTTTGCTGGGGTGGTAGATGTTATAAAGCTTGGGACTTTCTTCACAATATGATGAGGTCCGGGGCTTTGGTGAGTACCCGTGCTTGCAATGTCATTCTGACAGGGCTTGGCAAGAAGCACGATTTTCAGAAAATGAACATGCTTACAAGGGAGATGAAGGAAAAAGGGATTGCACCGAATGTGGCAACATTTGGGATTCTGATCAACCATTTGTGTAAGCTCCGTAGGGTCGATGAGGCATTGCAGATTTTTGAAGAGATGAAGGGTGGGAATGAAGGCATTCCTTCTGTTCACCCTGATACAGTCATCTACAACACTCTGATTGATGGGCTGTGCAAAGTTGGGAGGACAGAAGAAGGGGTGGCTTTGATGGAAAAGATGAGGTGGGAGGAGAATGGGTGTGCCCCTAATGCTGTTACCTATAACAGTCTGATCAATGGGTTTTGCAAAGTCGGAGAGATTGAGACTTCTGTCAATCTCTTCCTCCAAATGACAAAAAATGGAATAGTACCAAGCATGATTAGCTATAATACTCTGCTTGATGGCATGTGCAAGCACGGAAGGGTTGGTAGCGCAATGGATTTCTTCAACGAAATGAAGGAGAAAGGTGTTAGGGGGAATGCAGTTAGTTACACCATACTCATTACGGCTTTCTCCAGTGTCAAAAATATTGAGAAGGCAATGCAATTATTTACCGAAATGACAGAAAGCAGATGTCATGTTGATGCAGTCGTATACTACAGCCTGATATCCGGGCTAAGTCAGGCTGGAAGAATGGACGATGCTTGCCTTGTTTTGTCAAAGATGAAAGATGCGAATTTTTCGTTAGACATAACCGGCTACAACATTCTCATTGCTGGGTTTTGCAGGAGGAACAACTGGGAAAAGGTTCAAGAGTTGCTTCAAGAATTAGAGCAAAATGGAATCAAGCCTGACTGTGTCACATTCAACACACTGATATCATTCTTTTGTAAGAAAGGGGACCTCCCGAAAGCCCAAAGATTGATGAAGAAGATGAAAGAGGATGGCATGGTACCCACAGTCGTCACTTATGGAGCATTAATTCATGCATATTGCGCGGGTGGTAAAATGGACGAAGCCATGAAACTGTTTGAGACCATGTGGTTGAGCTCCAAAGTGTTGCCCAATACAGTGATATACAACATATTGATAGAGTCACTATGCAAGAGTGACAAAGTTGAAGATGCTCTCTCTTTGATGAATGATGATATGAAGGCCAAGGGTGTCATGCCTAATACGACCACGTATAACTCAATCTTCAAAGCTCTCCGAGAGAGAAACTGGTTCGAAAGGGCTTTTGAACTAATGGACCAAATGTCTGCAAGCCTCTGCGATCCTGATTATGTTACCGTGGAAATTCTCACCGAATGGCTCCCTGCCATTGGCCAAACTGACAAGTCTCGATCTTTTGTCGAAGGACATCAGGTTTCAAACTCTGGTGTGTGATGGGTTAACAGATATTTCAATTTAAGACTTGATTCTAAACCAAGATTACACCTTTATTTTAAGCTTAACAACTATTCGGTAGGTATATCGATGGGATTGTTTCTTCCAATTGGAAAGAGGTTAGCAGTGTGTACAAATCATATGCTCCATGTTTGTATGTGTCCACAGATAACGTTACGTTGAATAAAACACGGAGCGTCTAACATTTTTTTCTAAGATATTCGTGTGAGTTTTGTGTTTCATCCTCAAGTTTGTACACTGCAAAATCCAAAACAAGCAAGAAAAGGTACTTCCTTTCATAGGCCATGTTCTCTTCAAGTATTAATCTTGTTAAACTCAGATCAGATCAGAACCAATCGAGGTGAAGAGAGCACGGCCATGATTAAATGTTCAAGTCAATTGTTAAACTCAGATCAAATCAGAACCAATCTGGAGTACCTTCAATTTCTTAATAATGACTTTCAGGTCCCACATTATCTGAAATATACTCTGGAGTATCCTCGTTTTTTGGTAAGAACTCTCAGATCCTATATTATTTGAAAAATACTACAGGGGTCCTTATGACTCAAAAGTTTTAAAACTTTGACAAATGCTAAACTTTACCTTCATAGTTATTATTTTATTAAATTTAAATAAAATCCTTCAATTTCTCAAAGTAAAACAACTTTCATTCCTAACGCCTGAATAGACGAAATGTACCCTTGAAGTATAATATCACAAATTTTAAGGATCTCAAAATATATTTCGAATAATATGGACTTGAGAATTCTTACCAGAAAATTGAGGGTACTTGTGAGTCATTACCAAAAAATCGAGAGTACCCCAGAATAGTTTTTTGATTTTTTTGCAACCTTTTCTATTTGTTTATTGCTCTCATACACATAGTCTTCAGAATCAAACCGTAGTCGAAATGGTCAAGGTACTGGTTCACTAATCGAACCAGTGGTTTAAGCATACTTTAAAAATTTTGAAGTATGTGTGTCTGTATTGACACACACACACACGTACATGCATATACATATAGACACACACACTTCCTCATTTATAAATACCTAAAGAAAATACTCCGTAATTTATAACATTTGACTAAAATTATATTAATATACTTGAGTTATTTTACTAAGTAAAAAAATAAAATATACGTATTTAAAAAACAATATTAAAAATTTTATAAATGTAGAGTTGATTTTATTTTTTTAAATAAGTTATCTAATATTAAAAAATAGTCAAATGAAATATTTGCATGATATACATTTTGTAATAATATCAATTTTATCAAATTATATTTTTAAAATTAAAAAAGAAATCTTTACACAATCTTTTTTTTAATTATGAAATATTATAAAAGATTAGGTGAATTTGTAACCAAAAGTACCCTAGCTTGGATGGTTAGGGATTTAACTAAATGTCTAAGAGATCTTAAGTTCAAACCTTCATGAGTCATGCCATATGTTTTTAGAAAAATATTTTTACGATACTTAAAAATAGAATGAATATAAATATATACTCAGCACATATCATATTAACAACAAATTATAAGATCATTTAAAAAAGAGTAAAGGGAGTTTATATTTATGAAAGAGAAATCACTCCCGGTGGGCGTTGCGCAATTGACAAAAGTAGAGAGTGTCAATAGGTAAATCTGAATTTGATTCCTGACAACTGCATTGAGAGACAACTTAAAGTCTAACTTACCTCCTGTTAATGATCGTCCGATCGGGTCTGAATAGTCTTCGAGGATGAAGTTCATCTTTTTTTATAGAAAAAGACAAGCGGTCTTAAGTCTCCAATATATTTAATTTACTATAAATTTAATACTCCCTCCGTTCATAAATAAAGTTCTAGTTGCGCGTTACAATGTTTGACTGAACTTATTTTCAAATTATTTTATATGAAACATGGTATAAAATTTAAAAATAAAGGTGACATGACTATATTATTTTATCAAATAGGACACGAAAATAGGCCAACAAAATGAATAAAATTTGACCTCTTGAATAATGAACGAGATGGAAAGAAATTAATAAAATTCATCTTATGATATAAGTTTAATATATTAATTTTTATAACATTTATTTATTCAAATTATATTTAGTTTCTATTCAAATTCTACTACGAACATTATACGACGTAGTATTTTCTCTACAAATAAACATATCAGTTCCTTAATGTGGAGGGAGTGAAAATAGAAGAAAAGCACTAAAGCAGGGACGCGTAATGCAAATACCTTTAAATAAGTCGGACGACGGTGTAGTTTTCCTCCATTTCTCTCCCAGCTGAGTTTTCACGGCGGCCTTGTGCGACGGAGAGAGAGAGAGGAGAAAGATCGGCGGTCTATTCATCTTCGTCTCCGCTTATAACCCTTCTTCTCTCTCCGCCGGTTGAGCTGAGCAATTCCCCATCTCAATCGCCATGAATGAGAAGGCTAATGTTTCCAAGGAGCTGAACGCCAAGCACAGAAAGGTTTCGACCTTCGCATTTCGTTTCTTATTTGCACCCCTATTCTTAGCTGATTTCTTCTGATCTTAGATCAGATTTGATGATACAGTGCCCCGCTTCGTGTTATTTGATCCATATGCATAAACTGCTAATAGTGCTTCAGATTTTAGCGCAGTTAGCTTTAAAAAAAATCATTCTTGGTGGGAATTTAGTTTTATGGGATTTTGGGTTCCCTCAGGATTGGTTATTTGTGGTAATACAGCTAAGATTTATACTATGAGACATATATTATGCGGCATTCAATAGATCAGATTCAGAAATCTATTGATTAGAATTATATAGTTTGGAGTAGTTTATAAATGTTCATCATGTTTTATAGACTTGTAGGATATTTTCCTGCCCAATGGTTTGCAATTCGCAATCAAATCTCCATTCCAGAAATCCATATACTATAGTATATCATATGCTAGACTTAGAGTACTATGACTTCTAGAGGAATGTGAAATTTAATGTGTTGTGGGTAATTGGTCATCTATATGGTTTATTCCCACGGGATCCACAGTTGGTATGCCCACAATAATCATTTCGTCAACAAAATGAACATATTATCATCATTGGGTATATTGAGGCCGGTCCTATTACAATTGGGAAAACACAGTAATACTTTCTAAATATTTATATATAGAATGCAATTTCATCAAAAATCAACCAGGTTCTACTGGGCCAGCCTTTCTTTTGCATCTTATATTGTTAAATTATTCATATGCACACAAGTGATTGGAGTTCAAGTCATACATTTTTGAAATTTCGACAGTTTCGCTATGCAGCTTTTCTAATGATCATTTTAGATCCATGGTAATAACTGGCTTTTCTAACCACAAAACATGATACTCAAGTCAACTTGTCAATGTCATTTCTAGTATCTCAAATACCAGAAGGCGTAAGTTTAATTTTTTCATCAATGGAAAGTAATATAATCGGCTTAGCCTGCATGGTTTTGCAACTTGCATTTTTCTTGTGCCGAGAGGCCGACAAGTGTGAATGTGTGATACTGTGATGGAAGCAAATACAATTCTTATTGCTGGAAACTTCTAACTAGCAGTTCACCTATATCAAAGGTAGAAAATATTATTTAAAAACTGAAACCAATTTAATGTGGAGGAACCTGATGACCTAACTTGAGTGCTGGTTACACATAATAACATGTGATAGGTTTTCTAGTAACTTTGTTATATGAAATTTAGGTGTTTCTATTCTCTTGCCACTCTCTCTTAGAAACATTCTTTTACACTCAAAGTGATGTTTTCTAGCACCTTATTGCAGATTCTAGAAGGTCTTCTTAAACTGCCCGAGAACAGAGAATGTGCTGATTGCAAAGTAAAGTATGTGCTTGCAGGATTTAATTTAAAATTATTTACTTATATAGCATGTGTGAGTTTTCATTACGAGGCTCCTGGAATTCTGGATTTATCAAAAAGATGGAAAAATATGTTGGCATCTTATTGGACTTCACCTTGAACACGAGACTTGATCCTTGTGGCAATTGAAGATCAGTTTACTGATTTAGAATCTGTTTCATATTTTTGTTCATTTGATGCAGAGGTCCAAGGTGGGCTAGCGTGAATTTAGGAATCTTTATATGCATGCAGTGCTCAGGGATCCACAGAAGTCTTGGAGTGCACATATCTAAGGTGATCACTATATTCCCTATGGCACAACTGGGATGTCTTTGACTTGTCAAAACTCAAAAGTACATGTATGAAGGTGCACACAAGTGCTCAAATCTAGTCTAGTGTACCGTGTACATAATAAGGAGTATTAAACTTAAAAGGGTGCTTTTGGTAGGCGTTCTTTGTTTATCTTAAATTGTGAGTTTTGTTTAATATTTCCAAAAAAAAAATCAGGTTAGATCTGCCACACTTGATACATGGCTTCCAGAACAAGTTGCATTTATCCAGTGTAAGTTCCCCTCTATTTGGCATGATTGAAAATTTTAAATGACCCTTTTATGATAATTGATGAGTATATGTGACATTTTTTATATATGAAGCAATGGGAAACGAGAGGGCAAATTGTTACTGGGAAGCAGAACTACCTCCAAATTATGACAGGGTTGGAATTGAAAATTTTATTCGTGCAAAGTGCGTGCCTTTTTGCTAACCATGTCATCAAACCTCTCTTAGCTTAATCTGTTAGATGCTTGACTGATCAATGGCTTTCTATTCTATGAAATACTAAGATATGAGGAGAAGCGATGGGCTCCTAAGGATGGGAAACAGGCATCACCATCCAGTATACGTGAAGAGAGACCTCCACTCCAATGGGGACAATGTAGTGATAGAAGTGGGCATGGACATACAAACAACTCTGTTCATTTATCAAATGAAAGGAAAAATGTTCATACACCAAGTACTAAGCAAGGAACTTCAACGGCTAGAGTTAGTATACCAGTGCCGCCCAAAGGACCAGAAAACGTATGCCAACTTATACTAAAGCCATTGCATTTTACTACTTTACTACTACGTATTAGGTACTATGTTCCTGTAGTATATGTGTTTCATCGTGGAATCTTGGTTATTGAACTTGGTTTTGAACCTCAAGTCCAGGTCCCCTGTCAAATCTTCCAAACAGGGTTCCCTATGAAGTTTATTGTGCTTCAGTGTCTTTTAAAGCTGAGTTTTATTACTCCGTATTCAGTTGTTGCAGTTACTTGTCACTAATCATGCTCCGTTCCTGAGCTGGCTTCTACTACCTGTTACTTTGCTAGTAGTTGAACAGCATTTCACAGGACAAATATAAGGATTTATTACTGGATTTCAATATAATGATATTACAGTCTAAAGATAAATTTATGGAGTTTTATGTAATTGCTGAGCAGAGTAGTTAAGTTTTTAAGTCCATGTCTATGCCATTTTAAGCCTGTGCCATGGGTTTTGTGTTTTTCTGTCTTCCATAGTGAGTGGTTTGATGTATACAGAATTGAATAATGTATTGTGGACCTTACATGTTCATGCTTATGGCAGGCAGCTCCTGAGTTGACACCACAAGAAAATCAGAAAGCGGAGCCGGTAACAACAGCTGAACCTGCAAAACCAGCCACTGCCCCTAAACTTGATTTTGCCACCGATTTATTCAACATGCTTTCAATGGATGACCCAACTGAAGATGGCTCAGAGGCAGTTGCTTCAGATGATAATATGTGGGCAGGTTTTCAGTGTATGTCGAGATTGACTTTTCATTCGGTATCCCTTCTGTTCAATTTTCGGGAGCTGTTTTTGGGGGACGTGTTAGTGCATTAAAACTTGAATTTACAGATGCAAATAGGGTATGGAGACTCCGTATCTTAATTTAATATTTATGTAATTTACAGCTGCTGCAGCATCAAAAACTTCTGAAAAAACAGGGATAACGAAATCTGAAGAAATCAAGCCCCAGTCATCATCTGGTGTTGAAGAATTATTTAAGGATTCACCACCAATTGTTCCTGCTAACACATCAGATAAGCCTAAAAAAGACATTAAGAATGACATTATGAGCCTTTTTGACAAGGTACTAATTCCTTCGTCCCTAAATAAAGTTCATGTTTTTATTTTGGTCAGTTCCTAGATAGTCTCTTTTCCTTCTTAGGTAAAATTAAATAATCATACTCCGTGCTTGTCTTTAATACTCTTATTTAACATCCCTATCTACCAGCATTAATCACACCATAAAAATTTGGATATCAAGAAACCTAAATTTAATTCATAAAAACTGTGAAAATCAAACCATAAACTTATAGGGTCGGAGGCTATTATGCTAGGATTAGTTTATTATACTGCTTGTATTGTTTAAATTATTTAAACTATGCACTTTCTCCATGGCAGTCCAATATGGTGTCACCATTTGCAATGCACCAACAGCAGCTTGCTATGCTGGCACAACAACAGTCTCTGCTAATGGCTGCTGCTAATGTTACTGGTGGCGCACTAAAATTACATGGGAATTCACAAGTGACCACTGGAACCGCCAACGTATCAAGCCAAGGCTGGCAGAATCTTGGTTACCACCAGTTTCCGGGGATTATGATGCCCACAGCTGTAAGGAGTGAATCAGGAAATTATTTGCAGGTAAAAGGAGTATATGCTAATAGTGGTCTCTTGGAAACCATTGGATTTGTTCTAAAACCATTCTTTTCTTTCCTCTTAAACAAGGCGGACACGACACTCACTCCAGACTTAGCTGGGAACTCAATTCCGGTTTCAACTTCCAGGTATGGTAATATTGCTGTCTATGTTAAGTATATGTAAGACAAAATCCATTAATCCGCTGAACTTGTCTTTCTACCCCATTGATCCTTCAACTTCTAACTCAAACCCCTTTTTTGCATCTCCGTCTCATTTTTGTTATGCTTGAATTGGTTGCATTTTTTGGACTTGTTTATGAATGGAGGATGAAGAGTTTGCTCTTTGTAGTTCTGCAGCAACTTGGATTTTCTTGTCCATTTTTACTCTATTAGTAGCGTTGTTTAGGGTTCACAGGATCAGTTAGAATAGGAAGTGTGTTTTAGTTACTTCTCTCTTGTCGTTAGGTGCAGTTTTATTTGGTTGTTGTTGTAGAAGTTTTACAAAGTATTGTAGGTTTACCTAAACAACCGTAACTTTATTTTGGTGATTAGTACTTAGTAGTGGGTTTGTTGATGAAGATTTGCGGTCTTTTAGGAATAGAGTCATTTTCTTATAATGTTCTGGTTTTCTTTGCATTTAGTTTTGCAAAAATGTGTCCAACTTATTATAAAAGCTTTATCTTGCTCTCATATGCTAAACTCAGTCAAAATAGAGTCAACATGGGACACACAATATGGGCTTGGGCATGGATTGCAGAAATGTCATCCAAATGTCTTGTCTTATGCCATGGATTGCTCATTGTGCTCTCAATAGGTCAAGTTAGAGGTCAAGATGCCCAATAAGACCAGCAAGCCAAGTTTATGGTCTTAAAAAGGGGCCCTGCCATATACTTTATATACTTTTGCAGAGGGCCTTGACACACATTTGATTTTGGTTACTGTCGCAGCATCTACACCGTGGGACAAAGTTCCTCAACCAATGGCGTTGTGCCACCTGGAGCAAGTAAGCCGGTAGAGGCCTCAGTCTCTTCCATTCCTACGCAGACCGCTAAAGATTATGACTTTTCATCCTTGACACAAGGAATGCTTTCAAAACGCTGAAAGCGCCCCGAAATGGAAATGTATGATCCTACAATTCAACTCATAGCAATATATACAATGAGAGTCTCAATTTAAAGGAAACGAATTTCAGCAATGTTGTATTTTCATTTTGTTTTATTTTTCTTCCCTCCCCTTTTTGGGCATGTTATGTTTCCCACTATGTCATTAAAAGAACGCGTGGTTTTATTTTTTTGAACAACCTCGTTATTGTGGCTTCCCAAACACATCTTTTATATTAGAGTACATAGCCATGAGACGATGAAAACTGTGACTAACTATATACTGCATACATTGATGTTCCAGACCATCAAGTGGATCAAACTCCTCAACGCCCATGGGAATGGCGAAAACTTTGGGCAAAAATCTGCAGAGACCGAACTCATGTTGAGGACGCAGCTGAAGTTTTACGCAATCCCATCATCACCTTCCCTCCTGGTTTTGTTTTGCAAAATGTTACTGGACAAACACAACACATTATTAAGCAGATACTCCATATAATACTAAAAGGATGAAAATCATTCAAAAAATAGTAGTAGAATACCTAATCGTCGTTTAGTTTTTGGGGTCATTTGGTTTCGAGGGATGTCACACTACTTGAGGGATGTTTGGATCATGGGGATGTGTTTGGTTTATGTTTGATTAAAATAGTTGTTTAAGACGCCACATTCTGATCATCTTTTATTATTACATTCTCGAAACATTAGATTCAAAATCGATCGCCTCTATTGTCAAGTGTTCTTGAATATGCATACACGTTCAAGGAATGTTAAAAAACATAGAAATTCGCTGTGAGTTTTTTCAAAACTTACCAGTATCGCCTGCTTGCCATTTCTGGGCAATAACGTAATCTCTGAGCCCGTCAAGAACATACATCGTATTTGTAGGTTTAGAACAACAAGAGAATAAAAATTCCCATGGTTTGCCGTCTGTGTCTAGAACACTAATTGGCATCAAATGTTGCCCCTGAAGCTCTGGAAATAATGCCTGTAACCAGAAAATTCTTTACCATGACAAGAATTAAAATATTAAGGAACAAAGTTTAGAAGTTCAATGCAGTTTTCCAAATTTAGAAATACAAACTTCAAAAGCAATAAAAAAAATAGAAATATTATGAACTCACCTCTGCACACTTATTGGGTAAGACAAGGCGCGATAATTTCAGGTCATTGTCCGACAACTTCTTCTCGTATACGGGAGGGGCAACGGGGCCGGGGTTAAGATTTAGTTAAGGACAACTTATAACATTTGATGATTACATAGAACTAAAAAGGATGGACTTTATACTAGGATCCCCTAAGACAGACAAGACAATAGCCCATAAATTGGCAAACGAAGAGTGAGATTTGTCCCTCGTCTACACAAGAGCTCCATGCTACACATGATTGTCATTTATCGCCACAAGTCAAACCCAAGCAACGACTCCAAGATTTAGGGACTGTTTGGCGAGGGTTCTTTGGGGGTGTGGTGAGTTTTCTAGAAGGAAAAACGTCAAGTAATATCTAAGTCAAATACGGAGCAACTTAAAAACTACACGTACGCTCTCTACTTATTCAAGACTTGGCTTCCAAACGGATCACAAAATGGAGACAAAGTAGAGTCCATCCTTTTGAATGTGGACTAATGTCATATGAAAAAAATGTAACGATAAGGATATTTTATGCAAGTCTGATGTAGCTCTGATAAAGCGGAGACATGAGGGAGATATTGTAAATCTCTTCTGTTCTTCGTGGCAGGATCCCGTTGAGTATCATCAAGCAGTACCGATCTTTCGTGAAACGAGCCATCGTTTCTTGCCTGCATTGTCAAGTTCTATACTATTAGTTCAAAAAGACTTATATGGCCTGAGGGAAAGAAAATATACTCAGTATCAAAATGTATCAGCTAAATCATGTCAACAATGAAGTAATAACATTAAAAAAATTGCAAAAAAAAAACCCAAAAAGGGAAAAAACAGTATAGCTCAAACTAGGATTCCTTACCAGGATAAGGCTAATCCTTGAGCAGTCAATGCACATGATTCCACCAAAATCCACAGGCAAATATGTATTGAATGATACAATGCATCCACAATGGACCAGCTGCCAAAATATATACACAAAAGAAAATTAATTATACTGCATTATCATCCTTTTAGAGTGGAGCAAAAAGAACAATGTTTTAGTTTCAAGAACATAAGGGACTAAATAGAAAAGCACATAAACTTCTTTTTCTTCTTACTCTCAGGTAAGTTTTGGACACGGCAACGCATCTAATCTCTAACTTACCTATTGTCAGTTATGACAGTTGAAAAACATATGGCACTCACCTTCCCACAAGCTTCACAGTCCCTCCAGCCTCCATCGTTTGAATGAAACACCTCACAGAAAATACCCTTTTCGTATGCAGAACTACATTCATAGAAGTTCAAGAAACACCCGGATAAATTTCTCAACTACTTTACTCAGAGCTTACATACTTCATACAAAAACGATTAATAACCGTGTCCGGTCAATTGTAGAACCTTATTTGAATAGACATGGAGCAAAAAGTTGGTTCAAACTCAATATAAATAAATTTCATTAAATTTCTTCAAGCTCTTTTTGTTTATATGTTTCTACTCCATTGTATAAAAAGACTAACAGCTAATGAATCTATATACGTGCAAAAAAAAATCAACCAACCAATCAAATTTGAGTTTAATTTCCACTCCCTATAAGGTAAAGCATACTGTTAGAGATAGAAGAAGGAAGCGGTATTGAAGAAGGAAAGTGTTAGAGACACAAGAAGGAAGCGGGATTGAAGAAGGAAACCGAATCCCTAGGTTTAGTATCTTTCCTAGTTGGATTAGGTTTAGTATTTAGCATCTTTCCTAGTTTGTTTAATTCTTATTTTAGTAGGAATAGAAATTTCCTTGTTTACTCAATCCCGCTTCCTTCTTCTGTCTCTAACACTTTCCTTCTTCAATACTGCTTCCTTCTTCTATCTCTAACACATACACTATTAAAAATCATCTTCCTAAGCAACTTTTTTTTTACAATCTCTTTAGTTTTCCAAATTCCGAACATAGCCATAGATTTGTGACGCCCAGAAATAGGGCATAGCCGATTGCTTGGCAAGCAAGGAAACCCAAACCCCAGAAAATGGTTCAAGAAATCCAAGAATCCAAGTCACATAACCTTTTTATTATTTCTCAAAAAAGGTGTTGATAAAAAGGAATTGAAACTCTCTGTTCGAGTTCCAGATAGAATCACGAGGGTTTCCAAATTAAGCACATACATAAGTGAGATTAAATATTTAGAGGAATGGGAGTGGGCCGAGGAGGAGGAGGAGGAGGAAGAAAAGGGGTTACCCGCAACGGTGGCAGAGCTGAGCAAACTCGCCGCTGCGGAGGCGCCACCCGTTTCTGAAGCTGTCTGTGGCGGCGGCGGAGGCGGCGGAGGCTTTACACTGAAGGCAAGTCTTTCTTGAGGATGAAGCCATTAATTCATCGATTGATTATATATATACTGCTCCGAATATATTCTATATATATATATATCCCCCGAAGGCTCCCAAAGCAGAAACAGAGTCGATTGTTTTCTGTGAGTTAGCAAATAATAAATATCCAAAGAAGGGAAAGTCTGTTTTGAGATTAGCTGTTGGGATTCTTACAAGTCCCACACAGGAGGGAGAAGAAAAAATGGACCAAAATATAACCCCATTAGTATGAGACCTTTTGGGAGGTGCCCAAAAACAAATTCGTGAGTGCTTGGCTCAGAGCGGACAATATCATACTAATGCGGGGTTGGGGTGAGGGCACGCGCAATCCCAACATTAGCCAATCAAACATTTTTTTAGGAAAAATTAGCCAAAATAATCCCAACTTTACCCGGTCTTTAAAAAATAATCACGCATTTCACTGTGATGCATAATAATCCCAACTTTATTGAAATTTGCCAGTTTTGGGTCGCCGTTAAGTTTCTAACGGAGGGATAACGGAAATGCCCGTTTTAGGCAACAAAATGAAAGTTGGGATTATTTTTGATGAATTTTTGTTTTTTAATTTTTTTTTTTGAAATTTTTATTTAAATTTTTTGAATTACTTTCAACCTCCATTTCTTTTTCTTTTTTAAAGATTATTCTTACCTTAGAAAAAAATAGATATAAAAAATAATGAAAATGAGAAAAATAACTAAAATCATACAAAATTAATCAAATAAATAATGTAATCAATAGAAATTAAACAGAAACTGGTAAGAAATAAAATAAAAATATATGGAGTCGTAGGTTTAACATTTTACACACTATACGGAGTCTTAATGTACTACTTATTTTTTAAAAGAACAAGCCGTCCGGTAAAGTTGGAATTATTGTAGATAATTTTTTCTAAAAAATAAGAAGTGATATGTTAATGTTTTGTATAATGCCTAAAATATTAAAACCCACCCGTATATTTTTATTTTACTTTTTCCAATTTCAAGTTAGTTTTCATTGATTACCTTATTTAATTTATTATTTTTGTATCATTTTAGTTACATTTCTCATTTTTTTCATTTTTTATATCTATTGTTTTTATTTTTTAAACTAAGACTAATCTTTAAAAAAGGAAAAAGAAATGATGATGGAGGTAGAAAGTAATTTAAAAAATTTAAATGGAAATTTCAAAAAAATTAAAAAACAAAAATTCATCAATAATAATCCCAACTTTCATTTTGTTGCCTAAAACGGGCATTTCCGTTATCCCTCCATTAGAAACTTAACGGCGACCCAAAACTGGCAAATTTCAGTAAAGTTGGGATTATGATGCATCACAGTGAAAGATGGGATTATTTTTGAAAAACCGGATAAAGTTGGGATTATTTTGGTCAATTTTTCCTTTTTTAAAAAAAAACTCACATTTGATTATAGGCTCTAGCTCGTCATCTTTGTTCTTAGTTTTTTAAAACTTTGACTACAAATTTTTTTAAAAAAAACATATATTGAATTCTGATACTCATTTGTCTTGAAATATATTTTTTTCAATTTATGAGGTTTGACTAAAGTTCTTTTTAATTTAATTTATATTTGTTATTTTATCAAATAACCAATGAAAAAGTGATCAAAATTTGATCATATGAATAGTAACTGAGAAGAAAAATTTTAAGACAGAGGCTGGAGGGGTATAAATCTAATATCAATAGATTCATTTTGAAACGTAGTTTTGAAATATCATATTTTTATATTGTAAGTTTATACTGCATATAAATAAAGATATCAGTAATCAAAGTGTTAAACTAGAAAAAGTGAAAAGGAAAAAAAATATGAGACCAAGAGGGTACTAGATATCGGATATCTCTCACGTTTCTAGTCCATCCCGCAGCTTGCTATCACTATCATCACCATTGAAGGTGGTCTCACGTTTGCACTCACGGGCACTCGGACCTCACGGTCAATTTCATTGAAAGAGATGAGTTTTACGCCTAGTTCGGACAGTTACATGAGAGAATGGAAAAATAGATCTCTAATCTCAAGCTAGCGATAGAAAATAAGATCATCACAAAAGAAATAATTTAAATATGAGCAAAACATATTGAATATACTAAAATTATAGCTTCATGTTTTTATCTCCAAAATAAGAGTTTATATTATCGTAATGTGTCCTCTAGTGTATATGAACATTTCAAAATACTTTTTAATAACGTTTATGATTATGAGTTCATGATTGACACTGTAAATACGTTTTAACTCATATTTCAATAATAAAAACATGAAACTCATATTTCAATATATTTTTAATGTTTTACTCACACTTTAATATCTATCCCTATCAGTAGTCCCAATAAAGATATTTATGCATAACATAAAAGATCTAATACAGCCTTCCCTGGGAATCGAACTTCACCACGTACATCTTTTGGCATATACTACCTCCGTCCCAGAGTATTTGTCCACTTTCATTTTTACACACCATCCAATGCACTTCTTTAATCCATTTTATCTTGTAATTTGTATATTAAAAAATTATAAAAATTATATATTAATAATCTATATGTTAAGATAAATCAAACAAGATCACACATGACTATATTTAGGCTTACACATTGAGAGAATTTGATAAGTTAAAGTGCTTTGATGAACAGTTCCAAAAGTCAAAAGTGGACAAAGAGAGTGGGACGGAGGGAGTAACTACTTAGCAATGCCCCTAGCCCCGCAGTCGATTTTGTAACTCTATATCTACCTTTTTACCGAGTATAAAGATCTAAAGATTTTATAATATACTCCATCTATCCTATAATGTTTTCCCCGTTTGTGTTTACGAGGTTTGACCGACTTTATTTTCAATTCAATTTATTTGATTGTAAGTGTAAAATTAAAAAATCAAATTTATATATTTAAAAACTAGATCAAACGTTCTACAAAACAAGTGGTGACAAGACTATATTATTTTATCAAATACCTAATAAAAATAAGTAAAAAAAAGTGATTAAAATTTGACAGTGTAAAAAGTAAGGAATAACTCGGGAAGAATATTTTAAGACGGGGGAGTATTAGAATAACTTCCTAAATTTAGATCTTCTACCCCCATTTGGAAGCCAGAAACGCACGAATCGAAAGAAAAAAAGAGAGAGAAGATATACGGAGTGCATTCCGCCGGGAGAAGAAGCAAGAACAGCCGCGGAAGGGGGAGAGAACAGGGAGCCGAGCCCTGTTCAACGTTGCCAGGTAGGAAGCTTGAAACGCCAAACTTTTTTCATAATTTATTAAGATACTATTTTACTCCCCCCACATCCCACAATTGATTTCGATTTTTGGATGTGTAAATGTGTTCTTGAAATATATGATTTTTGGACTTGGGGTTATTATCCAAATTTGGACACTTTTAGGATTTGATCACCTTGCCTACTGCCATTACAATGGGAACCATTATTTCCTATTTGGTTTTTCATCTTCTAAGTTTTGAGAGTTTCAGTTTGCACTACTAATCAGTACTAGGGTTCCATTAGTTTTGATTCAGAGGATTAAAAGAACATTTTTCTTTATCCCCAAAAGACAGTCTTGCATCATTTTTTCTCAATGCTCAATTTCTATTCCAACAAATGAGGCCTAACTTTTCAAATTCTAATTTTCTTCTCTCTCTCTCTCTCTAGCTTTTTGAGCACAAATATACGAAGAAGATGGTTGGAAATCACTCACTCTTGGGTGTCACAGAGGCTCAATATCAATTTTTAACCCAGCAATATCCTCGTGTGGAGAAATTCCATGAGAAATTGGCTAAAAAACATGCTGCTCTTACAACTATTCCTAAGAAACTAATACATAGGCATGTCCTTGGAACACCCCTTCTTGAGGTATTGTGTGTGAAAATTGTCAACGATGATGGGTCTGCCGGAGCTTATCAAGTGTATGGTACAATCGTTCTGATTGATGGAGAAGGTGCTGCGTTTAATCTCTATGATCGCGGGGAGGCAGATGCTGAGACTGTGACTGTGGGTGGTTCCTTGACCCTCGTCATGCCAAAGGGACGTGCTATGTGTGCATCTGGTCGGATCTACTTGCAGATCCAACTTAAGGATGCAACTCAGAGAGCTGTGTTTGCCAATGGTCTTCACTCTTGGGATTACGATAGCAAGGATGACTATGATGTGGTCCAAACCAAGAAATTCGGATCTGCCGTCATGGAATGCATCACATATCGTCATGCAGACATTGCCACTATTGACATCATTTTCGTCAGAGGAACTTCAGGGAGGGATGATGGTGATTTTAGAGGAAGGATTGCGAATGGTGGTACTGTAGAAGAGGCTGATGTCTACGGAGAAGTCATCGCTCATTGTTGCAGGAATTACTCGATCACTCTTTTCAAGAGAACTGAAAATGAGTCTGTGAGACTGAGGCTTGGGAGCACGATCGAATTGCTGAGACATGTCGTAGTAGTACCATCGTGCTCCTCACTTGTAGTTGTTCCAAACTTACGGTATCTTGATACCAAGGAAAATATTGTTTCTAAAATTGTGATGTTTGATGCCATACATGATAGCTTTGGCTTGGGGGTGCAGAGGGATGTTGATGGAGAAAATGACCATATTTGTGTCGAGGTAGATTGGAGTCATGCTTATATGCAGCCTCAACTGAAAAGAAAGCTGAAAGACACAACCATATCAGACTCCGAAGTGCGAAAAAGGGCTCATGTAAGCATTGTTCAATTGTTTGTGTGCGCTTGTCTTTTGTTATTAGTTGGTGTAGTGAGTTCATCTTTCGTGTGATAGAGCTAAAGACTGCATGATATTGACCTTTCACCAACGCAATGTGTTTGGATAGATTGGGTTGTGTTGTAGTCTTGTCACTTGCAATTTTTTTGTCTATTGTGCTGGGTTGTCATTATTATTTCTATTATTGTTGTTGTTATTGTTACTACTACTATTGTTATTATTATTAGAAATAAATAAAAATAATCTCATTTGGATTTATCTTTCAACTCCAGTTGGCTTCTCCTGAACAAGATGTTGCGGACTTGAATGGTAATAGGTATGTTGCTCCTCTCTTTTTTTCCTATTCTGATTTACAGATTTGTAATGCTCATCATTTTGTTTACGTTTTCCTTATCGCATTTTTCTTTACCTTAGTTGGTTTTTTGATCTTTTGTCATGATCTGTTCTTTGCTTGAGCTTTGGAGGGGGGGGGGGGGGGGCTTGGGAGGAGGAGCTTGGAAACAGCCTCTCTACTTTCTAGTAAGGTGTTTGTTGTAATCCTCATCATTTTAATTCAAATTTTTTCATAGTTTGTGGCATGTTTTTTTTGTCGTGCTATGTACTTTCTATGTTTGTTGAGGTGGAAGGTCTCTTGGAAACAACCTCTCTACTTTAAAGCAGGGGTAATGTCTGTGTACACTCACCCTTCCGAACCCTACTTTTGTGGGATTCTACTATGTTGTTTTTGTTTTTCAAAATTTTTTTCTCTCCATGTTTATGCAAGCTATAAATTTCATGGTTTTTATATGTGTAGACATGGGGCTTTGGGGTGTGATGGAATAAATCAAAATGGATCTCTAATTTCTGTGCTTCTTTAATTAAAAAAGTAGCAGTTAGTCAAGCAATGCAACTTTCGACGTTGAGGCGGGGGTCTCTTTGGAAACAACCTCTCTACTTTCGAGTAGGGGTAAGGTCTGCGTACACACACCCTCCCAAGACCCTACTCTTGTGGGATTTAACTGGGTTGTTGTTGTTGTTGTAGACATGGGGCTTTGATTACGAGACATGGGTAGTAGGAAGTGAAGAGAAGTATAATGGACTTGCCTTTTAATTCCTTTTTTTTCCTTTTCCTATGGCGCCAGGGGCCCACACGCACTCCCTGTACCAGAATATTATGATGATGCAATGGTGGAGGTGTTCTCTGTTACAATTGGGAGTGCATTTGATGAGGAACCTTTTGAGAATGTGCATGGAACCATCAAATTCAGAAACAATGAGCGGGTGGAAGAATTTATTTTCAACAAGGGTTTGGAAAATGGGACAAGGGTACTCTCAAACCAACACCTTGAGCTAATGACACCTAAACGGAGGCTTTTTGGTTCGGATGTTGTGTTTGATGTGGACCTGGAAGATGGAGATGGTCGTGTAATCAGTCATGGGCATGTGTTTTGGACTGAAGTTACAACTCAGCAGCCCATCGACTGGTATGGCAAGCACTTGTGCTCAATCGTCAGGGGCAACATTGGGTATGCAGCGCTCCACTATATGCTCATTCCCAATGGGGTCCTTGCAACAGTGAGGGTTTGCATCAAGAGAGGAGGAAGAAACAACCACACCATCACCCCTCCCCCCTCTGATAATGTTCGTGGGAGTATATTTGCAGAGTACAGCGAGTGTAAGTATGCAACCTGGTATGACAAAGAGCACTACAGGCACAGACTCTTTCAAAGCGAAGTAGACATGACAATGCCTTGTTCGGGCCTCTTCGAAGTAGCACTGAAAAAATCTGCTGTGGTGGTGCCGCGCACTTCTGCTTTGATAATTGATCTGGATTTGACATTGGAGGGAACGGGCAGCCCCTCGTCTTTTAGGGGCAGGCTGACGTTCAGTATTGAAATGGACCGCGGAAGGGAGCTGAGCATCAAAGGAAGTTGTGGGAATGCTATTGCTGAAGTGAGTGTGCTGTGGAGCGAAGTTAGTCGGGAGATTTCCACGCCTAAGCATGGGGACGGCGTGGGGTTCGATTTAGACTCGGCTCTGGAAAGATCAAGGGACCAATTTTTTGCGTTTAGTCTATACGATGATGACTCAGATTCGGATCTGTGGTGCAGTCAATATTTGGGTAGTCCGGTAACTATGCAAGTTCTGTCTGAGGGCATTTAACAAAAATTTCCCACATAGTTGATGCCATACCCCAATGTGGGTGGGGCTAGAGGGTCTGTCGGTTCACTTGAGAATGATGTTTGGTCCAAAAAAAGGTGGAATTGCCCACCCCAGGCGCCCCCACCCCCTTGCCCGACAGGAATGGTGGAGGATGTAAATCATGGTGACTCAGTCGGCCAAGAACGCTAGACCCGTGCCCACCGCGCACAAGGAGCCTCCTCACCCTTTATGGGATTTTTGGATAGCTCCCACACTGCCGCTTGCGGGACTCGATCCCTGGTCATCGGTCCAAGATTTCACGCTCTTGACCAACTGAGCTACCCATGTGGGCATGATGTTGGTTTCGGTTTTTTGGACCGAGAATGATGTTTGGTTTAATCCCCGCAATTAATAGTCATGATGTTAAATCTGTCACTAATTTTTCTTATCAATTCTTTCTAATTTTGTGTTTTTTGAATAAAAACGTAATAGCTATGTAGATATTATTTTAAATTTTATAGAATAAGAATATAATATACTCCGTAAATATAATCTCATTTCATAATACTTGGTTCATCTTAAAATAATGGTCATGTTCGTAGAAAATTCTATACCTGTTCTTAGTTATATTTATTCAAAAATGATTTCGGTCAAAAATTATAAAGCCTAGCATGGGACTTACTCCGTATTTCAAAATAGATGGAATGGTGAATGAAGTATATTTTCTTCGAGAACAATGCTAGATTTGCAAACAAAATAGTCATAAACTTCACAAACTTACTATTTATAGTTTAAATTCACATTTTAAAATTATTTTAGACTATTTAATTTTTTTTATTGAAGTTTACAAATAACAAGTTTGTGAAGTTTGTGACTATTTTGTTCATGAACCAAGCATTTTTCTTTGTTCCATGATACTCTCTTCGTTTATGAAAATTTGTCCACTTTTAACTTTTTCAGTTAAAATTGGAAAAGTTTGACCTCAAATTAAATAAAAGTGATATTAGACATTGATACAAGAAGAGTTTTATTAAATTTATTATATCAAATATTTTCAAAATATTATTTTATTTAAACTACAATATATATTTTATTTAATTATAAGTCAAATGTTAAAAACAGTTGACCAAAAAAAATTAAAATTGGATAAATACTCAGGGACAGAGGTAGTATTCTTTTATATAATTTTAAACAATATTAAATTGTTATTTTCAAATTTATTAAATTATATTTAAACTTTTATTTATTAGGTTATCATACCATAAATTTAAAAATACCTTTCATATTTGATGTTTTTTTTTTTATAAAAAATGAACTAATTTGAGAAAATACTCAATTAAGAGGATCATTTTAAGATAGTAGTGTAAATTTGGCCAAGCAATTTTGAGTAGGGTGGACATGGTACGGTTTCGGTTTCGAAACTGCTGGTTCCAATACCGCCACCCCTTGGTACCGGTACCGTGACCGGACCGGGCGGTACCGGTTTCAATACCCGGACCGGCGGTTCCGGTACCGGACCGGCCGGTTTCGGCCACCCTCCAATTCTTATTTTTTTTGTCTTTTTTTTTTTAAATTTTTAAAGTGTAAAATTGTGAATGTTTAATTTTAAAGGAAATAATGAAATAAAAAAATAAAAAAATGTAGCTGTTATTTAAATATTGTAAAATGAGTATACACGAACTGAAGAACAACTACATTTGATATCCTGACGGTTGAAAAAAAAGCGACGAGATAAAAAATCGTAATAAAACCCTCGAAGAAGCTTATATATCATTCATCAAAAATAAACTAATACATATTTGCATTAACATAGCTTCAAAAATTATAAACTAATAATTATTTATGACAACTTATTCTTTTAAAGATTAAATAGAAACTTTGAGAGCTTCTAATCGCCTGTCTTACTATAACGTCTTACTATAACGTAACTAATTTGATTATATTTGTAAAGATGTAAATTAAAAGACTGATCGCTACTAATCAATTAAAAGAATTAAGACGGATCAAGTGGAACATGTTTGTCAATGATAAAAGTTACTAAGTATATATGGTTGGGTAAGAATTGATGAATATCCAACACTGCAAACGGATCTCAAATTGAATCAAGTGTGTTGGAAGGAGTACAAAACCCTGCCTTTCGTCCGTCTTCTTCTCCAAATCGGCGAAGCAGACCTCTCCCCTGTCTTTCTTCTCGATCGAGACCACAGTCGCAGAGCCGAATTGGACCCCCTTCCGGCGACGAGCGCAGAGGTAGCGTGGACGGCGAACTCGGTCATCTCCTTCTTCTCCGGCGAGCAGCAAGAGCAACGACCGGAAGGCTCCTTTCGGCGTTGACCTCAGCCAGCGGCGAAGATGAACCGGCAATCCTCCGGAGCGGGGACCCAGCGCATCAACCCGGTGAGACGCAAAGCAGTTTCCCGAGGGCCACTCCGATTTTGCGAGGCAGGGATGGCCGCGACAGGTCAATACTCTGGCGAGGGTACGGCGGCAAGTCTGGTCAGGTCAACTCCGGTGGTCTTCTTGAACAACGTTGACCCAGGGCAGCGGCAAGGGCGACTGGCAGCAGCAATGTAGCTTGGGCCATGGCGAGAAGTATGGGCAGCCGTACCAATTTGGGCAGTGTGGCTCGTTTTCCTGGGGATAACTTCCGAGTGAAGTTCTTTTGATTCAATCGAACCAAATCAAGGTGAGTACGTGCACATCTAACACTAGAATATGCATATTGAAATTCCGTTCATGATTGTTATCGTGGTTGATTTATGTGATTTATCTGTTGATTGTGATTTCGGGAATTGTTGTTGTTGAATAAAAAGGGTAGTATGCATGATTTAGGTGTTGATTGACGAATTAATGTGTTTGATCGTGTTTGAACTGTTAATATGAACCTATTTGTGTTTTGTTTTTATGAGATTGTTGTTGATTTGATGCTGAAAGATGAAATAGGTAAGAAGTTGGAAAATTATTGCGTCAAATGGTAGGCGGTATTGCCGGGACGATATCATGCTAATTTCACTCTGTTTGCTTATGTTTCCTTTGTCGGTAGCTGTGATCGTTCAGTACCTAGGTACCGGACGGACGGTAGGCCCCCTACCGTTGGGTTGGTAGTGGCTACCATGACAGGCCTACAGGTTGGGTGTATTTAGTTTAGTACCCCAATACTGCAGGACCGGTGCCCAGGTGCCGTGAGGATCGTACCCCGTAGTGTGACTGGTATCGTTTGGTACCTGATGCCGAGTCTGTCGATCCGTTTTTTCGTCAATGATTGATTCTGAGACTCCGTGTGATGCATAACGATAAACATTGGTGTCTACACCAGTGTTAGGCCGCTAATATGTTGGATAAGTTGTTAAATGTATCACTGATTTATGAATGTTGTATTGTGTATTAAATAATGAATGTTGGATATATTACCTAGAAGGATTCTAGGAAATGACCTGAATAGATTATTGGTAAGATATGTCATAATTATATTAAGTTAGGGCCCTGTAGTACCTGCTGGGTCCAATGGCGGTTCGGGTAAAAATGTGTACGCGGGGATCTAATTACTGTGTTTCCGAAGGGGACAATTCTTAAACTATTACCTTTTGGTTTAGTCCCCCGATTAATAGTCTTCAAAATGATGTTAAACCGACACTAATATTTTCAATCAATTCTTTGAGTGTTTTTTCAATTATTTTTGGTTTAGTCCACGGATTAGTAGTCTTCAAAAACACATTAGTCTATAGACCAATCTATAAGTGTTCCGATTCCATACTTTGGTATAGTAAAGATATGTATGTCAAGCTAGGACTAGGGTGAAGACTGTAGGAATGACCTTGATCCTTCCCTTATAGAGGTAGGGTTACTCTAGGAGTATCTCCTTAGTCTCTTTCTTTTTGCCTTGGTGATGGATGTTTAGGGCGAGATTCCTTGGTGATGATATCAATGAGTTGGAGGTGTGGCGTCATACCCTCGAATCTAACTAAATATCTAGAATGTGGCTTGAGTGGTTGATTGACGGGCTTCATATGTGGTAATTGGGATTGATTCATGCCTAGAAAAGAGTTTGAGAACCTTGGTTTGGGCATTCAAGCAAATAGAGAGATAGACGGTGATGTTGTTCATTGTATTGGAGCAGTTTGGACAAAGTAAGCTACTAGCTTCATGGGCCTTATGCAATAAGAATACTTCAACAAAGTGATGCCTTTGATTTTCTTCCATGGGTTGTGGCTTGTACGAGTTGAGGAGGAGGAGGGGTGACGATCATGGCGTATGATGAGAAAGGGTGGCGATCATGGCTTGCTTGGAGGGTTGGGCAGTAGCTTTCATTGAAGAATTGCAAAATGTAGAGTAAATTAAAAGTTGGATAGAATTCTAGAATCAACATCATCATCAACAACAACAACAACAACCCAGTTAAATCCCACAAGAGTAGGGTCTGGGGAGGGTGTGTGTACGCAGACCTTGCCCCTACTCGAAAGTAGAGAGGCTGTTTCCAAAGAGACCCCCGGCTCAACGTCGAAAGTTGCATTGCTTGACTAACTGCTACTTCATTAATTAAAGAAGCGTAGACAGTTTAAAGATCCATTTTGATTTATTCCATCATACCCCAAAGCCAAAAAATGGTGAAATTTTGGCTCCATCGGAGATGATGGAAAAAATAGAATTTAATATGTGTATATATTGTACATTTATTTTTTTGAATTTTGATATCATTTGCCGGCTTGTTCGGAGACAAGTGTTATCACTTTTTCAAGTGTTATCAAATTTTAAATAAGTAAATGTACAAAATACACAAATTAAATTCTATTTTTTGATGATGTTGATTCTAGGATTCTATTCAACTTTTAGTTTACTCTATATTCTGTAATTCTTCAATGAAAGCTACTGCCTAACCCTCCAAGCAAGCCATGATCGCCTCCCCTTCTCGTCATACGCCGTGATCGCCACCCCTCCTCCTCCTCAACTCGTACAAGCTACAACCTATGGAAGAAAATCAAAGACATCTCTTTGTTGAAGTATTATTATTGCACAAGGCCCATGAAGGTAGTAGCTTACTTTGTCCATGCGGCTCCAATACGATGAACAATATCACCGTCTATCTCTCCATTTGCTTGAATGTCCGAACCAAGGTTCTCAAACTCTTTTTTCTTAGGGGCATGAATCAATCCCTATTACCACATATGAATTCCGTCAATCAACCACTCAAGCTACATTCTAGGTATTTAGTCGTATTCGTACTCAACCCAAATCCTTTGGATTCAAGGGTATGACGGCACACCTCCAACTCTTTGATATCATCACCAAGGAATCTCGCCCTAAACATCCATCACCAAGGCAAAAAGAAAGAGACTAAGGAGAGACTCCTGGATTAACCCTACCTCTATAGGAGAAGGATCAGGGTCATTCCTACAGTCTTCACCCTAGTACCATTGTATCAAAGTATGGAATCGGAACACTTATAGGTTCAAGTCAACTCTGTAAAATTTGTCTCGATATCTTGTTGCATCCCTCCCTCGAGATGCATTTCTTTGACTATACAAGGGTACAAAATGTTTAATAATTTAAAAATAGGAATAAGTAAACCAAATAAATTTTAGAGAGAGAAAAAACACAATTTAAAAATTTTTGAATGATCAAAACACGTGGGAGGACTATTTTGAGAAAATAATAATTTTATAGAGATGTTCAATTTTTAAAAAAATTAGAGGGGTCGATAGCAAAATTCGTTAATTTCATAATGATAAAAAACATATTTAACTATATAATTTTTTTATTCAATAGATGCTTAAGCTTTATCTACCTTGAGGACTAGAAAATTGATGCTTAAGGTTTTATAGAATTCCCGTGTGTGTGACATGGATTTGGCAAATGCACATGGCACTTTAAAGTTTAACATGATGTAAAAAGATTAGCATGAAAAAGTTTAACATACGCTAGCTCATTATTGCCACGTTTGTATCCCATCTAAAAGAATGCATTGAAGTTAGCTAGCTTCATCACCCACTAGGCCCATCGGGTACGCATCATATGAAGAAGGATATTGATCGAGATCCCTTGGCTTGTCTCCAAACAAGCCGACATGTGTTGAGGTGGATGAGGTGTTTGTTCAAATCATAGAAGTTATCGATGCAACCTATCTGTTGCTGGGTTGGGGAGTCTCCCTCCCATTTTAATCCCAAATAAGTTTTCATGTCCATATGCAATAGGTTGCATGAATTTACTCCAGAGCTTTTTGTTTTTCCACCAAAGCTGGCTAGTTTCCATCAAGAGTTGAAGAAAGTTCCGTAGGTGTTGGGTTTGCAAATTGTCTACCAGGCTCAATCGGCAGTCCACCCCCACCCCTGAAGAACATTGCAAATTTGCGGGTAATCAGATTGTAGACAGATTTACTTGGGGAGTTAAGTTGTTGCCAAAGCGTGGGAGACTTGATTTTGAAGAACATGTTTATTTTAGGAGGGTGTCGAGAGCTTCCATGAAGTTGATGATTTTGTTATCGATTTTCAAGGTGGTCTTTACAATACTTCAGTCTATTGATCCCCAAAATGAAAGTATTCTTAAGAGGCACTTACTATGTCGCCTTGACTCTTGAATGAATGATCTCCCAGTTGCAATTATGTCGTCTTGAAGAAGCTGTTGAATCCATCAGCAGCTATCCTTGTCCAATTCCTAGATAGCTTTAAAAACATCTACTTTGTCTTGGAGACAAAATAATCAATATTCACAATGATGATTTTGGGAATGTAGGAACCGATGCATTCCATGTTTGAGACATCATATTTTCTTGAAAATGTTTTGGAAATTTCCGAGACATGCTTTGCAAATGGCCTCATAGTTTCCATGAGTGTCAACAATGAGCTCTGTTTTCCACCCTCTCCCATCTGTCTCTAGTCTTTTGAATCTTCTTATTTCTCACCCTAAGGTTCATTCTCACTGGAACCGTACCCTATATACCATAGAGTTTGGTAACACAAAACAATACGAGCCGTGAATGCCTTGAAGTCGGATTTTGTCTTCCGAAATATAGAAGCTGGGGCACAAACAATACTCCCTCCTATTCCAACGTATAGAAGTTTGGACAAGTGGTTTTGACGGTTGTTAGTCGGCGAACTAAACTGACCATTATTTCAAATTAATGAGTGTGTGTGTGTGTGTATAATACTCACATTTTAAGAATTTAATTTTAAATAATGAAAGAAAACAACTAATAGTGCCAACTGCCAACTGTTGGAAACTTAAAACTAAACGAGCGAGAATTAGGGTTTAAATTTGGGAGAGGGCAAGAACGAATAAGTAGAGAATTCAAGATGACCGGAGAGGGCAAGAACAACGAATGTATTCAAGATGACTCGATATAGCAAGATCGGATGTACTCAAGATGACCAGAGAGGGCTAGAACGAATGTATTCAAGATGACCGGAGAGGGCAAGAACGAATGTATTCTCCGGTCATCTTGAATACATTCGATCTTGCCCTCTCCGGTCATCTTGAATGCATTCAATCTTGCCCTCTCCTGTCATCTTGAATACATTTGATCTTGCCCTCTCCGGTCATTTTGAATACAATCTTGAATACATTCGATCTTGCTCTCTCCGCTCATCTTCAATACATTCAATCTTGTTCTCTCTGAAATCTCTGGTGATCTTTTAAGGCAAGCTTAGATACTCAAATTTTGGATTTTTCCTGAAACTGGCAGTATTGCTCCTCCACGAAGATCGGTCCAAATCCAACACTCGAGCTAGATCCAGGTTAGTTAATTTATGAATCACAAAATTTTATCATCTTTTTTTATTTATTATTACAGATGTCTTCTTTGTGCATTTTGATGTGGTTAGTAAGTGAAATGATTTTTGAGGAATTGTTACTTTGTTGATCTGTTTTTGTGTTTCATACCAAAGCTTCTTCTCTACTCCCCGATTAGAACATTCGATATTATTGAAGAAGCACTCCTGAATAAGAATAAAAGAATTAGAAGCCTAATTCACTTAGATTCTAATCCCTTTCAATTGAATCATCTCAAAACCATTGCTCTTAGTTAGATTCATCTTCTAGCCTTCATCTGATCGGTTTGGTTATTAGTGTGTGATGCACAAAACACTCAATTCTAATGCCCGCATTCTCCTGTTTTTGGTGCAAAGATCCAATAAAAGCTGGGTTTGTGCTTCATTATTTTGAGCTTTAGTTCGTCACAAACGAACAAAATGGGCAGTGACTTCGTTGTATTAAAATATCTTCATTGGGTTTGAACCGTATGATATTTATCTTTGGCTATTGAGTGTTTTTAAGCTCACAAAGGTTTATTCTGCCCATGTCATTTGACTAAGTTTCTATTTACTGTTTTGTTTAGTTTACCATTGTAGTAGTTTGTAGTAATTAAAACCAGTTGCGAAAGAGTTTAGGGGTGTTTAGAGTAAAATTTTCAAAGGGTCGGTGAGAAAGGAATGAGAGTTTAGGAGTGTTTAGATAAACTTGCAAAGAACCTTACAGGTGACCTTTGGACTCTACCTTTTTCTCTGTGATGCATATTTATCTCTTTCTCTTTCCTCTTTTTCTTTTTCAACGGATCATACTTCAAGATTGTGCACCCATAGCCACTAAGTTAAATCTTTTCATTTGATTCTCTCTGGATAATATGTTAGCAAGGAGAAGTTGTGGTGTGGATTTAGGGAGTTAGCCGTGTCTATATGCACAAGAATGCACATCTTTCGCTGCTTTAAAACATGAAACCAGGCGAAAAGATTAAATTCAAAACTGGAAAACCAGAATGCATCCCTTTCTCTGCTCTTAAACATGAAACAAGGGGAAAAGATTAAATTCACAACTGGAAAAAAATGCATAAATTGGTGTGCAATCCTTTTTTCTCAAAATGTTTTTCACAAACATTCTATATTATGTTCTTCTCTGTGGTAGTTGTTATCTGAATGAAGATTTACTCCAGCTTTAGGTTCTTGCAGAATAACACTTTCTTGTGAAGCTGCTGAAATAAAGAAGGCAATGATAGTTAGAGAGTAAAAATAATAGCTGTATTGGATGCATTACCATACTCAACTTCTGTTTGACCAAATGGGGCCTAACTTTTTAAATTCTCATAGGAAGAAGATGGAATGAAATCGTGAGGATAGGGCTGAATCTACTTCTCTTGGAACACCCCCGCTCGAGGTATTGTGTGATAATTTTCGACAATGATGGCTCTGTTGGAGCTTGTCAAGTGTATGGTACAATCGTTCTGATTGATGGAGATGGTGCTAATTTTAATCTCTATGATCGAGGGGAGGCAGATGCTGAGACTGTGACTGTGGGTGGTTCCTTGACCCTCATCATGCCAAAGGGACATGCTATGTGTGCATCTGGTCGGATCTACTTGCAAGTCCAACTTAATGATGCAACTATGTGTTTGCCAATGGTCTTCACTATTGGGATTACAAAAGCAAGGATGACTATGATGTGGCCCAAACCATGGTGTTTGGATCTGCCATCATCGAATGCATCACACATCGCCATGCACCCATTGCTACTGTTGACATCGTGCTATTGAGGGGACGCTTGGGGGTGGATCGAGCTAATTTGGTATGCATCTTTGGCGATGTAACTGTTCATTGTGCCACGACTTACCCGATCGTTCTTTTCAAGAGGAGTGAAAGACAGCCTATGAGAGTAAGGCTTGGGACTTCAATTAAACTGTTTAGACATGACGTGGCAGTACCATCGTGGTCCTCAGTTGTAGAGTGGGTGCCCTGACACAAACATGGCCATTTTGTGCATCCAAATCCTGCTCCGCTCTAGACACCTTCCTACAATGTAATGCGTCGAATATAAAAAAATCTATTGACAACATTCTCCTTGGTATCAACGTAACATAAAAAGGAACTACAAATGAGGACCACGATGGTACTGCCACGACATGACCCCACTCTATTTTTTTTCTTTTTTGCATTTACCTATGTGTATATTCTTTGTTTAACTTCCTTTTTCGTCTCTTTTTTTCACTTTGTTTCCTTTTTCATAATATTTTTTTTCAAACTTTCTTCTAGAAAATAGTTTCAAATATTTAAATTTTGCATGATATAAAAATAAATGAATTAAGGACCTTATCAAAAAAAGAAAATTTGATCTCTTTTTCAATTTTTTAATTTTACTCATTTTTTTCTTTTTTAGAAATTTTTTATTTCATTTATTTTTATATCATACAAACAATTTTCAATTTTCATACAATTTTATAGAAGAAATTCTAAAAAAAAACACTTTAAAAAAGAGTAACATAAAAAAAAGAAAAACAAATAAATAAAAAAAATTATCGATCTAAGAGTTATTACCATAAAATATTAAGGAAAAAATACATTTATTGATGTTTATGGATGAAATATATCGTAGTCATTACAACAGAATGTAAGGACTTCGTTGTCTTTTTGAAAATAGGAAAACCTAAAAATTATTTCGACAAAATTTGCGTCACCCGTGAGTAAGTTTATGCGTTTACAACCTAGTAAATTAATAAAGATCAACGCTCCACAATGGTTTGAAAGACATCCCATCTCGAAGAGCCACAATATATACATTAAGGCAAGCACCCCTATTAAGGCGTCTGGCACCATTTCCCTACTAAAGAGTGAGGGTAGCCACGACTTCCTTAAATTATCCTGGGGTGATACCGATCCGCTGGATAAAGAGTTCAGCTTCGGTCACACTGATTGGGATCTAATGGCCTCTGGTGCTGCTATCCTCCTCTGGGTGCTGCTACCCTCCTTTGGGATCTAATCACCTTCAAAAAAATCTGCTATTAATTTCGCAAAAGATTTTTAACTAAAAATCAAAATATTAATTTAACAAATTTTTAAATAAATTTCGAAACATGTAGTTACTTGATAAATTATTTCAAAATATTTTATTGACATTGACCTTGTAATTAATTAAATCTTGAATAAAAAGAATAACATAATCATGAACGGAGTATTTAATAATATAAAAATAAAATTGAATGAACAAAAAACTTGAAGAGACAAACTAATTTATAAATTTTTCCAATGATAAAAAAAAAATTAAATTCGGGAGGGACTATCTGCAAAAATTACAATAATATATGGACAATTTAGTTTAAAAATATTTTAGTGCAAATAGGATTATGATTGAATAGTTAGAATTTTGCTTTCATATTTTGGTGTAGACGTAAGAATTGATTCACACTCAGTGCAGAGCTAAGTTTTGATATTTTAATTTGGTCATTCAGGAATCGGAGCCATTTGTGCTAAGTGAAAGTTCGCTTCAAGAGTCTTATGCGACAAAAAGATATACATGGATAAAATGCAAGCAAAGTTTTGTTTGCACGTAGTCAGACTAGCTATGGTTTATGAGGTCAAGTGTTGTGTTAGCGTATATCATGTATATATTATTTTACGTATATTATTGTATAATATTGTGGGCCTATCGTGTTGGGCTTGTAACTTGTATTTATATCCTTCGGTATCTATGAGAAACAACCAAGTCATTCAGTTCACCAAAATTCTACATGTATCGGAGCAAACCTTGGATATCACGTAAAACCCTAGGTCTACCGCTGCAAGTCCGTCTCTGGATTCACCGGTCGTCTGCGCCGGTTGTCCTCGCCGGAACGCCATCAATCCCTCGCCGGTGAACCGCCTCACGTCTCCGTTCTAGTCCCCTGTCTCGCCTGTCCGAGTCCCCTGTCTCGCCGGCGAAGTCCTTGTTCGCTCGTCCCTGTTCCGGTCTTCTGTGAAGATCTGTTGCCCGTCCCTTTTCCGGTCAGAATCCCCTGTTGAAGTCGCCGCCTAGATTCACTGTTTGCCCGTTGAAGTCGCCGCCCCTTTTCCGGTCATCTGCGCAGAATCGCCATCAAATTACAGCAGCAAAGCAGCAACTTGTCCAATTGCTTTGTCCGTCCAAGTGATCCGTCCTTCCAAATTGCCGCAACAGTTTCTCCCACCAGTGTTCTGTGAGTTTGGATTTGTTTGGTGTGAAAAACATTAGCATAAAAACTACCAAGATGACTAGTACCTCGTGTGATTGGTTGATTGGTAGCGGTGCTTCTCATCATATGACGGGTACTTTGTCTCACATGTTCAATATTGAGGATGTTTTCTCTCATCCTATTTGTCTTTCTCATGACTCCCGGATTCAGGCTACTAAAAAGGGAAGTGTCCGTGTGACCTCTAGTCTGGTTCTCCATCATGTGTTTTACGTCCCCGCGTTGCATTGTCATTTGATTTCTGTCAGGTGTTTGATTCGGGACACCATCTGTTATGTTACTTTTAATGATTTTGGTTGTGTAATACAGGACTGTTCGTCGAAGATGGTGATTGGATATGGTGAAAAGCAAAACGGAGTATACATCATGGTTTCTTCCTCTGCGTCAGCTAATGTGGCTAACGTGGATCCTTTGCTACTTCATCAACGTTTGGGTCATCCTTCCTCAGATATTATTTCCCTTTTAAAGTCCAATAAGTCAGGTTCTGTTATCAAGAAACTTCAAGCTTGTGAGATTTGTTTTTTGTCTAAACAAACTCGTTCTTCCATTCCTGTTAGTCATAATAAAGCTGAAGCAATCTTTGATTTAATTCATTGTGATTTATGGGGTCCTTATTCTCCGTGTTTGTCATCTGGTGCTCATTATTTTCTTACAATTGTCGATGATTTTTCTCGTGCTGTTTGGGTATATCTTATTCGTACTAAAAGTGAGGTAACATCCTGTCTTAAACGGTTTTTTACCATGATTCACACCCAATTCTCTAAAATCATCAAAGTAGTCCGGTCTGATAATGGCACCGAATTTCTCAATGCCCCTTTACGTCAATATTATGATCCCATGGGTGTTTGTATCCAAACGTCGTGTGCTGGTACCCCTCAGCAAAATGGTCAAGTAGAACGAAAGCATCGTCACATTCTCAACGTTGCTCGTTCTCTCATGTTTCAAGCGTCTCTTCCAGTTGAATTTTGGGGGGAATGTGTCAAAACTGCTGTTTATTTAATTAATCACACACCGACAAAACTCTTGGGTGGGAAATCTCCTCTTGAAGTACTGTCGTCTAAACCACAAGATTTGAGTCATCTCCGGGTTTTTGGTTGTCTCTGTTTTGTCCGTCAAACACCTAAACCCCCAAACAAATTTTCTCCCCGTAGCGTGAAATGCATGTTTATTGGGTATCCCTATGGAACAAAAGGGTGGCGGGTGTATAACTTGGACACTCACCAATTTTTTCACGCTAGGTATGTCGTGTTCGACGAATCACAATTCCCGTTCTCTGTCCCGAACACTATCAGTCCCGTCCAACCCGTATTAAACCCTGTCGACGTCGATTTTCCCGTCGTCTCTCAGTCGGCTGCCTCCCTCGGCGACACCACCACCGAGCAGCCCAGCCTGCCACCGTCCCCAACTCCGTCCCCCGTCCCTGTCCCGTCAACTGAACAGCCCCCTCTTCCCATCATTGTCCAGTCCACGGGCGAGGCCATCTCGTCCGTCCTGTCTCCATCTCCTTTACCTCCTCGCACCCGTCGCCTCCCCTCCCGCCTCAATGATTATGTCCTCAATTCTGTGTCTACCGTCACTCCGTCTCCCTCTTCACCTGGCTCCGTCTCGTCCGGTACACGGTTCCCGATTACTAACTATGTTCATTATGATAAGTTGCATAACAGGTACAAGGGCTTTCTTGGTGCTATTGATGCTTCTCCGGTTCCCACATCATATAGGGAAGCTGTCAGATATGCTTCTTGGAGGGAAGCTATGGCACAAGAATTTACTGCGTTGGAGCGCAACCATACTTGGGAGATTACTGTTCTTCCTCCTAATCGGCAGGCCCTTGGTTGTCAGTGGGTGTATCGTACTAAATATCGGTCTGACGGCACCAAGGAGCGGGATAAAGCCCGTCTGGTTGTCTTGGGAAACCACCAGGAGGTGGGGGTCGACTTCAATGATACTTTTGCCCCCGTAGCCAAGTTGGCTACAATTCGGGTGTTGTTGTCTGTCGTAGTTGCACGAGGATGGCAGGTTGATCAGTTGGATGTCAACAATGTTTTTTTACATGGGGATCTTCAGGATGAGATCTATATGAAGCTTCCACCTGGATACTCTCATTTGTTTCCTGGGAAGGTTTGCCATTTGCGAAAGTCTTTATACGGGCTCCGTCAGTCTCCCCGTANGATACTTTTGCCCCCGTAGCCAAGTTGGCTACAATTCGGGTGTTGTTGTCTGTCGTAGTTGCACGAGGATGGCAGGTTGATCAGTTGGATGTCAACAATGTTTTTTTACATGGGGATCTTCAGGATGAGATCTATATGAAGCTTCCACCTGGATACTCTCATTTGTTTCCTGGGAAGGTTTGCCATTTGCGAAAGTCTTTATACGGGCTCCGTCAGTCTCCCCGTAGTTGGTTTGCCAAGCTTCGTATGGCCCTACGTCGCTATGGCTTTCGCCAGGCCCATGCGGATCATACTCTTTTTGTTCTCTATCGTGGTCCTGATATACTTGTTGTTCTTGTTTATGTGGATGATATTCTTGTTGCAGGCAATAATCCTTCCTTGTGTTCTTCCTTTAAAAAGTATTTGGATGCATGTTTTTAGCTTAAAGACCTTGGTCCTGTCTCTTATTTTCTGGGTATAGAATGTGCTCGCTCCTCTACTGGTATGGTTCATAATCAGCGCAAATACACATTGGATATTCTTCAGGAGCACAATCTCTCCGGATGCAAGCCTGCCGACACCTTCTTGCCCAGCAACCACAATCTCCCCCGCTCCACTAGTGCTGAGCTTCAGGATGCTGCTAAGTACCGTCGTCTTGTTGGCCTTTGTTGTACTTGACCATTACTCGGCCAGACATCTGTTATGCTGTTCATGCTTTATCTCAGTTTATGCAGGCTCCACGTCTGGACCATTGGAACGTTGCTCTTCACGTTCTCCGGTATCTTAAAGGGCACCCAGGTCAGGGTATCCTCCTCCGTCGTGATAATGACTTGACCTTGACAGCTTATTCTGATTCAGATTGGGCGAGTTGTCCGATCACCCGTCGCTCTGTCATTGGTTATTTTGTCCTTCTTGGTGGGTCCCCGATTTCTTGGCGTACTAAAAAGCAAACCACGGTTTCATGTTCTTCTGCAGAGGCGGAATACCGCACCATGGCTAACGCTTGCGCCGAGATTCGGTGGCTCCGTGGTCTCTTGGCCGCATTACAGGTTCCTTGTGTTGCTACCCCGCGCTTGTATTGTGATAACAAGTCAGCCCTCTTCATTGCAGCTAATCTAGTGTTTCATGAGCGCTCAAAACATATAGATATCGACTGTCATATAGTTCGGGAATGCCTCCAGCGTGCTCATATTGTCACAGCCTATGTTCCCACACAGTTGCAGACAGCAGATATATTCACGAAGGCGCTCCCCGGTCCTCTTTTCCGTTCTCTTTTGTCCAAGTTGGGCATTTTTGATCTCTATGCTCCAACTTGAGGAGGAGTGTTAGCGTATATCATGTATATATTATTTTATGTATATTATTGTGTAATATTGTGGGCCTATCGTGTTGGGCTTGTAACTTGTATTTATATCCTTCGGTATCTATGAAACAACCAAGTCATTCAGTTCACCAAATTCTACATGTTGGTAGTTAAGAAAGCACACGAGATGCGTGGGTTGACGGGGTTAGATAGGTTCGAGATTGAGATTATCCAGGTATGGATTGTAGTAGAGCTTGTGGAGGATAAGCAATGTGAGGCAAGTTTGATATGTTCGTAGATGAGAATTTAAAATGTTAGGCCCCATTTGGTCAAAGAGAAGTTGAGCATTGAGAAAATTATGTAAGACTATTTTTTGCTTTCAACCAAAACTCATGGAACCAATGTAAAACTAAATAGTATTCTTCTGATTATGTATGTGCAAACTAGAACCTCTCAAAACCTAGAAAATGAAAATGGCAGTTAATGTTTTTCATTGTAATGGTGAGATTCAAGATCAGACCCTAAAAGCATCCAAATTCGCTGCATTTATGGAATGTTTCATTCAAATAATACCATTATGAAGCACGGAGTATGATGCCAAAATTAATAAATAAATATACACATATACACAAACACACAGAGATAATGATGAAACATAAAGATAGATAAACGCACCGGTATCAATCTAAGATCATCTTCACAATAGCCAACTTGTCCAAAATTATCTCAAACCTATTTTTAGTTTCACAATCATTTTGAATTCTACCCTGAATCGTAAACACGTTGTGACCATTATTATAGTGGACCGCAGCTACGCTCATCTTCTTTCAGTAGGAGATCAAAGCTCAAATATTGCCTAAAATTATGAAAAAATATACATAAATTGCTATCTATGAGTTTCTGAGACGATTATGTATATTTTCTCATAATTTCAGGCAAAGAGCTTTGATCTCATACTAAAGAAGATGAGCGTAGCTGTGATCAGCTATAACAATGGTCAAGACAACGTGTTTACGATTCAAGGTAGAATTCAAAATGATTGTAAAATTGAAAATAGGTTTGAAGCAGTCCTAGATGAGTTAGTGGTTGTGAAAATAATCTTAGATTGATCGATAACGGTGCGTTTATCAATCTTTATTTCATCATTATGTTGTGTATGTTTATATGTGTATATTTATTTATTTATTTATTTATTTATTTAGGCATCATACTTCATGCTTCATAATAGTATTATTTGAATGAAACATTTCATAAATGCAACAAATTTGGATGCTTTTAAGGTCTGATCTTGAATCACACCATTACAATGAGAAACATTAATTGCCATTTGATTTTCATTTTTTAGGTTTTGAGAGGTTTTAGTTTGCACACACTTAATCAGAAGAATATTATTTTGTTTTACACTGGTTTCATTAGTTTTGGTTGAAAACAAAAAATAGTCTAACATAATTTTCTCAATGCTCTACTTCAATTACTCACCATTTTTTCCCTCCTATTTTCTCTCCCATCCAAACACATAAATTATTTTTCTTTTATAGTGTTAGCATTATTTCAAATACTGTGAGTCAACAAATTAATACATGCGAAAGAGAAAAAGAAAATGCGAGAGGTAGACCAAAAGTGTAGTCCAAACACCCCCCACCCCCTCCATCACCACACAAAAAAACAAGAAAAATTCAAAAAAAAAACAAAAAAAAAAACAAAATAGAATGAATGATAAAGAGAGGGGTGGTGTAGATTTGAGGTAGCATATGCCTTAGAGATTGGGTATTGATTTGAGACATAGAATGTGAAGAGAAATAAAGTGTGGACTTGACTTTTTTGTTTTTCTTGTGCCCAGGCAGGGGCCCACACCCATTCCCTGTCCCTGACATGAGGAAATCATCGGCAGAAGATTATGGTGTTTAATTGAGGTGTTCTAAGTTTCAATTGGTAATGATAATAATGAGAAGAGCAATGCCAGGGGTACACCAAAAAGTGTACCACAAATGTACACCACCCTTCTTCTTCACCACACATTTTTATTTGATTCTTATTTACTTATTTTTTTTAAAATTTGTTTGTCTTTTTTAGTGTACAAGGAGGGGGTGAGGGACATATGGTTTCAATCTCTAAACATTAATGTGGTAAAATGATGGCTTTCCAAAACATGTACTCCCTCCGTCCCTAAATATTTGCCACACTTGTATTCCCGAGGCAAAATATCAAGTTTTTTCAATTCATTTTATTTACATATTGGTATAGAAATAAAAAATAAAATTTACATATCAAAAAACTGCATGAAAAGTTCTTCGAAATAAGAAGTGTCAAGAATATTTTATTTCATCATATAACCAATGAAAACGAAGAAATAAACAAAAGTTCCCGTAACGCTGAAAAAGCAAACGTTGCAAATTGAACAGGAACTTGAAATATAAGTGATGAACATTACGAATCTGTAAATCTTTATTGGGCACAAGAAGGAGCAATGTACCTAAACCATTAAAGAACGCAACATCCAGAGCCAACTAGAGGTCAAAGTTAATACCATTTGAGATTAATAATCCAAGACAGTAGACAAAAAAAACATTGCACGCGAGAAGATTACAACACAACCCAGCCAATCCAAACAAAAACAAGATCTACCACATGAAAGATGAATTCACAACACCAAGTAAAAAGAAGGCTAATACACAAAGGTATGTCCATTTCTTTTCTTTTATGACGTATATAGATGATCAAGGATGTTGAGGAGACAATGTCGGTTTTTTAATTTGGTGGTTTGATTTTGTTATCACTGATGGAACTCCCTTGGTCTATTTGCTATAGAACAAACCCTGACAAACAACTTGATTTATTTTCAATAGATTAACGCATCTCTCATAAGTTGGTTAAAGTTGCTTTCGTCTTTCAATTTCTAGATCGTGTTTCCATCTTCAAAACAATCAATGTGGTATGTGTGTAATTAGTTTGGATGAGCACTACGCATTATTTTATATTTGTGTGATTTTGTATGGACTATGGATATTGTAGATTTAAATGGATTTTCAAAATTGAGCAAATAAACATGTTTGCACCTTCTCCTACTTATTGTCGAGCTACAACATATTATCTATTATTTGCAATTAGCTACTACTATACACTTTATTTTGAGCATTTTTAGGAGCTACTAGTTAGTTTGCAAGAAATCGCCCAAATAAAAGTAACACATTGCATTTACCTTCAAAAAAGGAGTTCCATTATTTTTATTAGTATGATTTTGTAGATTTCAATGAATTTTCAAATTGAGCAAATAGACATGTTTGCAACTTGTCTTATTAGTTACTTATTAGTTAAGTAATCTCTACTAATTGTTGAGCTACAACATACTTCCTCCGTCCCCAATTAGATTACAATATTCCCTCTTATTTTTGTCCCAAAAAGAATTACAAAGTGTTTACTTTTACACTAAATAGACTCTTTTACCATCCTTCCCCTTTATCATTTCAATGTCAAAATCTCACCCACCCACTCATTCCTATACTATTTGGGGGGTAATTTGAGAAAAAAAATACTGATTTGACTCTTCTTTAATTTTATCTAAAAGGAAATATTGTAATCTAAAAGGAGACGAATGGAGTATTAAATATTCCATTGTATTTTGGGTACTATATATTGACATTATTGGTATTGTACTCTTATTTTGGGGATAAAAAATATGCAACTCTTATTTTGATATTTTTTTCCATGTTTTCTTCTTAGTTTAGTCCTTTTCCCTTAAGTTTATTCCTAATTTGTTGAGTTATTGGCCTATTAGCTTTAGTCAAGGTTTTGCTTTAGATTGTTATTGATTGCTTTAAGCTACAATTTGCATACTAAATGATTTTTTTGAAGCTACTAATTAGGTTGCTCCTAATTTGGTGAGGTATTGCCAATTGGGCTATTAGCTTTGTCAAGGTTTTGCTCTCGATTGTTATTAGTTGCTATCAGCTACTAGATTGTATACTATTATATAGATTTTTGGGAGCTACTAGTTAGTTTGCTCTTAATTTGCTATCTTGTGGCCTATTAGAATTGTTAAGGTTTTGCTCTGAATTGTGAAATGTTTTGACTTCGTAAAGTCTTGCCTAATTTGGTCTTGAAATACAATCACAAAAAAATTGGGAATCATACTCATTCATCAATTTGAACTTGGGAATTTATTTCCTTGTAACAATTAGTTATATGAAATCTAATTTGATTTTGCCTTTTAATTTGTTTCAAGCCTTAGGAAAATGCCTCCTGTTGTCGTGGACGCTGATAGCGTACATCAAGATGATACCATCTCATTTAATTTGTTTGCTCCCAACCTGGTCGAAGAAAAAGAGCATACCATTCAACGACTTCGGAAAGTACTTACGCCACAGACATGCTCTCAACCACAATAGAAGAACATTTATCAATATGATAAGTATTGCAATTGGAAACCCCCGAGTGAGGCCATTCACTGCGGCATGAAACAAAAAATCAATATCAAACATAACGAAGCTCAAGCCCACCTTATTTGAATGTCTTTCAACTCCAGACTTCTCGAGTTGACCACACACAAAGCAAGTATAAATTTGGATACTCCATCCCCTTTTGTTTGAGGGAATCATCAGTAGGAAGAATGCCCCTTAACGCCCTCCAAACACAAGCCATAACATCCACAATTATCCTCAATCCACAAAGCCTTGAACATAATTAGCCACCTCCATCATGTGTGGGAATTTTCCTATTTAGTCCTCTATTATCAAATATTATTTCACTGATCCTTTTTTATAGGTATCTTTCCACAAATAGTCCTTTTTTGATCTTCTATCGTGTTGGTGTTAACTTGAGGGTTAAAAGTGTAATTTCACAATAATATATCTTTTTTGTCATACACAATTCCAAAGGTTGTTCCGTTTGCACTGTTTGTGAATTATATTCGTTTTCGGCGTGCTTTGCAAAGGCGCCATTTTACGGTTTTTTATGTTTAGACATTGGGGTTTTGATCTGAGACATGGAATTTGAAAAGAAGTAGTAATGGACTTGACTTTTTTTGTTCTTATGGCTCCAGGGACTTACACCCACTCCCGGAGTCCCGGTCCCAGACATGAAGAGATCATCACCAGAAGATTATGGTATTTTAATGATGGAGGTGTTCTCAGTTTTGATTGGGAGTAGTATTAAGAATAATGAGAAAGCTTTTGAGAATGGACATGGAATCATCAAACTCTTCAAGTGCCCGTGTCCGGACGAATTTTTGTTCAAAAAGGGTTTGGACAATGGGATAAGGGTACTCCCGAACGAACATCTTGACATAAAGGCACCTGAGCTGAATATTGTTGGCATCGATTTGAATTTCGTTGTGGACTTGAAAGATGTTAGAATATAAGAAACATTTTTTGAGCCTTGATTCTTTGACATGGTATCAGAGCCAGGTTGACTAAGAGGTCACAGGTTCGAAACTCAGCGCCACCCAGGTTAAAAAAAATTAAAGTTTCAGATGCAAGGCTCGAAAAAGACTACGCTTGCACGTGAGGGGGCGTGTTAGAATATAAAAAACATTTCTTGAGCCACAACCACAAAAGATGGAGATGGCCGTGCAATTAGTTATGGCGAAGTGTGTTGGGATGAAGTGTGGGTTGACTCGCCTATCGTATGGTATGGCAAGCCATTGTGCTCGGTCATCCGGGGTGACATTGGGTATGTAGTACTCCACTACATGTTCATTCCTGATGGGGTCTATGCAACGGTAACGGTTAGCATCAAACGAGGAGGAAGAAACAACAACAAGAACAACAATGTTCATGGGAGTATATTTGCGGAGTACAGCGAGTATAGGTATGCAACCTGGTATGACAAAGAGCACTACAGGCACAGACTCTTTCAAAGCAATCAAACCCACATCCTCAAAAATGGCAAAGAAGACAGTGCCTTGTTCAGACTCATTTGAATTAGCACTGACAAGATCTGCTGTGGTGGTGCCTCACACTTCTTGCTCTGATAATCGATCTGGACTTGACATTGGATGCGCCGGGCAACCCTTCTTCTTTTACGGACAGGCCGATATTCAATATTGATATGGGCCGCGTAAGGGAACAGAGCATCAAAGGAAGTTGTGGCAATGCTGTTGCTGTTGTGACTGTGCTGTGGAGCGAAGTTGATCCGCCTTTCAGGCTTAGGAGGGAGAACGGCGGCAGCTCAGAGGTGGAGGAGGAGTACTTTTGCAGGGACTCAGATTTCGGGTTCTGTATAGACGATGACGGAGACGACTGCGGCGACGTCTCAGATTTGGGATCCAGTCAATATTTGGCTAGTCAGCCAACTACACAAGTATGAGTCTGGAGGTATTTTAATAAAGTCTGGTATGTATGTGTATGTACAATACAACGGAAATTAAGTCTTTCGTGCTGTGTATCCCAAATTCGGATATTATTTGTGCTGGTAGGATGAATTTAAAATCTATTCACGTTCTTTACCTATTTTTCTTACTTAATTAACAACGTATACGTAAATTTTATTGTGACGAAGGGGGTAACAATTTTCTTCCAAACATGTGCGTGATATTGTATAGTGTGTAATTTGTGCTAGATTTGAGTTCTGATTTGATTTATGTGTCTTGATTGGCAAATGAGACTTACTCAAACTGTAAAGAAACCCTGTAAATGCACACTCAAACTCGTTCATCTTGTGACGAAAATGTCTTTTTGCTTTTAGTAGCTATTGTTACTTAATCGTTTTCACCGGCTCCATTCGAGTATATGTGGTCTAAGCTATTCTTCGTTACCAATTATCAGCCTATAGAGACGTTAGCTATAGTATGAAGTATTATAACATTATTATCAAATATCATTACTCTCTTGTTACCATAATTCTACTTTGATTTAGATTCTTCCTATTCTCTTTATATGTAAGGTTGTAATATTCTTCATTGATTAAAACTAGCTATTATTAGTGTATCAATAACATACCAAAAGAAAACAACAAGTAGTTTACTTTAGAAGTGGAAAAATGATGATAACATATTTTTTTCATGAGAAATGTGGGTCTCGGGTCTGTTCACATCTTTTTCATCGTCTCACAGTTCGTGCATTAAAGTTCATGAAACGAGTATAGATTCTTAACCACTAAAAAAATTGCTTCTTTATATATAATCATGTAATCGTCTTTATTCAATAAGACATGCAATTATCAAATTGTATTAAACTATTAGTAGCATATTATAATTGAAACACAGATTTGTTTATAAAACGTATTTCGTTTAGTTCAAAAGTGTTTAAATTTAAAAAAAGTAACCCATAATTAAAGCAGAACATAAAGAAATTACTTAAATAGAAATTCCATATTTTTATTTCTAAAATAAGAGTTTGCACTGTGACAATGTAGTATATTGTATACTTGCATCCACAATGTTTTTTTTGCATTACATATTGACACTATATATCTTATTTTGAAATAAAAACACGAAACTCATATTTTAATACTTTCTCTATGTTTTACTCTAATTCTAATATTTTAATCTTAAATTTAAAATATAAGCGAGACATAACGTCAAAATTATATATGCAATCTTGGTGTCATTGGATAAATCTTGTAAAAAGAATTATGATATAATATTTTTCAAGTATTTATTTACGTACAAAATTATAAATAAAATAGACGTTGCATTAGAATAATTAAAAGAAATAACTTTTTAATATAAAAAAAAAAATCATACTCCGTATAACCTAATAACGCAGTATTTCTTCCGTGCCATGGCCACAATTCTAATGAACAGTTTTCGAGTAGAAATTGGAGTAGTGAAAATTGTAGCACAATCTAATGAACAATTTTGGATGCTGATTTTGTATCTCGAAGGAAGCAAAAAATGGAAGAATGAAAAGGGTAAAACATTGACCGAAAAGTATAATTTTTTAGACGTATAGTGTTTTAGCAATTCAAGTCATATATTGGACCCTCCGCTCCCTTACCGAGCAAGAACTTTTGAGGCATTGATAATGCTTTAGGACCTGTTTGGGAATAACGTTAGAAATTAGCATTTTATGGTGGAAACTGAATATGAATCTGCCCTCCATTGTTTGCTCCATATTGGGTATTTTTGGTTTGGAGAGGAGACGAGGGAAGAATCAACACTCCCCTTGTTTGCTCGAAAAAAATCTTTGAAAAACAAAACCCAGATGAAACAGCCACAAACGATGTTCTCAAAAGAAACAATTAGTATTCCCCAAAACTCATAACCAGGCAAACTATATAGACCACTCAAATTGTACCACTAATGGCAGATATTTTGTATTCAGATAATTTGACTCGCCTGAGATCCAGCCCCAATGCCAAAAATATTTGGCTAAAATAAGAGTTGAATAAAGAAAGGGTGAACACATTTCACAATCTGCAAATGGAAAAGGCCTATATATATTCGGAGTAAATTTTAGTCGTACAGCGTTGTGGCGAATCGAATTCTCTTTAACTTGACTTCGCTCTTCAAAACTTTTTCCTCTGATTTCTCTCTTTTTGCTACGGCTTTGGCTATCGCTTTCTTCTTTCGGGCATTCTTTTTCCTTTTCATTTGCACATTCTTAACCTTTCTGCAGCATAAGAGCACATGACATGAGGAACTAGTAATAAACGAAGATCAAACAATGCAACTAGACTAGAAACCAAAGTTCGAATTTTGACACACATAAGAGACAGTTGGTAAAGCTAAAGACTCTGGTAGCATATTCAAATGTATTACACTATTACCACAACAAACGAGACTTAAAATATAAAATCGCACTCTAGTGGGTTGTTCAATAGGGATGGAAGGGAAATGAGTTAAAATTCAATGTAAAGAGAAGAATGAATGAAATGATTCAAACAATAACAACAAACCCGGTAAAATCTCATTAAAATGAAGAGTCCATAGAGATTATAATTCGTGGGAAAGAATTTCAAATCCCTCACCCAACAAAACCCGCGGCAAGTCTAACACTTCGGAAACTAGATTTGTTCTTAACTTTGTCATGGAAGTTTCTTTACGTTACCAAGAGTAAAGGAGCTATATTTCTAATTAATCCAATAGCCTAATTAACGGTATTCTTTGTTCATCATTAAAGGCCCAAACACCATATACCCTATACAAGATTACAAGTATCAATCAAAGTACCATATTCTCCATGTTAGAGCACTTAGGGGTGGTGACATTTCAGAATTTTAGTAAAATTTCACCAGTTGTAAAAAAACATCACGTTTGGGAAGATACATTAAATATGATAATTATGAGATGTAGGAAATTCATAGCTAATGGCCTAATGCATTCAACAGATTATGCTTTTCTTTAGACTGTTTTCATACATATTTCACAATACAAAGCTAATTACTTGAGTCCAAACAAAACCAGTTATTTTCAAATCACTTTCCATGAAAAACTAATAAACCCCAAACAAAAAAAACTGGTTCTGGAAATCTTGACTGAAGTAATCTGATTATTTCAGATTTCCCAAACACCCTGTAAAAGCATAAAGAGCACAGATATTTTTAACATATAAATATACCACATAGTGTTTTTTTACTAGTTTAAAACTCAATCAACACCAAGCTTATGATAATAGAATAGTGCAATAATAAGATATTTTGTACTGACGTGTGGATGGCGGTGGCGGACGGCGTCGAAGCAGCGGCCTCAGATGTATCCATGTCTGAGACACCTATTCAAAGAAAATAAAATCAATTTCACAAGATTAACAGGGAAGCGAATGAAGAGAAATTTAACAGGGAGCGGTATAGAATCAGATGCGAACTTGAACACAGACTCGGGGAGTGAAGTATGTACCTTGACAGACCTTCTCCGTCTGGTTTCCGGCGAGATCCATCGGAGCAACGCCATTTTTCTTCTTCTTGTTTCTGTTCTTTGCCATTGTTGCTTCGGGTGAGAATTGGGGAAGAAATCTCCCGACGTAGCCCTAACATGCCCTCTTTCACTCTTTGATAGATCAACCCGGTTTGTATCTCCAGCTATAAAAAACCGGTTTGTATCCTAGGCCGGCCCATCTGCTCGTAGGTGGGCTCTATAGTAAAGTTTAGGTCCATTAAAAGAGGGCGGTCACTTCACATTCGTAAAATTAATAACTTTCACCTCTGATAAATTAATACTTTCTCCGTTCCACAAAACTCTTCCGGTTTTGATTTTGGGGAAAAATAAGGAAAGTGAAATTTTGGTTGACTTTCCAATTTTGCCCCTGATGTGATGGGAAAAAGTAAGATGTGATAGTTTGGTTATTAGTGAAAAAGTATGATGTGATAGATAGGGTATGAAAAAGTAGGGATAAAAGTGGTTTTTTAATAGAAAGTGGAAATGTTTTGTGGAAAGCAAAAAAACAAAAGAGGAAGGGTTTTGTGGAACGAAAGGAGTACGTAACAATTTTGTAGTATTTACGCTGTCCTGAATTCACCATGTCATTTCCTTCGATTGCATAATTCAAATAAAAAAACAGAAAAATTATTCTCACCACAAAGGTAAGTTTCAACTCAAAATAGTGCATAAATTCCGATCGATTTTCCAAGCAACGTGAACCAAATCGAAGAAAATAAATAGAATAATAATAGAATCACAAACAAAACACTCACAAAATATACAAACTTACCATTTGTGCATTTTAGTTTTTCTTTTTTAATTATTTGAGACCGTTATTTGATAATCTTATTTTACATATTCGGTAAGTTTGTGCATTTTATGAATGTTTAGTTTGTGACTCAAATAAATATGGAGTAATTCTAGCAAGTTACATTATACGAAATAAATAGTACCGAGTATCTTAAAAAATTCTTAGTTATCTTCAAGGAAATTAAAAATAAAATAAAAAGTATGTGAGTGACAACACACATGCCCTCTATGTGCCAAATAAGATTACTATATCTATTTACGAGCTGAGGTAAAACCCTACAATTTTTAAATTAATTAATTTATAAAATGATATAAAAATAATTATATTATAATCCGTATTATATATATACTTACTTTATATTAAAAACTACGTCAAAAATTCTACCAATTAAATAAAATGTAATAAGAATATTTTATCAAATAATCAACCAAATTAGACAAAGGTAGTTGGAGTGTCTAACCACATTTCCATTCACATTCTTGTCATCTAAATTTGGGTAATTGAGTGTTTCCACTCCTTTTACCACAACAAATTAATTTCGCATTATTAGTGAAAATGGTGAGAAAGCATTTATACAATATATCTTTGGTTTGAATCTGAAATGATCTGCTGGTTGATTACTTGCTTGTTGTTTTTGGATGGGAACTATTACTACATGAACAGAAGACCATAATTAGCACTAGTTGATGTTTTAATTAATCAAAGTGATTTATCTGATTAATTATAAACACATTGGTGAGCCAATCAAACAGATAAACACTTTGTTCATTCTATCCATCCCTTTTGACTTGCTGATGCAAAATTAATGGGTTTCCTATGATTTTGTTTTGTCCTTAGGAAGCCCTATATAAAGTCTGTATTTGCTGTAATAAAAAAACAATGAATGACTGGTTGCATATGTGAAGGTATTAGTTGAAAGAAACAAAGCTTTAAAGAGGACAAATAAATCCTTATACATTAAGAGCCAGTTCTTTAGGACTATAAAAAAAGAGCTGGATCTTGGAAGAAACTGGAAGAAAATCGAAAAAACTGGAAGAAACTGGAAAGAACTGGAAGAAACTGGAAAAAACTGGAAAACCTAAAAAAACTTTAAAAATATTTATTTTAAATTCTTGTTGTTATATATTATTATTATTATTATTATTATTATTATTATTATTATTATTATTATTATTATTATTACTATTATTATTATTATTATTATCATCATCAGCAGCATCATAATCATCATCATCATCATAATCATCAACATAATCATCATCATCACGTTATCTTAGTGAATGCCTTTAAGATATAAAAAAGTATTGTTATTTTTTAAATACAAAAAACTACCTTTACAAAAAATAATTATAATATAAAGTTAGCATAAATATAAAAATATTAAATTTTAAAAAGGCTGTGTAGTTATATTGCACCTCAATTTATTTATGCAGTATTTATTATAAATATTGTATTTGTAATTATAATTTATATATTAAAACATTTTATTTTAAATATCATACATGTCACATAATCAAACCTATTGTTCTTTCATGATTGACATTTTATTTTCATTGAATTCCTATTTTTGGAATTAAGACATAGAACTTTTTTGTTTACATTTTTTATGTTTTACTTATATTTTAGTCTTTTTCTTTAAGCTCTTTTGACTTAAATTTTTTTTTATAAAAATTAGAAAAATGAGCAATTTTTAAGTAATAAAGGAAAAACTGAGATGTCTTATAAAAAGTTATATTAATAAAACATTCAATGTAACTATTTTATCCATAATTTTTTAGTATAATTTAACATATTGATGTTTTCCTGTTTTATCATGTAGACTAATATACAAAAAATGTCTTATTCATATTAAAAAGGTGAAGAAAAAAATTATAAGTGTGAATCGTAAAAATAGTAAGATAGAAAAAATAATTTATAAACTACATTTATGAATATAACAGTTGTAATAATAATAATAATAACATTGAAATATATCATTTTTAGAGTAATTAGTTGAGGAGTAGAAAAAATTTGAAGAAAATGAAAAAAAGTTGGAAGAAACTGGAAGGAACTGGAAGAAACTAGAAGAAACTAAAAGGAATTGAAAGAAATTGGAGGTTAAGAGTTCAAGCCCTAAATAAGATGCTCTAACTAATTGCAAATCTGAATGCAAACAACAACAAAAAACTGTCAAGGAACATTTATATATAGAGAAATTTACCTAAATAGGATTAAAACATAATGACTTTCCCAATATAGGACCATATGTTTTTATTCCCTAATGTAGGACTTTTGGTCATTATCAAGTAGTCATTATTTAACTAAATGTCCATCATTACTGGACATTATTCCTTCCACTAGGTCATTATTAAGTCTTATTTAGAGAATAAAAAAGTTTAAGTCCTACATTAGAAAAGTCATTATGTTTTAGTTCTATTTAGTGCAAATTTCACTTATATATATACCTAATTTTGATCCCTAAAACAACTACAACAACAATGAATCTTGGACTATGAACAAACCGTGGCAAACACCAGATTAAAGAACAATGTTACTGCAACTAAGAATGGCACGGTCATTTGTCGTCATACCCTAACGAGTGCGAGCCACAACTCTTCATTGACCCGACAGCTCCAAACTTGGACGACCAAACCCTCTGTGAGCCGGAGGCGCGTGAAGATCTCCTTCCACTTCTTGGTGATGACGAGGGAGACGCTGCTCCTCCTCCCCCTCCCCTTCTTCATCACCCACCGCCGCAGGCTCACGCCGCACCGCCTCAGGGAGGGGTCCACGAGGGGCACGCCGTCGATGGACCCCACCCTGTCCCCCTCCCTCTGCATCAGCACCCACTCCTCTTCCTCCCTCAGGAACCCCCTCCACCTCCCCGCCATCCTCCGCACCGGCATCGTCAGCCTGTGTTGGTTCTTCCCCACGTCGCTCGCCGTCAGCGCCTTCTGGATCAGAAGCTTCTCCTCGGAGACGACCGCGTCCGGCCCCGCCAGCTCCCGGATCCGCCGCCTGAATGCCTCCGGCAAGTCCGCCGGCGCCTGGCCTTGAAAGTCGTGATTTTGGACCCTTTTCTTGATCGTCTTCTTCTTCACTTCTTCTTTGACGGCGGGCTCGGGAGAAGGTGTTGGCGGCGGCGGCCATCTTGACGAAATCTCTGTTGTTGATGTTCCTCCTGACTTTCTCCAAAACCATTCTTTCCCGGAGAGACTTGGCGGAGGGAGTGGCGGCGGAGTGGCGGTGTGAGGCTATTACAACGTCAAGAGCAGCCTTCTCCACCTTGTTTTCCGCTATAGCGACATCCGCCAGTAAATGCAGATTGGCGGCGAAATCCACGGCAGGTGGTGGCGTCATCATCGCCGCCGTCTTCTTCTCTTCCAAGCGTGAAGCCAATTAATTAATTAATGTTTATAGTTTTGGTTGCAGGCCACAAATCCTAATGGGAATCAAATCGGACAAGGATGGCCCCCAATACTCTAATTCTACTTTCTAAATTCTTTTACGAGTATTAATTAGTTAAATATTGATAACTAATTTTTATACTCCGTGTTTTTTTTCACATCAATTAATTAAATAAAACTGATCGAAAAAAAAAATCATTAGAGAAGAGCTAATTAAAAAAATTAGATATATTCTGTATATAATTAGAAATGTGGATTACTTGGTTTGCAAGAAGCAAATTTAGACTACCATTACAAGATAAGGAGAAGTTAGTTAAAGTTTCCCAATAGAGTTCTAAATCTTCCTTAATTAACTAGACAACTCTCACCGCACTCCTTTATAAGTTTAATTTAGAAAAAATTATTTTAAATAATCTCACATTTTCTCGCTTTTTTTAAAAATAATCTCATCTTCACGCACGTTTTAGATATATAGAAGCTGACGGTTACTTAGCGTAACTTTTGTAAAATGTCGTTTATACGGCAAAAATATGAAAGATGAGGGTATTTTAGGTAAATTCACTTTATCATTTCTAATTTTTAATTTATGTTTTTTAAAAATATAACAGTACACTCTTGTTAGATATTTGTCTCAATTTAAAAAAAAATAATACTCCTTCCGTCCCAAAAAGTTTGTTACGTTTAGAAAAAACTGCGTCCCGTAAAGTCTGTTACATTCCTATTAAAAAACCACTTTTACCCCTTACTTTTTCATACCCTACCTATCACATCATACTTTTTTTTCTAATAATCTACCCATCACATCCTACTTTTACCCATCACATCAAGGGTATTTTTGGAAAGTCAATACCAAAATATCCCTCCCTTAATTTCCCAAAAAGTCAAACCGCCTCATTCTTTTTGGGACGAAGGGAGTACTATTTACAAGTTTTGTATTTGGTTTTCGGGGAAAATATAATACGGAGTAGTAAATTATCGAAAAATAATTCAGAGTACTACTCGAAAAAAATTACAATACAAAAAAGTTTAAGGGAGTTATAAAAATAATTTATTCCGTTTTGGAGATAAAAGTGGTGTGCCATTTTCACAACTTTAGCATTGTTGTTTTGTGAAAAACATTTGTACTGAATTATCAAACAAATCCGAAGTTTTATAGTGTGGAGTGCCATTTTGGAACCCTTTTCATAATTTATTCAATTAAAATATATACACTTTAATGGTTTTTTTTAGTTTTAACACTTTTTTTATTTAAAATCAACATGGAAAGGGTTAATTATAACGCATCCAAGCTAAGGTTTTTTCTTATTTTCTGTAATCAATTACTAACTCGTACTTAATAATTGTCCAATCACCATTTAAAATGTCACATATTCAGCTTTGTTGGTAGTTTGGAGTATTAGTGTAAAATTGAGTGATTTCTTCGAGCAGTAGTGCTAATTATTCTATTTTGGAATATTAACGTAAAATCACAAATTTCTTAGAATATTCGTGAAAATTCTTTTTTTTTTATATGTTAATTCATAGAGATGAGCTAATTAAAAAAATTAGATATATAATTAGAAAGGTGGATAACTTGATTTCCAAGAAGCAAATTTAGGCTGCCAAGATACCCGGAAGTAATACTTGAAGCAGTCGATGTTGAAGTTTCCTATAACAGTTCTAAATCTTCTTTAACTATACAACTCTCACCTCACTCATTTTCGGAATAGCTTTAGCAATTAACGTTAGTGTTTTGAAAAAGCTATCTACGGACAGCGTTTAGCGTTAGCGTTTTCAAAGTAATATGCACTGTTAAAATTTTATCCAAAACGCTAACGCTAATCTCCAACGTTATTCCCAAACAGACCCTTATAAGTTGAATGTATAGCATCTATATTCACACTATTGATTATTCAAAGAAATACTAAAACGTACTCTTTGTAATGTTAATTTTGAAATAAATACTCAACATGAATACTTTGTCATTGTCACATAATTTATCCAGTTTTTATTTTTAAAAGTCAATTAAATCAATCTTTGACCAATAATAAAAATGTATTAGAAAGATTATATAATCTAGTGACTACACAGAGTAATAATTTGAAAATATTTTACAAATTCAATCTAATAAAATTATTTTTTAATCAATATTGAATATTATTTTTATTTAATTTATAGTTAACGTTTGTTAACGGTCTGGGACAAAAGTAGTATTTTGTACTCGATCTTTGCTTTAAATCTACCGCTCTTTAATTTGTGCAAAGAATTATACTTCCTCCGTCCCATGAAACATGGGACTTTTGCTTTTTAGGAGGGATTTAAAGGGAGTGTATTTTGGTATTGAATTTCCAAAAATATCCTTTGATGTGATGAGTAAAAGTATGATTTGATGGATAGATTATTAGTAAAAAGGTATGATGTGATGGTTAGGGTATGAAAAAGTAAGGGGTAAAAGTAACTTTTTATTAGAAATGAGAAGTGTTTTTTGGGACGGATGAAAAAAGAAAGGAGAAAGGTTTCATGGGACGGAGGGAGTATCTCTTTAAATAATTAAATAATTCTTGTACTCCGTATAACACTTGATATATGAAAACTTTATTTTAAAATTAACTCAACTTTATTAAATTTCTATTATAACTAAATGTTTTTTTACTCCAATCTCATGTTTCTTAAAACACTTCTACATTCATTTTTTTGTTTTTTACAAAATACTTCCATTTTTTTTATTAAAAAATCATTTTTACTAACTTTTCTTACCTTACCTATTACGTCATGTTTTTAATTTTTACCCATCACATTAAGGTAAACTTGGAAAGCCAACCATAAATATACATTCCTTGTATCTTCTAAAAATAAAAAATAAGAATCGTTTTGGAGGGAATATAATTTATATATATTCAAAGTAAATAACAAATTAAACTAGTACCATAAATTTGAGAGAGACAAGTATACATATGAAGCAATTTGAATTATAACTCCGTATTGGCTGGCGGCTTTACACATTTATTAGAAGTCAAACGCATCCTCATGAGGCTTAGAAGAAGTCAACAAAGCAGTGTATAGCCTGAGGCGATCTTCTTCCACCGAGGTGCTCCTCGCCGGCGGCCTCCGTGGCAGCATAAACGGCAGCGAAGACAGTGTCGACGGCTGCGGCCGCTTATAGCGCCGCCACGCTAGCTGGATGGCGACGGCGGCCCAAGTCCTCCACCCGGGGGAGTAATATCTCGCGCTCCTCTTCACCCTCTCACTCACGAACGTGTGCCGGAAGTGTTGGGTGACGTACTTGACGTCGTCCGCCTCGAGGCCGAACGCCTCGGTGGTCTCGAAGGTGACGAGCGTGAACGAGGATGGCGGGAGCCGGTCGGCGGAGTGGCGGCGGCGGAGACACCAGGAGAGGAGCTCGTCGCCGGTGAAGTTTCCGGGGCCTAACATGCAGAAACTGCTGACGTCATCCCGGAGGTGTTGGTAACACTCCAGGTGGCCTCTCACTATGAACAGCATTCTTTGCACTGGGTCACCCTCTCGGGTAATCTATTTTAACCAAAACAAAACAAAAGATTACTAAAAATTGACTTTTTTGGTAATAGTTTGACTATAAATTAAATATATAGTTAAATAATTAAATATTATAAAAAATTTTAGATGAGTATATCAAAATTATATTTTAAAATAAATTATATTTTACTAAATTTGCATTATAACTGAATATAATTTTCTACAATTTATGATTTAATTATTGCAGAGTTTGTCTACAAAAATTAAACTCTCGGTTGTGTTTTTAAGAGTGAGGAAGTAATGAGTATATAAGTAGAGGCCACTCTTAAAATGTTCAATGTTGTTGGACTGTCTTTTCACAATACTACCACTATGTTTGGCTCTATAAATTTGAGGGAGAAAAGAAAACAATTTCTTCTCATTTTGATAAATAAAATAGTTGGAAAATAGTTGTTGTAGTTTGTAAAAAAGAAAACAAATTCTTCTCATTTTGATAAATAAAATAGTTGGAAAATAGTTGTTGTAGTTTGTTTAGATGGGAAAAAGAAAGAAAAGTGAAAGAAAAAACATTTCAGAAAGTAAAATATACCAAAAATGGAAAAAACTAAATTCCTTCTCATTTTCGGTAAGGAAAATGAAAAAAACGAAATTCTTCTTCATTATGGTAAGGAAAAAAAATGATTTTTTGTTTCATTTCAAATTATGTAAACTAAAGATAGTGTAAAACAAAATGGTACATACTATATTTATTAACTTACGGTTTCGCCCTTGGTCAAGATGAGGGTCCTCACACGGTCGCATATGTGTTCAAGGACCAAATTATCCATATGTTGGAACAACGGTACCTGAAATTTCACTCAACCAAACCAAGTTAATACTCCCTCCCTCTACTTTATTTACTTATTTTTGTTGTCAATCTGGTAAAATAACATCGTCCGGTTACTTTTAGTTTTGAATATCTTTTAATGTAGTTTTTAAATATATTAATTTTATTTTTTAATATAGACATGTCACATTTTGAATCACTAAACAAGCACACTGCTTTGTTCATAAACATATTGTCAAATCATATTTTTTTGGTTAATTATTTTTATTGGTTGTTTTATAGAAAAAGATCTAATTTCATTATACATCGCGCACCCCATGCAAAACTAATACCAGTGATATAAAATAAAGTTCGATTGGCGTGGTAGAAAATTGAAATACCTACGTAATAATATGATAGACCAATATAGATTTTTATACTTTAATACGTCTCCTCACGTGCAAGTAAAATTTGGTTTTGCTCGAACATTGCACGTAAAAATTTCTTTCAAAATTGGGTGGCAACAAAGTTTGACTTATTGGTGATTAAAACTCTTATATCATGTCAAAAAAATCAATTCAATTTAAAGTTCAAGCTTTTGATTCCAAGCAGGTTTTATACTTTAGCAGTATGCATGTATGTGAATTATATACCTGCCTAATTAAGTCGAAGCAGAGATGAAATTTAATATCTCTCCTGAGGCCTTGGGGCAGATCTCCTATCATTTGGCGCTCATCCACGCCGCGCATCGCCGCCCAGCGCTGCCGCTCGTAGTTCCTCACTCTCTGCCTCACCTCCAACGACAACCCCCGCTTCTTCATCCACCCTTCTATGCTTCTCATCCTCAAATGCATCGCTTGCTTCTTTGAACTCGTCGAATTAAAAAACATCTGCGCGTGCACGTTGCACAATCAATAGTGTATACCAACTCAACTATTACCTCAAGCTTGATGATTATAAGTTAAATGAAGGATTTACACTCTAACAATAATATAAAAATGCTCAAATTGTTAATGTAGCTCACCTAAAAATGGAATTTTTGATAAATATTACTCCGTATTTTTTTATTGAAAAATGAAACTATACACATACCTTGATACTTCCAATCAACATGGTGACAAGAAGCAGTCCAGCAGTGAGAACCACCATCATGAACACCACTTCAACCCCATCTGTCGTGCAGTTCAAGTTCCCAAAACTACTGTACTTCCCATTGGCATTCTCTTAATTAATCCCAACAATTTTTTCGTCCCATAGCTTTTTTTTAACTTTCCATTTTGGATGTTTCAAAAAATATCTTACACTTACTTTAATTTATGGGTAGTGATACTCCCAGGTACTGCCATGGTAGGGAGGGGGGCGGGAGGGGGGCTAGGGTGGGAGGGCAAGGGTACAAGTTATTCCAATAGTCACGGGATTTTGTACACATATATATCACTACATTATTTTATCAAATAAGAATAAGTAAAGAAAATGATTAAAGTTTGACCCAAAATAGTAAACAAGCAACGTAAATGGGGATGAATAGATTATGATAATAACTACGGAGTACTATTTTTTTTTAAAAAAAATAGTTTATATTCCCTCTGTCCCAAACACTCTTCTCTTTTCTTTTTTTCTTTGTCTCACAAAGCTAGTCCTTCATTTTATTAAAAAACCACTTATATCCTTTTAATAATTACACTACCTATTACATAATGTTTTTTACTCCCTCCGTCCTTAAATAAACTTTTTTTTTGACTTTTTGAGACTTTAAGGGAGGGATATTTTTGTGTTGACTTTCCAAAAATACCCTTGATGTGATGTGTAAAATTAAGATGTGATATGTAGATTATTAGTAAAAAGGTATGATGGGATAGGCAGGGTATGAAAAAGTAAGAAGTAAAAGAAGTCTTTTTAAGAGAAAAGAGAAGTTTATTTGGGACAAACAAAAAACGAAATGAGAAATTTATATAGGGACGGGGGTACTAATTATCTATCTATCATTTTCTACTTTTAGTCATCAAATCAAATATATTTTTGAAAAATCAATACAAAATAGAAAGGATTTTAAGGATCTGAAGAAGTATAATTTAGTTTATTAAGATCAACGCTCGTGTTTTCATCTCGTCCAGAGCCACCGATCTCTCCGGATTGGCCCTAATTTTATGAGACAAAAAACCCCTGAAGTTTTAGGAAGAAAGACCAAAGTAGGACTAAAACATTGAAAATATACCAAAATAGGACTTTCATGTTTTTATTCCCGAAATAGGACTTACATTACCAAACATGGTCATATACATTACCAAAAAAGTATAGTAATGTGCACATGTACACTGTCACATTACCACAATGCAAAGTCACATTAATTACCACAGTGCAAAGTCCTATTTGGAAAAAAACATGAAAGTCCTATTTTGATATTTTTCTCTATGTTTTAGTCCTATTTAAGGTGATTTCTATAAGTTTTAATAGGAAAAAAGAAAAGAAAATAGGGAGTAAAATAAATTGGGACAAATAAAATACCTAAGTGTCATGAGTCCCCAAAAAATGGGAAGGAGAATCTTTTCCAAAGGGTTGGGATTGGATACGAGTTGAACACTCCACTCAAAAGTTCCATAAGCAAAGTCGTCGCTGCCGTCGCCGTCAAAGCTGCAAGCCGTCCTGGTACGGTGCACCTCCGCCCACCGCGTACGGAGGCGGCCTACGGCGGAGCCACTGCCACCGCAGCTCGTAATGGCATTGGATGTTCCGTAAAGAATTGGGCCTTCACAGGCCAGGAATGTGGGCCTGCAACCCTGAGTCATAGCGCATTGTTGATCCAAGCACTGGGCTGCCCTTTGTAATCCTAGCAAATACCAACACGCCCCCACTGCCTGCTGCCAAAATATTACTGGCTATAATTTTTTATTACTGGTAAGGTCTCGTTTGGTATACAGAATTCAAATTATGAAATTGAAATTGAGGACTTCAATTCCAATTCTCATGTTTGGTAACACAAAAATTATGTAGATTTGGAATTGGTAGTGCAAAAAATGAATTAAAATTGGTGAATTCAATTCTATGTAATTGAATCTCATTGAATTCTAATTCCGATTCCATCAATTCTGTGTACAAACGGACCCTAAGTATTGAATTTCAATAGACATTAGGAGTATATAGTTATTGCCCAATTGGTAGGGGTGTGCACCGGTCGAAAACCGGACAAGACTGGAACCGGAATAGACCAAAACCAAAATCATCAAACAATTTGGAAGGACCGAAGACCGGACCTGTTGGATACCGGTTCGGACCTGAATTTTCTGATCTGGTCCTTGCAACCAAAAGTTCAAATTATCAAGAAACTAACTCAACCGAAAACTCATGCTTGTATTTGTGGTCAAGAAATTATTTTTATATACTCTAACACGCCCCTCGCGTGCAGACGTGGTTCTTTTTGAACCTTACACGTAAAATCTTATTTTTTTTTAAAACTAGATAGCGGTGAGTTTCGAACTCGTAACTTCTTGGTCAACAAGGCTTTGATACTATATCAAAGAATTAACTAAACCAAAAACTCAAGTTCGTGATTGTGGCTCATCACAATTATTTTTATATATTCTAACAAATCAAATCAGAAAAAGTGAACAAATTAAAGAACCTGCAGCTCAAGGGGGAGGGTGCATATATATATATATATATATATATATATATATATATATATATATATATATATATATATATATATATATGCTTACATGAGAAGCAACACAATATGCAGTCATGTTGAGTGCAATCCCACGCCAAACCGTGTAGCCATAGAGGTTTGGCATTCGCCACAATTGGCGCACGAAATGGTACATCTTTGGTAGGTATTGGCCAAGAAAGACGATCAACATTAATGTCATTATCCTTGTGGGTGATCCATTCTTTACCATTCTTGGAATTGCTACCCATACTACAATCTGCATCATAAATAATTTATATTTATTAGAAATCTATCTAGATAGGAGTAAAAAAGTACTTCTTCCATTTCTAAAAAATAAACATAGTCTATTTTTTAAGTCAAACTATGACACCTTTTGACCACGAAATAAATATAATTTCAAGTAGTAAACTATTATGAAAATTTGATAATTCAAAACTATATCTTAAAATAATGTAAATCAAACTTTAATAATTTTACATTATCACTAAATATACATTTTTCCGTAATTAATGGTCAAAGAGTGTCAACATTTGACTAAAAGAATCAAATTGTGGTAATCTTTTAGGGACGGGGGATTTAGTTAAAAAAGCAAACTATCACCATCTTTGATTATTCACATCAATGTCAAAGTTATGTTAATGGAGTGAATTTAGCAAATTATAGGAAAAATGTATAAATATAACCATTTTTGGAGTGGATTTAATAATACCCAAAAAATAAATGGAAAATTAATTCCACGACAAAAAAGAGTACTCCGTACTCCGTAATCCGTAACATATCCACTGGAAAATTTAGTTTTGTCTTGGCTTGGATCAATGTGATATGTGCTGCTCCTTTGAAAATAAAAATTGGACTGTGTGACACGTATGCGCATGCATCAGCAATATTGTCACCTAATTTTAACCGAAACCGATGTTTAATTTATCGGCCCCGTTCTAGTGACACCGGAGAACGGTGCCACTAGCTGGTCACTGGGTTTTTGAGGCAACTCCGGTGCTCCGTTCGTAAAATTGACGGTTTCTACCCTTAACCCACCCCCTAAACCCCCCACCCTACCCCTACCCTTGCACCCCCGCCCCAACCCCGCCGTAACCCCACCACAAAATGTGTGGCTATTATGCAATGCATAATAGCCACACATTTTGTGGTGGGGTTACGGCGGGGTTGGAGCGGGGGTGCAGGGGTGGGATAGTAGGGTGGGGGATTTAGGGAGTGGGTTAGGAGGGGTAGGAACCGTCAATTTTACGAACGGAGCACCGGAGGTGCCCCAAAAACTCAGTGGCACCGGAGTGACACCATTCTCCGGTGTCACTGGAACGTTGCTCTTAATTTATACTCAAAATGTTTGTCACATTATCCAAAATGATACTCCACGAAATATCAAGTTTTTTCAATTTATTTCATTGAAATATTTGTACAAAAATAAAAACTGAAATATATTTTTTATGTTATCCAAAAAAACCGATGAAAATTTAGAAATAAACAAAAAAATGTGTTATTTTTAAATAGTGAATCTTTTTAGACGAAGAAATGCATGCAGTTACATTGTCGGTCTGAGCTTACACAATACAGTCGTTCAACAAGTGTGCGTACCAGAATTTGTTAAAATTTTAACAAATTGTATCATGTGCCACATATTTCGTTCACTACAAAAAAAAGTCCACTGAAATATTCTTTTATAAAATCTAAGGGCATTATTTCTGTACGTATAATAACATAGAGTAGATCACAATTTTTATCTTGGTTAGTGATTAAAGTTCATTCAATTGTATTCAAAAAAAATTAAAGTAAACAAATATAATTTTGTATGAGACGTAGGTAGTAACTTTTGTTGTAAAAAATATCGTTCTTTGACTAAAAAATCAAAAAATGAAAAATTTTTAGGATGATAGAGAGTATGTAGTACTCCTAGTCCGTCACTAAATAAAGTTCCATTTTTGACTTTTTGAGGATTTAAGGGATAGATATTTTGGTGTTGACTTTTCAAAAATACTCTTGATGTGATGTGTTAAAGTAAGATGTGATAGGTATTAGGCCCCCACTCCAAACAAATGGAAAGAAAAGGAAAAAAAGAGCACACAATTTTTAACGTGGTTCGGCACCTCAAGACCTACTCCACGACCCCCTCTGGGATAAAATCTCACTAGTAATTTTTGCACAGAAAAATTACAAACCCTCTCCAATATTTGACACTCACAACCTAAAATCTAATACACAATTATATAGATTGAAGGATTGTGTTGTGTGATGGAAGCTTATATCTCCTCTTTATTTATAGGCTCCAATCCCTCCTCAATTTTCCTATCCCACCGATGTGGGACTTTGAAGTAACACTCAACAATAGGTAGATTATTAGTAAAAAGGTATGATGTGATAGGTAGGGTATGAAAAAGTAAGGGGTAAAAGGGGGTTTTTAAGGGAAAAAAGAAGTTTATTTAGGGACAAAGAAAAAACGAAAGATGAACTTTATTTAGGGACGGAGGGAGTACTCGTTCCATCCTAAAATGATCTTCTTAATCACTATTCACATGGTCAATTTTTCATCACTTTCTTTACATATTTTTGTTAGTTATGTGATAAAATAATATAGTCATGTCGCCTTTTGTTTTGTTGAACTTTTAATGTAATTTTAAAATATATTCTCATATAAATTTTATTTCTTAATTTTACATCTTGAATCAAATAAATTGAACTAAAAATAACTTATTATTCTACCCATCATTTTTTGTCTTTAAAGACTTGAAAATTTTTTGACTTAAAAAATTTATGAGACCGGAAGTACAACGACATAAAAGTTGGTGTCACCGACCTGCGGCAGTGGAAGGATGAGGAAGAACTCCAATATGAAACCATTGTTAATCAGATAAGACCAAGCGGCGGCGTGACGGCGTTTGCTACCGCTTCTCTTCATGCGGGCATCGAATTGCAAACAGATGTTGAGGAGGCGCACGGCGTCAGCGACGCAACGGAGAGCCGTCACGGCGGCGGCGAACCACCCGTCGACGAAGAGGCACATGCAGGCGTCGCTGATTGAGAGGGGGTAGACGAACAGAGGGTCCACGACTAGGCCGGCGGCGCAGAGCAGTAGGAACGCCCGGTTCCATTCCGCCGACCGCTTTCTGCCGCCTCCGCGGCCACGGCCGTCCCAATCATAGTTGGTTTCCTCTTTCATTCCATCGCCGCCGTCTTCGTCGTCGCCGTCTTCTTCTGCAGGGGTATGGTGGTAATTATTGTCTTTGCTTCTAGATGATTCAAGCACATGGATAGTAGCCATTAACTTCCCACAAATTTCGTTGGATTTTGTGGGGGTTTACTTTTATTTTTTTCCAATTATAAGGATAGAGTGACCAAGTGAGTCTCTCTCTCTCCTCTTGTTTTGTGGGGATGACTTCAAAGACTACTTTAAATATACTTACATTCGTCCCTAAAACATTTCACGTTTTGACATTTGAGAGAGAACTGTTGAAATTTGACCAAAGTAAAATGACAATAATAGAGACGAGTAAGACTCTGAAAATGTCAAAATGAGTAGAAAGTATTACTCCTGCCATCGCAAAATCTTCTTACTCTTTTTTTACTTGTCCCACAATGAAGAATGAATATTTTCAATTGAATTCTTATGAGAGATTACATGTGTATATATACAAGAGTTTCCTAATGACAATAGGAAACAATAATTAATACACCCTATACAAATATGGTAGCTACAATATACATTAATATTAAATATAGTAAGAATATATTTAACATGCTCCCAACGGCGCCAACGAAGAATGCCGCACGCCTAGACAGTCTCGAAACTCGGAGAAGACCATGGAGGGTAGGCCCTTGGTGAAGATGTCTGCATACTGTAGGGAAGACGGAACATGAAGAACTCGTATCTGACCAAGGGCTACTCTGTCACGCACAAAGTGAATGTCAACCTCGATATGCTTCGTGCGCTGATGCTTGACTGGATTGGCAGAAAGGTAGACGACACTAATATTGTCGCAGAAGACTAGTGTAGAGCGTGTCAGAGGTTGTCGGAGTTCGAGAAGAAGATTGCGTATCCAACTAACTTCAGCGACGGCATTAGCAACAGCTCGATATTCAGCCTCAGCACTAGATCGAGAGGTGGTGAGTTGTCGCTTAGAGGACCAAGAGATAAGGTTGTCGCCTAGGAAAATGCAGTACCCGGATGTTGAACGACGAGTGTCTGGGTAGCCTGCCCAATCAGCATCAGAATATGCCCGCATATGATCCGTCTGAGAGGGTGATATAGTGATGCCATGGGTAGGTGTACCATGTAGATAGCGCAGAACACGCTTCATAGCTGTAACATGTGGCACACGAGGATCATGAAGAAATAGGCATAGTTGCTGCACGGCTGTTGGGGACTTGTCGTGTGGTCCAAAACAAATTAAAAATTTATAAAATATCCTTAGCTAACCCCCAATATATAATCAAATAAAAACTATAGCTAGGGCAAGTAAGGGTCGATCCCACGGAGAAAGTTTGTACTTTTGAAATCATTAAAGCATGCACACACATTGTCACGAAATAAAATAAAAAAAACTACACATATGATAAGAACTTATAATAAAA